CCCCGTGCCTCAGGCCACCAGGCTATCAGTCTAGCTGGGCTGTGGCCTAAGCTCTCACAGTTAGAAGTTAGAAGAATTCTTTTATAGTATTAGTTAATATAATATATATTATATCTATATTAATTCTTTTACTTTATAAGATTTTTATCTTTAGGTTTTAATATAAAAATCCTTTTAGTTAGTTTTTATTAATTAGCTACTAATTATTATTAAATAAAGTTACTTTCTTTATTATCTCTTTAATTTAATAATAGATTAGTATATTACTAATACTATCTTATATAAGGATTCAGCTAGTAAGATACCTCTTTTAAGCACTTAAGATGTATTATAATAGTATAAAAGCCTTTTTCTTAGACTATTTTCTATTTAATTAGTCTATAAGGGTTAATTATAGAATTCTTTAGTACTTATAGTCTTAGAGTGTATTTTATTACTAATTATATTCTAAATAGTATTTTAAAGGTTATTTTTACTATATTTATTATTTATAATATTATAAATAAAATTTAAATTAATAAAAATAATTATTATACAAGGTATTATAATTTCTATAATAGTATTATAGGGAGGAAGGTGACACATTAAGGGTGTTCCTAAGTGGGGGTGTTCGTAAGTGGGTGGCCGACGTTACTACTAAGTCATTATCAGAACAATCAGCTTTATCCGTCTCTCCTCGTACCCGGGCTGAGACTTGGCGCGCCATCCGTGACCTCATCTTGGGTATTCACAGAGACAAGCCTAGACCCAAGCACGACTGTCGCCGAGACTAGTGCGTGCTGTGCAGACGTGATGGATGCACGGGCAAGTGAGATGTCTTTCGTTTTCGTCCAGTCATTCATCTACGATAGCATACTAGTTACAGCCACCCGAATCGTATCGCAGGGTTTCAGCCGAGACACGGCCTACCTAGACGAGCTATGCTACGCGGAGTGTGGTTGTCTCTGTTGAAATTAATGCCGTCTTAGATACGGATGAACGTATGAACCGGTGAGCGGCTCGAGGACTCTTCTGTCATCCGCTGCTTGCCAAAGCCAGATCAGGACTAACACGACAATACTGTCATATACACTCGTCATTATCCTTCATCCACATTCGCATACACATTCGTTCGCATCAATATCTATATTGACTTACCCGCCACCATGCACTTGTTCCGTGTCCCCGACACTTCACCCTCCGCCGCGCCACCATCTTCCCGCATCCAACTCGGCTACCCGTCGCAACTCCGCCGCAACCGCGTCTCCACCGCCCCCGTCCTCGGACAGGCGCTCGCCATCGCCGCCGTTCCCTACGGCATGGGCAGCGCGCTCACCTCCGCAGCCGTCTACGGCGGCGGTCAGCTCACCCTCCTCGTCGGCCTGTTCGTCGTCTTGCTGCTCGCCGGGTGCGTCGCCGCGTCCCTCGCGGAGCTGGCCTCACGCTTCCCGACCTCGTCCGGCGTCTACTACTGGTCCTTTCAGCTGCTGCGGGACAAGGACGCGAGCAAGCCAGCCAGCCCTGCGGCGACGGTTACCTCGTACATAGCAGGTTGGTTCTGGCTGGTCGGCAACTGGACGATTACCCTCTCGGTCAACTTTGGCTGCGCATCGCTTCTCGCAGCGACCGTGTGCCTGTACCGCCCGGACTGGGCCGCCGCGCCAGCCTGGCAGCTCCTCCTCGCCTTCTACGCGCTGTGTCTCCTCACGTTCATCGTCTGTGCCGCTGGCGACGCCCTCCTACCATACGTCGATTCCGTCGCGGCCGTGTGGAACCTCGTCACCATCCTCATCATCCTCATCGTCATCCTCGCCATCGCCGGCACCAGATCCGGCGGCATACACCCCGCGCTCGGGCACTACGACCCGTCGCCGTCCGGTTGGGACCGCGGTTTCGCCTTCTTCATCGGCCTACTACCGCCCGCGTACACCTTCTGCGCCATCGGCATGGTCACTTCCATGGCCGAGGAGTGCACCGATCCTGAGGTGCAAGTCCCGCGGGCCATGGCGCTCTGTGTGCCTGTCGGCGGTGCCGCCGCGCTGTTCTTCGTGCTGCCGCTGTGTCTGACGCTGCCGCCGCCGGAGGACGTGCTTGCCGGCGCGGCGTTCGGTCAGGCGCTGCCGTATGTGCTCGCGCGCGCGCTGGGCGGTGCGGCCGGCGGCGTCGCGGTCATGGTGCCAATTCTCATCGTCACCGTCCTCTGCTCTGTCAGTGTCACCACGACCGCGTCACGCTGCACCTGGGCTTTTGCGCGCGACGGCGGGCTTCCGCTTAGCTGGCTGTGGGCGCGGACAACGACCGGAAGCCGCCAGCCGCGGCCGCTTCCGGCGCTCGCGCTCGTCACTATCGTGCAGATGCTCCTCGGGCTCGTTAATCTCGGCAGCAGCAGCGCCTTCACGGCCTTCGTCTCGGTCGGCGTCATCGGGCTTGCGGCGGGGTACCTGGTACCCATCGCCGTCAGCCTCGCTACTGGTCGGCGCGCGGTGAGCGAGGCCCGGTGGCGACTACGCCCGGTGATCGGGATCACGGTCAACGTGGTTTCGGTGCTCTGGATTCTCTTTGAGATGGTGCTGTTCAGCATGCCGCAAGCACTGCCGGCGACGCCATCGTCGATGAACTACGCGTCGGTCGTGTTTGTCGGTTTTGCGGTGATGAGCGCAGCGTGGTACTTCGTCGGTGGCAGACAGAGTGAGCTCATCCTACCAGTTTCTGAAATTGAAGGACACGACTGACCATACACTAGAGTTTAAAGGCCCTCCAGAGGAGATTCGTGACGTTGGCAACAGCATGTGAGTTGAGTTGGATGGTTGCATGACTTTTAGGTGTAGAAAGGTGCTAGTTGGTTAGTGGGTGCTGGTCAGGGGGTGTCCGACCAAAGGGATTGGCGATATCTTTGTCACCCGCCGGGTTACTTGCTTGCTCCTCCTCCACGCCTACATAAAGGGTGACTCAGCCCCCTGCATTAGATTTTTCGGGAAAAACAGGTATTATTCGCCTCTTGATTATTGCCGACCGAGTCCTCTATCTCTCGATCTGCGGGCCCTCTCAGGCGCCAGGCCAATTACCCTCAAATATTAGCGCCATAACAGACTATTAGCGGCCATTTGATAGAGGAACCAGTTCGGGATGCATGATAGTCTAGGCTCGCTCTTATCTTGCTTGCTAGTTGTGACGGAATTCAAGATACAAATAGGTTGCGCCGCTAAGCTGGAGGATTGGACTTGGTTCTGTTTAGTCTAACACACAGAAGCGTCACCGAGATGTATTTTGAACATCCGTCATGGCGGCTAAGAAGAGCCGAGACGTCCTCCAGAGGTCGGCCAGACACGCGTCATTAGACACTTCTCACTTCGCCTGGGAGCTCCGCCAGGAGCCTAGCAGCTTTACGGCTGCCGGCACCATCGCCTCCCATGCTGACTTGGACCCGATCCCCCCTTCGAAGCGGACATAGACCTGGGCCGCATACACTGCCTATTGGATGGCAAATGCATGGGCGGTTTCTAACTGGGAGGTGTCCTCGTCCATGATTGCCGTAGGCCTCGACTGGCGCATGGCGATCGGTGCCTGCGCCTCGGTAACTTTATCATGGGCCGCATCATCACTGCCAATGGTGGGATCGATGCCATTCTTCACATGCCTTTTCCCATACTCGTGCGGATGCCGTTGGCTACTACTTTAGCTACTTTATTGTCTTGTCGCGATGCGTCCTCACCATTGTCTGGCTCGGTGTCCAGACGACTACGGGTGGCCAGTGCACGGAGCTGCTGCTCACGGCTATCTGGCCCAGCTTCGCCGACATTCCAAACCATATACCTAAAGACGACGGCATCACAACAGCTGGAATGGTCACGTTTTTACTTTATTTCTTTCTCCAGCTTCCCTTATGTATCCCCATACACCAAGGTACTGCTACCCCACCAGCTGGACCTCGACAGTGCCTAGAAGAAGCTGTGAGAGTTTGCTGACTTTAATTAAAAAGTCCAATACTTTTTTGGCTTCAAGTCCATCGTTGCACCTATCATTTTCTTGGCAGTCTTCAGAACACGCTGCATAAGGCTGGTGGGACTATCGACAATAGCACCGTTATTACCGGTGGCCCGACAGTCAGCGGCTCAGTCCTCGTATGGGCCTTCTTTCAGTAAGCTCCGTCTTTTTGTTCCAACACATGTATTCGATCTTCATTAGTTAACCGGTGTTTACTTCCAGATCTGAACCGAGACTTGGGCAACTACGCGACTCTCGGTCTCAACATTGCCGACGTTTCGAGATACGCCAACAAGCCCAGCGCGCAAAACGTCCAAGCCATTTGCCATCCCATGCATCTTCAGTTAGTTTTGACCTTACCCATTCCCGAGTGAACAACCGGAGAAAATATCCTAACAGACCTTACAAAGCAATTGTTGGCCTGCTCGGCATCTTTACAGCCGCAGCAGCTCAGTCGGCATACGGTAGAGTCATTTGGAACCCAATCGAGATTATCGGCCTGTGGATGGAGTCTGGCTCCCATGCCGGACGCGCTGCCGCCGCCCCCGGTGCCATTGGCCTGGTCATTGTCACTCTCGGCATCAACATCTTTGCAAACTCCATCAGCGCCGCCAACGACCTCATGACGCTTGCGCCCAAGTACATCAACATCCGCCGCGGCGAGCTGCTCGCTGCCTTCATCGCAGTTGGACCTTTGTGCCCTGGAAGATTCTCGCTTCCACGCAGACCTTTATCGCCTTTCTCGGCGGCGAAACCATTTTCCAAGGGCCTATGACTTCGATTCTGATGACCGACTACTTCCTCGTCAAGCACAGGAACGTGTCGGTGCCCAACATGTACGATTTTCACGGCATTACCGCTACTCTGCTAAGGCGGCTACAAACTGGCGTGCCCTAGCTGCTCTCCTTGTCGGGTACATTCCACCCTTGCCTGGCTTCATCAAGAATATTGCCAATTCTGGTGGAAAGAGTACCAGTGTATCTAGTGGCGGTCAGCACCTGTAAGTTACCTGTATGAAAGCTATCAGGTGTGTCTGTATTAAGTGTGCTGCTAATAACCGAGTTCATCGAAGTTTCGCCATTGGGTACGCATGTATAGTCTTTTGGCTTGCGTTCAGCTTGTTGCGCTTTCATCTCCTCGATATTCCTTGCATCCTGTTCTGCAATAATATCCTCACCTGTCTTGGGATGGTCAAGTAATGATTCCAGGTGAGGGAATAATTGGTTGAAGCCCCAATAAAACACACCGCTGGCGACAAGCATCCTTACACGGGCTTTCTGGGTCTAGCGAGTCTCGTGGATATACAAAATATCGTTTTAGTATCAAAAATAGTTAAATTGTTTTATCATATATACTCTAATAACCTCTTTTTTATAGTATTTTATTTAGAAAGCATTGAACAAAAAACTACTTAATAACCCTAGAAACCACATTAAAATAATAGTATGATTACCAAAATTCCTCGCGCCTCTTGATTCAGTAGTACTCAAGGTAACACTTGGAGCAGCACATTCGCCTGTAAAGTTAGCTGATCCCACGCCGCTCGCTGGGATTTCTTGCTCGTTCTTGCCACAGTCTGAGTATGGGGCCATCCATAAAGCGTACTCTGGTCAAAGACCACGTAGGTTGAGTGCATGAATGTATCGCCGAGGATATAGTACGGAGGCCCCTCTGACATGTTGGATCGCTGCGCTCCGATAATGCAATCGGAGGACCCATTATGCAACAAAAATTGGCTGTAGGGCACATGAATCTTCAGCCCATGGAAAGCAAAGTCGACGGTGGCGTTGGTTTTGAATTGATCGCAGCCGATACTGTATTGGCTCAAATCCGTTTCATATTTGGCGCCCATGTCTTTCGCCAAGTTGTCCAGTGTAGCAGCTGGCAGTGTGCTCAAGGTCGAACCAGAGTCGATTAGAACGGGGAGTGAGCTATTCTCGTACGTCGTGGACCTTCCTTCTGAGTTCGTTAAGCCAACAGTCTCGAGCTGGACATAGTATCGATAGGTATCATCCAACGTCTGCTTGCCGAGTGTGTTAAACTGCTTGAGGGGGCCAGTGAACTTCTTGGTATCAACACCGCCAAATATAATGACGCCCTCATCGTCATGGTTAACATCACCTAATGCGACGCTAAAAGCCTGGGACTTGGTTGCACCTTGGTCCTGCAGGGCGTCGATGAAATTGCTGTAGTTGAGGTTCTTGCCGTTGCCGAACCCGAGACCCATGACTCCCTCACTCGTCTCAGACGAGTTTGTGCCGACTCCGAATTGAACACTGGTAAGAGCGATTGCTTAGAAATCATCCAGTCAGCATTTCATGACTTCAATCCGCTTCTAGAGGGAAAGGGATCTCACAGCTTCCTGGAAGGGTAATATCGTCCTTGACATAGTCGAATTTCGCAGAGCCGACGGCATACTGAATGCTAGAGCCGTTGCGAAGAAATTCCAGAGTGACAGAGGACTTGGGATTAAAAATGCCAGAGGAAGTGCAATCCTTCATTTGGGAACCACTGAGCTGGGAGTCGTTACAGTTAGGATTAACCCAGAGCTCATCGGACCCGTATCGAATTGAACCGTAAGTCCCTGGGCTGGGGTGCCAATTCTCAGCTCGATATGGTAGCTGTCAGAGCCTGAGATGTTGTACAAGGTAATTTCACTGCCGTTGGAAAGACGCCGCAGGATTGGTTGCTGTGGTCGATGACGCTTATTAATTGGGAACGATAAGACGCTCGACTCTCGCGCAGAGAAGGCGGCAGTGGCAGAGCTGCCGGCGGCTAGTGACAGGCAGATAGCCGTGCTGGAGATCATTGTGGGCGGAACCGTTGCAGAATCTAGGCAAGGGTGAACCTACAAGATGACTTTCAAATACATTTTCATGGACTGTTATACTAAGAATATGCAGAGGCATTTTCCATCAGCACAGCTAGGGAGGTTCGGCTAAGTCGGACGTAGAGTTGCAGCCAGTACTGGAATATTTAGTTACAAAACAGCCATCGTACGTTTGTTGCAGGGATACACGGATCCATTTCTTCCAGAAAAGTCCCTACTTTCAGGGAGAATCCTCTGCATATACTAGAATACCATGACAAATTCCCACTGGGTGAGTTGCTGCGCGCGTAGTTTTACGACAAGACACTGACTGACTGATAATTGGGAGAGTGGATTGATCGAACGGCGGTAATTACGGCCACTTTAGTAGTCAATATTGGCCCGTTTCCGAATAATGTTATTATTTTATGCGACGAACTTGAAAGGGCGAGCCGCAAAACTAGATGAGCGGGAGGCGTGCGTATTTTTGCTTTAAAATGAACAATTCAAGCCTTTCCAAATTTTACCCGCTTTATCCTTTTATATTCAGCGCTTAAATAACGCTATCTAACATGCCCACGTCGTCTTCTTCATGTCGGGTTCTATCCACTGCTGGGTGTGCCTCTTCTTCTTCATCATCCTCGTCTAGGTCGTGCATTGGATAATTCAAAATCGCTGCGATATCACCCAGCATTTTAAGGCGCTGACCACTTTCGTGGTCGCTGCTGAGCACTCGGGTTTCGCCGCCGTCCAACTTGACCTTGTCGACAAGCGCGACGTACTGTTTCCGCACCGCCAGGTCGTTGCTGCGGAAGAGCGAGTTGTTAATGAGCAACGTGCCACCGCCGGGGCCAACTGCGCCGTCCGCAATGGCTTTGCTGACGGCGTGGGCGCCGTACCAGGCTCGGCCGTCGTCGCACTTGAGCAGCTCGAAGAACTTATCCATGAACTGGGCCTCCTTGGCGAAATTCATGTCGCGCATCTGAGCCATGACCGCGGGGCTCTTGAGTACTTCGCGCAGGCTATGCATGTGACCAGAGTTGGAGTGAATGACGGTGGCCTGCTTGGCGACCGCGGTTAAGATCTTGTCGGACTTGTCTCGGCCCTGTTGTGCAATATAATCTTTGAAGTCGGTGGCGATGAAGCCCGGACTTGCGAGCAGCAGCGGGCGCGGTGCGGCAAAGTCTATTGAGCGAAGAAGGGTGGCTAGGGTCTTGTCGTAGAATTTCTTTATGCCAGCGTCCTGCGTGGCAACCGCGTCTCTCTTTTTCGGCACCACATGATCCACGCGGGCCTTGAATATTGTTCTGAACTCGGTAATCAGGCAGATATTTGCAAGGCCTTCCTGCATGACGATTGAGGCGGTTGCGCGGTTGCGGTCGTCGCCCAGACCTTGTGCGAGTGCTTCGCGGGCGACACTATCCCATCCTTGAGCCTTGATCAGGGTAAACGGGCGGTCGACCTCGAGATCGAGAGTATGGTGCGAGCCCATGGGCGCGTGATCGTTTTCCGAGCATACGATGCCAGAGACACGAAGCGATGAGGCAGCTGGGTCGAAGAATAGCGACTTGACTTTAACGGTGAGGTCGACGTGAACACGCTCCGATTGAGCGGCACCGGTGCCGTTGTTCTGGATGCTGACCTTTCGAATAGCATGGCCACGGACTCGGTCGCCAACGACGATAAGGTTGTATGCGTGCCACTATGCAAGTTAGCATGGCGAGGATATGCGTCTTGGGCACACCCAGAGGCGTTGAAATTGTTACCATATCCTCTGGCTCTTCAGGTTGGAGAGTCACCTGTTCCTCCTCAACGTCTTTGAACTGCTTTTGCGACAGCAGCTTCATGTTGGCGGCTATTGTATGCGTCTAAATATTGGTGTTATTGGTATGAGCGCATCTGTGTCGTCCACAAGCAAAGGCAGTTGTCGGTCAGGGAATTTGTCTATGCGGTCAGGCGGGTCAAGGATAAAAAGTTGTTGAATGGTTACCCCTCCATAACCAAGCGAGGATGATTTATTAGGCGCTGTCAAGTTCAGAATCATGCACGACTGTAGTGGGGGTGGCGCTGTCAAGTGTGGCGCACCACCAGGCGAAGTGATTTTTAATAGCGAGTAGAAGACAGATCGTGTTAAAGGCAGGCTACGGGTGCAGATATTATTTCCAAAGTTTGGATTTATCTTTACTATTTCTAGTTAATCGAGTTGTGGTCAAGACCGCCGCCAGATCCTAGCGTTCTTCCCATCCCTCTGGCTCTCGTCCCTCGATGTAGGGTAACAACAATCGGTTGGCAGGGTCGATAGCCCGCCATACGACAAGCCAACGGTACACGTCAAAAAGCTCATCCAGTGTACGGGTTACGTACCCTACGACCGAGTGCAATTTGTTCTTGTCAGTGCTATTACGGGCTCATTTGGGTATTGTGTCTCGCCATCTGAGCCACTTACTCGTCATTAGAGGGGCACCCTTCTTTGTAAGCTTAATTATTAAATGCAGCGACGGGACTCAAGAATTGGATAGACTGACGCGCGGTTTTTGGACACGGCCAGCGCAACGCAGCCGCTGGTATCGCCGTCCAAATTTGAGCAGATTGTATCGCTGCTGAACAAGACACTATAGCCGCAGGTCAAGACGGCGGGGTTTAAGTGTGCCGGCCACATGTTGGGCTAGACGAGCGAGGGGTTTGAATCACCAGTACCGAATGCGCGGCTGCGGCATGCTGTGTGGCACCGTTCGGTGGACGGGCTGACGGCGGCCATTGCGGCCACGAGAGGCCAGTTCCATGGCAGGGTGCAGCTGATGAGCCTTGGGAGTAATGAAGAGTCATGGTATGTAGTGGTTGAGCATAGTACGGGTTGATGTGCCCTGTGTTAAAAGCCCCCCCAAGGGCCGGAGGGCTGCGCGGCAATAGAAGCAAGTGGTGCGCACGATGCGAATCGATTTTATTAAATGAGCGGTAACAATAGTCAGGTACGTACGCATACTTTTTTTATGCTTCGTGGGACAATTGCAAGGGGCAAGGGCAGCATTTTAGGGGAGGGTGTGCGGATGGCGGGATTTCATCACGACGTCGGGGATGGCTTCAGTCAACCGCGGCGACTCAAAATTCCACATCCAAAAGCCAAAAGAAACGTACAACTTCTCAAAGGTTCGTTGTCACATCTTGCTCTATAGTGCCAAGCCCAGCCTTGTGGAAACCTCTGCAGTAGTATTATGTCATGATGATGGTCAAGACTCTTCAGGGCCATCTTACTCATCTGCCAAAGTAGACTAATAATTGTTCAAGTACGGATAGTAAAGTCACAAAGTGTGAGTCGATGGCCAGTCACACGAGGCGCATCATGTACGTCGTGTGCTCGGATCTGCTCACACTCGAATGCGATGACCCTGGAGTGGTACGCGTGGCAGAGGGCAGCCCACCATTTTTGTCCTCGGCTTTCTGCGCTGCCAATCGCCCGTGGGCCAGTACTGCGGGCAGCTCCATTGGTTCTAGATCAAACGGGAAGAAAAGGGATAACTATGGGATAAGCTCTCCCTTGTAACACTAGTTTGGCTTTGGCTACTCAGCTCGGAGCTGTAAGTAAGCCGCAGACGCAGCAGCCATCGACGCACACACATGGCATTATTGAGGCGGTGACAATCGTCGAGGCTGCTCTCCCAGCCTGTTCGCTGTAGTTGCCCGCCTTTGAAGCATGTTGGCTCGATGGCTTCTTGGCATTCCCGCAAGGCTCTGTGTGTGACGGGCGGTTTGTGACGACGGATGGTGGCGCTCGCTACTTATTCGCCTAGCTGTTATTCCACTTTCTGCAACTGTCAATATTGACTTCCTGAGCGAAACCGAGACGCTGCCACAAGTTGTAATTAAGGAGGCTGGTCCGGTCGCCCGACCGTACAGTACCATCGCGCTGCTGACATGGATCCATCTTGATGGAGCAACGGGGCGCACCACTCGCTCTTTGAAGTTTCAGATGGCAGCCTGGGGCTTGAATGATAGGTGTGGCCGCCATACCTCCAGTGGGTGGCAACAAGTATTCGACCCCATCGTGGTAGCTTTTTACAAAACCTACTAACCTAAATAGGGCAATTACATGCCGCTTTTTATTCATTAGCGGTTACTTAGGATCATCCCCTGTAAGTCCACTGTAACTGCATTGTGGTTGGGGTTAGTGCTCGCCTAATTAAAGCAGCAGCATCTTATCCGTCTTCTTTAGGCTAGGTACCATGAAGGGGTCAAATACATGTTGCCACCCAGTGCATGTATGTATGTACGATGTAGGTACATACATAGGTCTCTATGTACCTTAGCTGTTATTAGTGGAGGGTGACAGTGTGAGAGACAAGCTCCGTTAGCAGGTACCAGTCAGGCTGCCCAAAATAGCGCGGGCTGACTGGTGCCCCTCCATCAGCAATGTGGTGTGGTGTGTGAGTGTTGCCGGGGTTGAACGCTGCTTTTTGCATGGTCGGTTTGAAATTTGCACAGTCGCGCTAGTACATACAATGTAGGGTATTGCACGAGGCACTCCCGCTGGAGGCTCTATTGCGCTAGCTAACATACATAGCTCCCCAGCGCCCACGATGCTACTGTTAAGAAGGCCAGCGCTGAAGAGCGATAATAGTGAGGGTGATAAGGATATAGGGATGGTAAGGATAGCGAGGATATAGCGAGGAGATAGTGAGAATAGCGATGATAACGATGATGGAGGTGACTATGCAAATTTCAAAATCGACTGTACAAAAAGTAGCGTGCGTCGGCGTTATGGCTGCACAACACGACCCCAACCAGCTGCCAGCCGCATCATCGAAACGGTTCCCTGTTTGCGATCTCTCTCTTCCCCCCATTGACATATTCGCCACGTCTATCTCTATTCTTGCCGATTTATTCTTGCTTCTCACTGTCTCGTCTCTGCTTCTTCTCATTGACCGCCAGCCTGCCCCTAAGCGTACACTACTCCGCCAAAGCTTAATCTTATTCAGCCTTCCAGCAACAACTCTATCCGGACTGCGTCGCACCGAAACGTCGCCTCCGTCATAGATAGATACCACAGCCAACGCAACTGCGTCGCTCCTCCTCATCATCTACGCTTGGGGATTCAATTGCAGGCTCCTCTACTATCCCGAACCTGGATGCTTGCCCCCTGGCACCCAAACTCCGCCGTTATCATTTTCACCTTGCGGATCTCACGGCTACGGAGACTACCAGACCTCCGAACAGCTAACGAGTTTACGGCGACGCTCGTGACAGCGGTCAGGTCATTTCCACGACGAGATTTTCTTCCCCTCTTCTTGCTTTGCTTTCGTCAGGATCCCTTCGGTTTCTGGTTTCGCGATGCTAGCAAATTGACACTGCGCCTGCGCTACCAATTGCTCGTTGCTATTATGGAAACATGACTACCGACGTTTCTTCGCCTTCGTTAGCTAGCGATCTGCACTCGGCCAGGGAGCAAGATCGCCGCGCACGACCGCCCACCAAATCGCCATCAGGTCAGTCCTGGTACCAATTCCGACAGGAATCTCTGTACTAATTTGCTATTAGTTGACGAGAATGCAAACGAATCCCTCAGTCCAATTCTTAGTCGACGCCCTACCTCTAAGCACTCCCGAAGCGTCGGCCCGCCAGTTACCAAAGAGAACCCATCGACTAAAAATACATTAAAACCCAGCACGTCGAACCAGGGCCACGGCTCTGGTTTGGATCCTCTCAGTACGGTATGCATCCTGGTGCCTGGACGGACGCGTATATATATTGACTTGTATAGCAAATATACCTTCGAACAAATAGCAGTACGGAACCCACCATCGCGCAACGTCTTCTCAATGCCGGCAGACCTGATAGCCCGGCCCCCGACAGTATTGGCCGCCTCAGCCACGACTCAAACCCTAGCGCGCGCCCTGATAGTATCAAGGAGCGCAAGAAGGGCCCATCATTTCTAAGTCGGCTGTCTATTCGCGCACCGTTCAGAAAGGAAGACGACGCCGACTCGGACTCGGACTTCGGCGAACATGCTCGCACCGATGGAACCAATGCCCGAGCTTTGACTACCGTCATGGGCGCCGGAGGCGGTTATTTGCCGATGCACAAGGAACCGCCTCGCTATATCCGGGTCAAGGCACACAACAAGAAGTCTCGCAGCTTTAACCACTTGTTTCTTGCCCAAGAGCTTAGCAGCGCCAAGAAAGCGGGTAGCCCCTCCAAGCATGCACCCGCTACCGTTGTTGGCAGCAAAATTCTCAAAGGAGGCAATGCTATATGGGCGGCCGAGTTCAGTATCGATGGTCGTTATCTAGCAGTTGCGGGCATGGACCATGTTGTTCGCGTCTACGCCGTTCTCTCGACGCCCGAGGAGCGAAGAGCTTATGAAGAGGAACAGGAGCAGGACGATGACGAGAAAGACAACCGTTCTAAGCATGAACGGCTGAGTGCGCCCGTTTTCCGGAGCGAGCCTATCCGCGAATTTGAGGGCCACGGCGGGGAAGTCCTGGCTCTAAGCTGGAGCAAGAACAATTTTCTGCTGTCTTCTTCCATGGATAAGACGGTGCAACTGTGGCATCTCAGCCGTCAGGAAAGCCTGTGCACCTTTAAGCATGATGATCTCGTCACGTCCATCTCGTTCCATCCAACCGACGATCGTTTCTTTCTCGCTGGATCTTTGGATGAGCAGCTGCGGCTGTGGAGTATACCCGACAAAGCCGTCGCCTTCTCTACGCAGACAGGAGAATTCATTACCGCCGTGGCGTTTACGCCAAATGGCAAGACAGCCATCTGCGGTCTTCTTAGCGGCATTTGCATCTTTTACGAGACGGAAGGGCTTCAAAATCCGTGGCAGATTCATGTGCGTTCATCCCGGGGTAAAAATGCAAAGGGCAGCAAAATTACCGGAATTCGCACGAAGGCAGTTCTTGCTCGCGGATTCCACCAGGCGGATGTAAAGGTTTTGATCAGCTCAAATGACTCTCGTGTGCGCATTTACAGTTTGAAGACGCGGATGCTTGAAGCCAAGTTCAAAGGCCACGAAAACATGTCAAGTCAGATTCACGCGCGGTTCAGCGATGACGGGCAATTTGTGACGTCTGGCAGCGAAGATCGAAAAGCGTACATATGGGACATTTCACACCATGAGCTTGAGGTCCGCGACAAGCAGCCTTATGAGTGCTTTGATGCACATCCTGAGGTGGTGACGGTCGCTCTCATGGCCCCCATCGCAACCAAGCAACTCCTAGGCGCCTCTGGCGACCCGATTTATGATTTGTGCAATCCACCACCAGTGACGCTGATGAGCCTGAGCGAGGCCACCGTCAGCCAGAGCGCTCTTTCAGAAGTGACTCACTCGGATGTGCCGGGCAGCGTTAGGAAACAAACCGAGAGTCCTGCTTACCTGGAACGATCGAAGCACAAGAATGGCAACATTATCATTACCGCTGATCGCAAGGGTATCATCAAGGTCTTCAGACAAGACTGCGCGGCGGTGAAGCGGCACCAAAGCCTGTGGGAAACGGGTTCCAAGTTTTCTGGCAAGGTTGCGGGTGGCGTTGGTCGGAGTTCTAGCCTCGCGACGAGGACAAGCGGTGGTAGCCGTGTTCATTCTCGACGTGGGTCACTGAGCACGAGCGGCAGCCTAGTGCCAAGCCAGATTGCTTCAGATAGAATCATGAGCTGGCGACAGGATATTGAAGGTGGACGAGCCTCGGTCGGAACGCCAACGACGCGGAGTGAGCGCTCGATTTCACCGTCCAAGAGCGTTGTACGTTCCCCGCTCAATGTGTCGGCCTCAAATCTTGCGTCAGAGGCGAGAAAGCAGCCATACATTGCCACGCCGCCATCTCGAAAGAGGAGCAATAGCAACTTGCAGAGGCGAGGTCGAACAACATCCGCGAAGCCAGATCATATCCAAGTCGCTGCCAAGATCAAGGATCCCGACAAAGGACCTACTATTCCACCCACGCCAAGCTTTAGCCTGGTGAGCGCTTCGGACCCCGGTACTCAGGAAGACGGCCGCGATGGCAGCTTCTGGAACCTCAGTCGCTGGCGGGGAGGGATTTCCGGCCTACGCAACGTGACGAATAGTAGCGCCGTAGCTGAAATGCCGAATACCAATGGGTCTCATCGAACAAGCACATCAACAGAGCGATCGGGCCATGAGCACCGTCGCAGCGTTGCCACGAATGACACGCGACGACTGGCTGCAAGCGGAGACGAAAGCGCTCGACGGCGTTCTATTCTTCCTGGCGTGTCCGTATCGGCAACACGCAACGCAGAGCCGGAGATACCCCCACAGGCGGCCAGCCACGAACAGGCACAGCGGAATGCGCTTCTCGGTGGCAAGAGACGTCAAGAATCTCCAGGGAAGAAGCGGACCGACTCGGGGGTGGGTCAGCTGAGCGGAACCTCGAGTGAAGTCAGTGAGTAGAGTAGGCTGATAGTGAGGTGAGGGATGAGGTAGAATGATTGTGATGAAGGTGGACCTACGGTGTCAACTTGGATATGCCGCGGACGGGGAGAGTCTTTACTCATTTACCCATGACTGGGAGCATTTCTTTTTGTTAAAATTTCCATGATATATAGCGTGGAGTTGGATAGCGCTGAATCTAGCATTTTCCATGTTTTGGCAATGGATGTGATGGATAACGTGAAAGAGGCGCTCTTGATGTGGTCTTGATCATGTCGGCTTGACGCCGACTTCGGGCGCGAGATGTTCCAATTGTTTTTGTATTTTCTACAATTAGGAGGCTAACTACAGCATGCGCTAGCTGTGAGACATCTCTGCGGCCGGCCCGATGTTTGTTTCCTCGCTGGGTATAAAATATTGTGAGTCTGTAGCAGTATTTCGGGTGTGGGTGTGTTGTGATCGCGGCGAGGCGTCGGCGTTTAGAACTCCTCCTTGGTTGAGAACTGTATGCACGCGGAGGACCGTCCCCAATTAGAGATGCGAAGAAGAATGGGCTGCAGTCGTGGTGGTGGTGGCACTCACAGCGTCACCGCCGGCCTTGGCCTTAGTGGACAGATCCTCGGCGGCCTTTTGCAGGGCCGGGGGATTGGGGCCGGTCAGGTCGTTGGCCTTGTCGCCGTTTTCGAAGAAGAAGAAGGCGGGAATGGAGCGGATGCCGAGCTCAAAGGCAAGGTCGGGCACGTCGTCGGTGTCGAAGCGCGCAAAGGTGTACTTGTCGGGTACGCTGAGCGAAGTGGCGAACTTGGTGAAGAAGGGCGAGATGGCCTTGCAGGGGCCGCACCAAGTGGCGTGGGCCTGGAGGGCGACGTAGGGCGTCTTTCGGATGAGGTCGTCGAACTGCGCCTTGGTCTTGATGTCGATGATGGACATGGTTGCGAGCTTTTTTTGGGGTATTTTTGTTGTTGGTTGATAGCTGGTGAGAGAAGAGAAGGGATTTCTGCGCTTGGCTTTGGTGGAGTGGGTGGTGGTGATGTAATGGGGGGGAGGAGAGGGTTATCGAGCCAAGTCCAGTGGAAGCCAAGGTATGGATAGCTGGGAATATATAGCTACCGTTAATTTGACTTAGCTTCCAGAATCTGATCTGTAATGAGCCTGGCTACTTTGTCATGGACGACACAAGCAGACGCGAGACGGCGCTCAGACGAGCAAAGCAATTAATTGGCCAAATGCCGCGATGGCGTGCTTTGGCGGGGCATCAGCCTCCTGGGTAGCTCGGGAGGCCGACGACGCGGACCGGATATGGCAAACCAGCCATCAGTCCACCATGGAATTGGGGCCACTTGGAATCAAGATGGATTCCAGCCAAACTCGGACCATCGGCGAACCATGGGAATTGCTCCGGTACAGACATTCTCAGGCTACCGAAATAGGTATGCAGTGACAGGTGCCGATGGCCCGGCACTCTGTCGTGTTGCAGTACCGAGGTCACTTTCAAAAGTCGTGTCCCGCGCTGAGGTTTCTTATTTTTTTTTTAAAAAAAAAAACCCCCCTTTCTATTTTTTTCTGTCTTTCTTGTCTTTATCAGCTCAACTTATATCTGACAATACATACAAAAACCCATGTGGGAATAGCCTCAGCTACAATTGCCCACAGGAGGGCATGTCTTTGAAGAAATATTATCCACATCTGGGCCAGGCTCTGGAAAGTCGACATCGCAGCCCTCTGACGTACCACAGCCGTTGTTTACATTAGCAACGAACATGGCAGGGCGGCTTGCAAAGGCATCCCCTGCATCCCGCTTCGAATTCGACCCGCCTCCGCCGCCGCCTCCGCCTCCCGCAATGGTCACATGCGCACAGTTCATGTACATCTCGCGGTTGCCAATCTTGTTAAACCACGACCAGGCAAATAGGACAGTGTCTCCAGTAGGCGTGTCATTCGGCAGCGTGAAGACCCAGTTCGCGGTGAGTGGGCAGCCGCCAATGTACGAATGGACGACGGTCCAAGTCGCGCCGCGGTCGTAGGAGAGGGACGCCTGGCAGCTGCCGCCGCCGTGCGTCGCGCCGCCAACAATGGTCATGTTGTACGACTGCCCGGGCTGCCAGGTGACGACAGACTGGCCTTGCGGCGTGCCCAGCAGTGACTGGTATCCCTTGCAGGGAAAGTTGTCGCCGTTGGCGTCGAGCGGGCTGTTCATGTTGTAGTCGACACTCGTCGTGTAGGGGTTGTACTTGGACCGGAACGGTGGTGGCCAGCTCATCTGCATGTGGGCAGAGCTTAATTCGCCCAAGCAAAGGACAGTCAAAGCTGCGAGTGCTGCTTTCATGGTTGATATGGTGCTGATGTCTGCTCGGGGAAGTAAGTATATGCTGTGTTGTGATCTTGTCCATCAGCAAATCCGGACCTTCGGCGTCATGACTTTATATACTTGAGCTCCCTGGCTCTCTTGTCAGGAGTTCCGTGACTTTCTTCATTTTCAGGCCTGCTAAAAAACTCATTGGATGTCCGATATTTTGAGGCCGCGCGCCGCGTCCACCATCGCAGGCCATGATGACCCAAATAGGAAGTTGTACAAGTAACGTATCAGAAAGTCCAATATAAGCAGTGCTTTCTAGCTGCGACGACTTATCTGCAGTGTCGTATGCTGCACACCTGACCGGCATCACGGCATGGCTTTATTAGATATAAATGAAACTTGGCTTACTACGGGGAGCAAGCTTGTGACAATTACAGAGATGAGCCTGCGCAGTGGCGGGGAGCCCTTCTGTTGCTGGCAGGTTACAGCGCCTAGCTTAGCGCTAAGGTAGCTCGTGGGGGAAAGGCTGACTAGGAATTCGGAAGAATAGATTGCCATTGCAACATACTCAGGTGCTTCTTCCAGTTTTGGTACTTCCAAACTTGCAATTTCCCAGGTGAAAGTTGGTTCCATATCGGATCAGGGTGGTTGACTAGAGAGTCACGCTGGAGAGGCTTGATAAGACATCCGAAGTGGCTTCAGCACTCAGTCAAATATCTATTTCGGAGATGAGGTTCGGCCTTCAGTTTCTAGATTAACTTTCGCCTATAAGACGTGTACCGTATTTCGGTCATCGTAGTGACTGCTGCCACTGCCTTGAGAAGCGCCACTCCCAACATCCATCGCGACTTACCCCGGATCCAGACCCCAGACCAGGCTGCATCTTGCATTCCCAGCCTCGAACGGCGTCGCAGTCAACTCAGCCTATCTGGCAATTGGTTCAAAGACAAGTTTCATTGATGCAAATTAAGCGTGGCTTTGTCATAGTATATGATGGTGGCATGAATTTAATATGCTATCGAGATGGAGGCATGCACTCTGACGTCGCTGTCGCAAGTCAATGCATGCATTATCGAAGAGATCAAAGTCTCTCAAACTCTTCAGGCAAATCCTCTCCACCAACCCAAGCTGACACGCCTCGGGCAAAGAGCTCTGGAAATTGTACATCCCACCCATGTGTAGCGTTTGTCAAGACAATTCCTCCTGAGCCATCCTGGGGCCAGACCTCGTCTTGCGTAGTCTTCCTAGTCTTGAGTGCCTCAGCCGTCCGTATCATCGTTGGCACATCATCTCCCTTTGCTCCCGCGATAGAAAGCACTCGCACCTGCAACCGACAGATATGATCCAAGTTAAATTTCAAGACCCACGGAAACATATCTTTGATCAACCCCCAAGTCACGTTACCCCTCATCGCGGCAACCAGCTCGTCACTCAGCGTCAAGCCAGCCCTCGCACTGCGATAGCGGTACAGCCATGTGGGAATCACATGTAGCAAGAACATCATCATGAAGTATGTCAATCTTGGCCAGCGAGCCATAAACAAGCGCTTTCCAGCAAGAGGGGCGGATCCAGTCACGAAAAGAGACAGGACCATGTCCGGCTCGTGCAGTGCCAAGCACTGGCCGACGTAACCGCCCATGGAAACACCAACAACGTGAGCTTTTCCGCCACGAGCATGCGAGCGAATCAACTGCGAAACAAAATTTGCTGCATTGTCCACCGTTCCTGGCTTAACATGACGTGAGGCGGAGTGCAGCGGGAGATCTGGGACGAGGATGTGGAAGTCTGAGAGGTGCGGGACGACGAGCGCAAACTCAAGCCGGCATGTAAATCCCCCATGAAGGAGGACAATAGTAGTAGCCTTTTCGTCGTTGTATGAGGAAAAAGACAACATGTTGGTAGCAGCGTCGGCTCTGGAAATCAAGGCCATGATGAAGTATGTGAAGGTTCAAGGTGGGTGGGCTCGAAGTGAGCAAGTTTGCTTGCGAACCTGCTTGTTGTGATAATAGAGGGTGCAACGGCAAACAAGGCTTTAGCTTGACTTGCAGTCATTTGAAGGTCTATTTGTTGTTACATATCAGCCAAACTTGGGAAGGGATGCATGCGACTATTATTTGACGGCAACGGAGCGACGCTTGGCTTCGCGATGAATGACCGCACCGGCCAGGCCTGAAGAAGGCACATGGCGATAAGTCAATGTATTCGGTAATATGTAGAAACCCGAAATGCCGATGGAAGATGACTCTAGAGGCTAAAATCTCCCTCGAATATCTTCCAGGCTCGATTTCTCAGCCCAGTGCGCTGTCCGCCGGGTCTCTTCTTTGACGGATGTTCGGTTCGAAACAGAGCCCGAGCTTCACGCCCCTTCATTTTCACTAGTTAGACACGTGTAATATGCGGGATTCATTTACATACTACGGTTAGGTGGTATGTAAATGAACAACAAAGGCGGCCCGATTCAAGCTTGTTCTGTAGCAGAGCCCAGATGACCACCACTCTGCTCCAAGTTGTCTCGTTGGCTAGTACAACTCGGGCGCCTGCATGCTTCACGCCTTCTCCCACCCTCCTTTTCTTAAACTCGTTGTTAAGAACAGGGATCAGCTGTGGAAGGCTTGTTCTTATTTCTCCGATGCCTCGTCCCGTGACTTTGAGTGCGGGCGCACGTTGCCATTATACCCCGCCAACAAGGTCCAGCATGAGCACACGCAGTCGGTATCTTACTAGCGCCTAACACATCCTTTTGACTACTGCCATGGAGGAAATATGACCTCGCCAGACAATTTATCGTTTCTCGTGGGTTAATCGAGCCTGCCAGACTTGCTGGTGGCTTCCATCATGTCTCTTCAAACAGTAGACACGCAGTGACCCGGTCTTCAATGGAAGTGAGTGAGAGAAAGCTCCGGCCATTACTGGAGTTACTCTGTTGTAGTTTTAACAGATTGACCGTGATGTATACTAACCAGGCTCGTGGCAGGCTGTAGAGTCCTGTGACACTCTACAAAAGCAATCGCAGTTGTTTAATCTTGATTCCCTTGCGCATATCCGCGCTAACATAAGCTTTAAGCGGCCCGCGCCGGACCCTGAGTATACTTGAGACCGACATCGACTGCCGTGTCCGCGACGGCACCAGCATCAGGCTCCGTTAGTATCGCCCGGCGACGCCAGCCGCCCGAAGGTCGCCACTCGTCGTTCACTATCATGGTGGTGCATACATTTTTGATGATCTCAACACGGCGGCAGTCTTTTGCCGCACCATCGTGCGAGACCACGATGCCGTCGTCATTGATGTCGATTATCGATTGGCACCGGAGCATCCATTTTCAGCTGGGAAGAAGGATGCATGGGATGCCCTGGAGTGGGTATGTCAAGGTCGCTCTAATTTATAACCAAGCAACAACGAACTGGAAGGTTGACAGGGCGCTAACCTTTGCACAGGTTGCCAAAAACTACAGCGCCTTGGAGGCGCGCCCTTCCCTGGCGTTCCTCGTAGTGGGTTGCTCAGCGGGCGGCAATATCGCTGCTTCCATGGCTCTTGAAGCGCGGGACCGAAGCCTGCAGCCGTCGTTGACAGGCGCCCATCTTAATGTCCCCGAGACCATCTCGTCGGAGCAGAAATTACCAGACAAATACGCACGGCTGTGGCTGAGCCGCGATCAGAACAAGGATGCTCCCATTCTGAACCAGTCTCTGATAAACTTCATGACGGGTAAGTCTTCGTTCTCGCAACGAGCTGCGATGCACATGTTCAGCGGTCGAGCTAAATGCCCCTACAGAATGTTACAAGCCCGACTTGAACTCTCATTACTTTGCGCCTGCTCACCACCCGCACGGTCATTCTGGCCTTCCCAAGACGTACATCGATGTATGCGGTCTCGACCCTTCCGTGATGACGGCATTATACACGAACAGGTGCTGCGCGACGCCGGTGTCGCGACAAAGTTGAGCATCTTTCCTAGGTTGCCTCACGGTTGGTGGATCGTGATGCCAATCTAGGAAAGAAAAAGAGACCCAATACTCGATAGAGATGAAAATCCACTCAAATAAAGCAAGAAAAAAACAGTATATCCTTTTAGTTATAAAGAGAGACTAGGCAGACATTGTTTCTGTTTTATCTTCCTCGCCAAAAAAAAAAGGCGAGGTGCTTAGTGCATCTTGACACACTTCCATGCGATATTCCGCGCTGTTGCCGCGAAATATGCTTTCAAAGCCAGCAATAACACAGGGAAGCCGATAGCAGCGCCTAGCATCCCGTCAAATCCTTTAGATGGAGAATTCGCCCAATTTGTGCAAGAGTCCCTCGACGTCTGGCATGTCCCGGGTATGTCGGTCAGCGTTGATGGTGACGTCTACACCGAGGTGGGTATACTCGAAGAATCAGGCTACTCGTGGACAATCAGCCTGACTTGTATCTTCTGAGGCTAATTCGTACAGGGCTATGGACACACCGTAATCCCAGACGTGCTTGCTACCGCCGACACACTCTGGTACGCGTGCTCGACGACGACAAAGGCGCAGGTAGCGGCGCTGCTTTCGCAGCTCATCCACTCCAACAACTACACCGATGCCTTCTCTCGCGGCTGGGAGACGCCCATCTCGTCCATCATCTGCGACGACTTCGTCTTGCAGGACGAGTGGGCAACCGCGCACGTCACACTCAACGACTCCGTGAGCCACCGCACCGGCCTGGGTCGTCATAACTGGGGGCTGCTACGCGTTCGCGACGGCGAGCAGCTGCTCCCGTGGGACGTGACGCGCAACCTGCGTAACCTGGCAATGATCAAGGAACCCCGTGTGCAGTGGTCCTACTGTAATTACGTGTACGTCGCGCTGGGCCACGTGCTCGAGACTGTGACTGGCCAGTGGCTTGGCCGGGCGCTGCGCGAGCATCTCTGGACCCCGCTGGGGATGGACTCGACGTATTTCGACGTTGAAGTCGCGCTGGTGGCGCCGCATCGATACCTGGCGGCCGGTTATGTGTGGAACGAAGCGGCGCGGAAGTATACCCGGGTAGATACATGACCCTCACGGATTTCAGTGCCGCTGGCGCAGTCATTTCGTCTGTCAAGGACTACGTGAAGTGGTGAAATGTCTCATCAACAGGAGCGCGCCATTGTTGCCGAGTGTCCATCTTGATATCGGGGGGGGGGGGGGGGTGCGACCTGGGATGAGATGGCACCGACTTTATACGGGCTGGGGTGGGTGCGCACCACGATCCATGGCCAAAGAGTATTGTTCCACCCAGGCGGCTTCCATTCTTACGGCGTAGAGCTGTTCTGGCTGCCTGATGTCAGGTTCGGCGTGGTCACCTTCGGGAACACAGCCGCTTCAGCCAATTGGCAGCAGCTTGACGTTGTATACCGTCTAATTGAGGACAAGGTCGAGACCCCGGCAAACAAGAGAATCAATATTCGCAAAATGTAAGTACCCACCCCACTTAGTCAATCGCTAATTGTACACGGACCTACCGCCATATGTACTAACATGAGAGACAACAGATCGATACAATTCCCGAGATGAGGTGTGGACGAGGGAAAAGGCTGTTGAAATCCTCTTCCCCAACCGCCCCGAGCCTCCGCTGCCATCGTCATTCGGCATGCACCAGCTGGTCGGCACTTATACGAATGCCGGCTGGGGCGAGGTTGCATTTACTGAGGCGCAGCACGGCTCGGGCACCGGCGGATCGGTCCTTGTCGGACCGCGACCACACGCGTCGTTTCGACACACATTTGTGTTGGAGCACATGACGGGTAACTACTGGTTGTTGACGGCCGTAACCGATGGGGGCAGCCCGTTTACGAAACGTTTCTTTGCCGCACGGTTCGTTGCAGGAGTTGACAGGGAACCGATCAGGCTGGAACTGGACACGGCGCAGGGGCCGAGCAACGCTGGTGACGGTGTCATCGTGTTTGGGGAGTCTAAGTAGGGCCTACCTGATTCCGAGGACGTCTATCATACATGTGTCGTGTAACACGACAACAGTTGTTATTCGACATTTTTTCAGAGATGAAGAAATTCTAGGAGGGAGAGCGTAATGTACAGCGGGTTGTCAAAAGTTCCGCACGGCTGATACGCAGTTTGTGTAGTAGACCAGGCGGAAGTTTTGTACCAACGTTTATACAATACGAGCACCAGACTGAACACGAACCGTCTATTAATAGAATCTTGTCAATTACGAAAGATGAAGTCATTTATATTCATCGGCCTATTGCGAATATGTACTGGATGCTTGCTTAGATACCGTCGTCGTATATCTCCTGCTCAAGGGAAACCAGCGTGGCGTACTCCTTCCAGCCCGCGCAGGTGTCGTTGAGAAAGTCGTAGTTGATAAGCTTCCGAGCCTCCTCCTGTCTTTCCACGAACTGAAGGGCCAGTCCCATGTTGGTGTGCCACCCAATGTGACAGTGCATCAGCCACGCGCCGGGGTTGTCCGTCTTAAAGGCCAGCACCAGATGTCCAGAGCCGGGCAGCATCGCCACGTCGCGGCGCATAGGATTGGTGAGGCTGAACAGATCCGTCGACGAGTCAAACGATCCGGAGCCCTGTGCAACGATGTAAAAGTCGTGGCCGTGTAGGTGGATGGGGTGCGCGGCGCCGTTGGTCGCCTCGATGATGACGTAGACCCAGCTGTCCGCCTGGTCGAGCTGAATGACGTGGCTCCGGGTGGTAAAGTTGGTCGCGTTGTTGTAGACCTGAAGCAGGGTTGGGTTGGCCCAGTCGGCATAGAAGGACGTGTTGTTAAGAGCCCAAAGGAAGACGCCATCGGAGTTGAGGATGGAGACTTGCTCCAGATTCGACTGGTCTGAAGTTCCGGCGCTGAGTGCCACGTGAGGTACCAAGCTTTCCACTGGCTCGTCGATACAGCCATCGACGTAATCATATACCGAGGTGGTTGGCGTGGAAATCTCGCTTCCGTAGTGAATGATGCCCCGGATGTCGTCGGGGTTGTCGTTGTTGGAGCAAGTTGTCTGCACCAGAGCACGCATCCAGAAATTGTCGGCCACGGATTGCTGGTCCGCAGTAACAACAATGTCATACCTTTGACCTATTGCAAGAAATAGTCAGCTATCATGTTTGAGTAGGCGAACTCAAGTTACGACGTACCAATAGCAATGTCAAGGACAGTAGTCTGATATGGGACAATGGGGACAAAGTCTGCTGCAATGACAGTCATGGTATGGTTGTCAATCGTAAACTTGAAGTGTGTGTCGAGGGCACCGTTAATCAGCCCGAACCGGTAACTCTTGCCTGCCTCGAATGAAGTGCTGAAGCGATTCCCGACGACTGTCCCAGAGTTGTTCCACGTGTTGGTGCCGTTGATGAGGCCGTTGCTGATGAAAGGAGGACCATTCGTCAAAGCAGAGGAGTACAGCGAGCTCGCGGTCGGGTGAGTCCAGTCCGAGAGCAAGATAGTGCCCTTATCCACGTCATAGTTGGCAGTTGTCGGCCCGTTAATCCGGATAGCACCGGAGGCGCCGTCCCAGGCCTGCAGGCCAATGTGGGAATGATACCACGAGGTCCCGTATTGCGTGGCGCGCCACTTATAAGTCATTGATCCACCGGCGTGAACTGGACATTGCGTAATAGCCGTCACGCCGTCCATCTCATTAGTGTAGTTTTGACGGATGCCGTGGAAGTGGATAGAGGTGCCGTTCTGCGCCAGCGTGAGGTTGTTGGACACGTGGACGACAACAGTGTCGCCCCAGTCCGCCTCGATGGTTGGTCCCGGGACCATCCCGTTGAACGCATAAGCGATGCGAGAGAACCCATCCGGCGATGCAGTGATCTGCTGCAAGTCGAAATGGTACTCTCTCACAACTCCAGTGTCGGGGACATGGTCGTAGTAGTTGGTGTCGATGCTGTAATCACACCACTGAGATCTTGTGCCTGCAGTGTTCCCGGAGCAAACAGAACGTGGATTGTTGCAAATTGCAAGAGCAAAGAGAAAAAAGAATGGAAGGACCAGATTCATCGCGGCCTGGTTCTCGTTGATAAACGAGAGACTTGTCAGGGTTGGTTGTACTTGCTTGGTGTAAGTTGAAGGATGAGTTGTACTGAAACTCCAAGACATGCAGATTATCACGACTCCTTTATACCAGACGACGGACAATACTATCTGCAGACTTACGCAATGCAACTTTCTTGAAACTCCTCCGCAACAACTGCCGTCGCTCGGTCTTTCTCGACCTCCGCGTCACCGCTCCTGCTGCAGGCTGCCAGCTGCAGGCATATTCCCAGTCGTTTCTTCTCGATATATTGTACAATCAGCCTCTTCTCTGAGCAACTCCAGCCTTGGAACATGTTTCCACAGCCGGCAATTCGCAAAATAACAGAAACACACAGACAGACTCCATCTCAGCTGACGTGGATATCTCAGCTGTCCCGCGAAGAACGTGCGGGGCGTTGGTGGAGTTTCATATTTTCCATTATCAAAGCGCAATATCTTTGACAATCTCTGGTTGACGTAAGTTGATGACGAGTCTCTATCTATAGTTGCTAAAGGCAGGGTGTATATATGCTGGAAATGCCCCCTTGCGAAGCTATGGTTGCACCAGCATCTGTCTATCCGCGGTCAGCTCCTCTTACCTTGTTTAGCCTCGTCTTAACTTTCAATTGCTACCTCAGACAAAAGGACAATCTTCATCATGAAGTTTCCCTTGAATTCCAAGCTTACAGGCCTTCTGGCTACCTTCGCTATGCTTCCTGCCGCGCTGGCCGCTGATGACAGCTTCAGCTTGCTTTGTTACACCACGACTGGGTTGTTTGGGGCCGCCGAGCTCTATTACAAGAATGGTTGGTTTCATCTAATCAGATGGTTCTCGAACAATTATAGACTAATACATATAGGGTTCATTATGATTTCGAATGCTACGTCTCCGTCCAACATGACCTCTATTTACTGTAAGTACAAGTCCTGTTTTCGACATTATTGGTTCAGGGTGTCCCCGTAACCGGCGGATCATCATGCAAGAGCCTCGCCTGACGCTCTCTTTCCTTAGTTACTCGGGACCAGGGCTCCCCGTCTGCACCTTGGCGGGTCTCGTCCAACACGACCAAGTCGCCGAACCCTCACTTCAGCTCCGGCGCACTTGCGCTGCCGGTGTATGACAGCCCCGGTTCGGCGAACGCGGGGGTTGCCGTCACGAACAGCTCGACTGGGTCTGCGGCGGATCTGCTGTTGTATGGGGAAACGGTCTTTGCTCGGGTCAATGGCAGCTACCAGAACCCATTCTATGCCGCTACCACGAATGACGTGGACGTCTGGCAGCTGCTGTGGAACCCGGTCGATCCAGGTAACAAGGATCTCACGCCCGTAGTGCTGCGTACGAGCAATGTGCTGTGACGTTACTGCGATTTTTGCAAGTAATATCCGTAGCCTGATGGTGGAACGCACAGATTGGTTTACATAGTATTGAGTAACAGAACAAGAGCTCGCATATATTCAAAATCAATGAAAACAAGCCACAATTTGGGTTGATCTAGACTGCGAGAAAGAAGTGGTGTTATCGCGATTATTTTTAGTCCGTGCCACTTCACGGAGACCGGGCCGTAACCCACCAGCTGGGACAGGGGCAGGGGGAAGGTAGACAGACATCCATGCAGACGGACAGCGCGAGGGCCGACGTCCGAGCACCCCACAAGCTACCGATATGAGTTCATCAGTTACTCTTTGATAGGACCAATCAATCGTAAGGGTGTGGTGGTAGGAGGTTCTCTTCTTCACTATATCCGTGCTTCGCCCACATCCCCGCAGCCAACTTTCCGCCCTCCGCCACCTGTCAAAGCTATACTGCGGGCGCTGTATTAGAGAGTCAATGCGGCCCGAATTGTCGGGGATAGTAACTTCTGCTAACTGCTAACTGTCGACTAATAAGGTGGAGCATCTCGACTTGGCAAACACGCGAAGTATGGTGACGGGGTAGTCGATGTCTGTACGGATTCGGACGTCGGCTTACCATTACAGGGTAGGAGGCGAGGTTTGAGCGTGGACATGACGCGTCGCGGAGGTCACCAGGCTATGCTCGGCCAGGATCTCGGTCGGCCAGGATAACGCCCAATTATCCGATTATGTAACGCCTCACATGTCTTGGGTCTTGGAAACACAAACACCCACCAAACAAACAGGTCGGTGGGCGGACTTTTTGCAGAGTGGTTGGGTTGGTTGATCTGTTGTGCTTGTCGCTGAAACAGGCTGGGGTGAGAAGCCCGTCATGCCCACTTGGCCAAAATTAGCAGCCTGTTTGACCGTTACTGATTCGTCAACATACGGCAGAGCATGCTAATAACTATGTTAGTCGAGCCTACCCACCTACTGTACGAAACACAGCGTCCCCCTCGGAGCGGCGACCTAGGGGCCCGATATGAGGCAAAATCGGGCGTCGCCAAGGCGAAAAGGGTGCGAAAAAGGGTCAGCTGAAACATGCCGCGGTGCAACTCTCCTCCCCGGCCGAGATTGATTCACGTTTACCAGTATGCATGATACGTCGCAAGAAACAGGATACGTCATTGATACCTTGACAGCAGCACTCAGCCTGATGCCCATTACAAAAAAAGACGGATGCCTGGCTGCGAGGCAGTGTTGCAAGAGACCGATCAGGCCACGTTGGTTTTTTACTTTTATCAATAGGCGGCCGATCAGTGGGCAGATGGAAGAATGACCGATGACCGATGACCGACCCCGACTTTGCGGAGTCGGCCTGAGTCCAGAGCTTGCGCACTATTTTCCCGGATCAAGACAGCACGGGGAGGAAGAAGAAGGGAGACAGGTCCGCCTCGTTCTTCCTCTGAGGCAATCACAGGCCAAGAGTTGTTAAGCAAGGGACCGACAGAACATCGAAATCCCGGGCTAGTTCCTCACTGGTGCTCAGTGCCTACCTCCCCGTCCCGACTCCCCCGCAATGAACGGCCCCTGCAAATCTTCCCTAACCCGAGCTGAGCCACCAAATGACCAATGGGCGGCGCCCCGTTGGTCCATCCATGCATGACGCTGCTACCATACTTGTTTAGTTAGCTTGGAAGCCCTGGAAGCCAGGCAGTGTTCTGCCCGGATACGGCCTCGAGGAGTTTTTCCGCCCCCTGCAACTGCAAATGTCTTACTGTCTCACAAGCTTGCCGACGAGGCGGGCGATGCTAACTTAGTGCTGGCCGGCCTTTTCGGTCGGCCCATCTAGCTCCTTTTTTCATATCCGGGGTTGCAGAAAAAAAAAAAGAGACAAGGGGAGTATAAAATCACAAATCCATCATGGCGGTACTATCCGTCATCTCCATCCCAGCACTGCTGGTGTCGCTGGCGGTCGCCTTCGTCCTCGTCCATGCCATCCAGTACATCCGCTTCCGAACCAAGGCGGCCCGTCTGGGCTGCAAACCCGCCGTCGCGGGATTCAACGGCGACATGGCCGGCCTCAGCCTGATGCGCATGGGACTCAAGGCCCAGCGCGAGAAGAACGTGCCCAACTGGATGCGCCAGGAATTTGCCCGACTGTCGGCGCGCGAGGGCCGCCCGGTCGGCACCTTTGCCATGAGCGCGCCGCTCTTCCGCCGCGCGCTCTTCACCGCCGAGCCCGAGAACATCAAGACCATCCTCGCGACCAGCTTCAAGGACTTTAGCCTCGGCAAGAACCGTACCGGTAATTTCAAGCCGCTTCTCGGCGACGGTATTGTATGTTTTTTCATTATATTTTTATACTTGCTCTGATAATCCCCCCCCCCCATCCATCCATCCGTAATGAGGAGACAGGAAGCACGACGGACGGGCGGACGGCTAACAACGGGCACCTTTGTAGTTTGCATCCGACGGCAAGAAGTGGGAGCATTCCCGCGCCATGCTGCGACCGCAGTTCGTCCGCAGCCAAGTCAGCGACATCTCCCTCGAGGAGACGCACGTGCAGAACCTCATGGCCGTTCTCGAGGGCCAGCTCGACAGCACCACGGGCTGGTCGTCCGCCGTCGACCTGTCGCCGCTCTTCTTCCGACTTACCCTCGACTCGGCCACCGAGTTCCTCTTCGGCGAGAGCGTCAACAGCCAGCTGCGGCGCGAGGGCGACGCCACCACCTCCGCCGCCGCCTTCGCCACCTCCTTCGACGCCTCGCAGAACCAGCTCGCCGTCGCCGGCCGCTACGGCAGCAACTACTGGATCGGCCACACCAAGGAGTTCCACAAGGACGTGCGCATTTGCCACGAGTTCATCGACTACTTTGTGCAAAAGGCCATGAACGGCCAACGCAGCGTCGGCGAGAAGGAGGGAGAACGCTACGTCTTCCTCGAGGCCATCGCAAAGGAGACGTCCGACCCCGTCGAGCTGCGCTCTCAGCTCATCAACATCCTGCTCGCCGGCCGCGACACTACCGCCTCCACGCTCGGCTGGTTCTTCTACACCCTGGGCCAGGCCCGCCACCGCCACCTCTACAAGCGCCTGCGCGACGCCGTCCTCGACGAGTTCGGCACCTACCGCGACCCCAAGCCCATCACCTTTGAGGGCCTCAAGAACCTCACCTACCTGCAGTGGTGCGTCAACGAGACGCTCCGCCTCTACCCGATCGTGCCCATGAACGGCCGCTCCGCCGTCAAGGACACGGTGCTCCCCGTCGGCGGCGGCCCCGATGGCCGATCGCCGATCCTGGTCCGGAAGGGCCAGGACGTCGGGTACTCAGTCAGTCATCCCCCAACCCCTTCACGTCTTTCCCCTTCGGTAATGAGAAAGCTAACACCTCGCGCTGCAGGTCCACGTCATGCATCACCGCACCGACCTCTGGGGCGCCGACGCCGACGACTTCCGCCCGGAGCGCTGGGAGAAGCGCAAGCCCGGCTGGGACTACCTGCCCTTCAACGGCGGCCCGCGCATCTGCATCGGCCAGCAGTTCGCCCTGACCGAGATCGCGTACATCGTCGTGCGCATGCTCCAGCGCTTCGACGAGCTCGACGGCTCCGCGCTGCCGCTCGAGTCGCACGGCCTGGGCCTAACCAACTGCCCCGGCGAGGGCGTGCCGCTGAGGCTACACTTTGCGGAGTAAATACTAAAAAGATGAAAAATAAGGATCAGTCTTCAATTGATGTCGCCACTCTTCTCGGACTGCTTGTACATATTTTTGGGGGGAAGGAGGTATTTGCACTTACCGGACTAGCAACGTCCTTCTCATGAGTTTTCGGGACATTTTTCTACTCTTTTGTTTCCTGTATCTTGGGACAGCTCAAGCAGGAAGCCGATGTATTCATGATGGAACTCCAGCATCAGCTTGTTGTAACGAATTTAATGAAAATCTTCACTTACAGAACAAATCATCTCAGCTAAACAAGACGACGGAACATTGCGGAATTGACGAAGATGAAACACAACAGGCGTATTCTGCGTATATAAGACACACTGGGTCGTTTACGTCCACTCGCCTTACCCGGAATTGCCTCCAAGCCGCCGTGTACGGTGATGCTAGATCGACGTGTCTCTGGAAGTGATACCGAGTAAGCCTGGAATCTGGTGGTATCAGACGCTAAAGAGCATGGGCTGGAAAGATCTTGCGGGTAGATTACACGGCTCGATTACACCGTCTTGTTATAACCATGCCAAGTCACTGACCGCGATGTGATTCATGTACCTACATAGATGCCTACGTACAGTAGGTGGGGAATTAGGGCTGACGGCGGGAGTTGTAAGACAGGGCTGGGCAGATTAAACGGCTGGTTTCAAGACAAGAGATAGGGGCTGAGCATGAGGCTACAGTTGAGCGGGAATTTCGGTCAGATGAAAAGTGGCTCTCGGTTAAAACGGATCAAAGATGGCTTATTATTGGAGTTGGATCTTGGGGGCGGCTGTATGTATCGGGCATGATATCGGGCATGAAGTGAGACTGCGGCACTCGGCGAGCGAAGTCGATGGGCCTGAGCGGAACAAGATGGACTTTTATCTTGAAAGCTTTTTAAAGACCTAACTCACTCTGGGTATAGGGACTAGGGGGCGCATAAAAATTATTAGTAGCCGGCTTGCGCCAGTCGTGATTTGGACATTGACACCTAACAAAGCTGATGATTGCAAAGCGAGCCAGACCACTACAGTGAGGGATGGGGGTGGTTGTGCTGGGTTAACGATACTTGCGCTGGGTTAACGATACTTGCGCTGGGTTGAAGATAACTTTTGCGCAAAATTTTTTTCTACAACCCAAGGAAATTACTATTTTTCTCATTGTAATAGCGAGACATTGTAAGAAAAGGCTAATGAATACGGGCAGTGCTTGCTTGCGAGCGGCGAGTTACTGATACAGTGGGCACCACAGTAAGCTGAGATCTGACATGAGGGCTGTGGCAGTCGCTGGCTGAGGTTGACGCTGGCGGGCGAATGAGACATGTATGTCAGCGAAAAAGAGGGCGGCGGGTACGAATGATAGATTTGACCAAGGATTATGGCAAAGAGAGCAATGCCGAGACGAGAGGGCGGTCAGCCAAGCGAGCATAAGAAGAAGAAGTTACAAGACTGGCGGCGAGACGATGGAAGTTCGGAGAGTCGACGGCATTCGGGGCATTTGGGGATAGGTAGTAGAGAACGGGCGCCAACTGGCTTTCATTGCTAGATGCAACGAGGAAGACTGAATTCGTCAGAAGAGTCTTTTGAATGACGGATACTTGTTTACTGTCAAGCGTCAAACGCGTTGTTGTTGGTGGCTGAGTACAGGCACCGGCATGAGATGCCTGTTGGGGAAAGCTGTTCGCCGGGCCGCCCGCTGTACCCGCTGTACGGGAATGACGACGCGCTGTAGGCCGCCGCTGAGCCACGATCCTGGGGGTACTCTGTCCCCTGTCAAGTGTCTTCGGCTGCTGCGCCATGCAAACAAACTGGTTGGCGGCTCTGTCCGGGTGCCACAACGAGCCACAGCCACACACATGTGGCCTGTACCTGTACCTGGAACTTTGTTGTTCGTTTCTCGTTTGTCCTTTTGTCTTTTCATCGTCGTCATCACCATCATCACCGCCATCGCCCGGCATCAAGCACGCCCTAAATGGGCATCCTTCCGTCCGTCAAGCCGAGCTCCCGTCTCGTCATGCACCCTCCCACCCCTCCGCCTGCCACGCGAGTGACATGTACAGACAGTGGTACAGACGGCACTGTACCATCATGCACCGCCGCAGATCGCCAATGCTGTCGTTCGTCCCACACTTGTTCCCTCGCCTCGACGCCAACCGAGACGCTTGCAAAAGAGGCTCCGACTGGTACGCCATGTGCCATGCTTTCTCTTGCAATTCGATTCGATTCGATTCGACACGCTGGCTAGCCCTTGAAACTCGAGACAACAACTAGCCACCGCCACGTCGTGCTGAGTGTGTCCGCCGCTCACCCATCCCGCATCCACGCATCCACATCCCAATGCCGGCGGTCCACCAACGCTAAAATTACCCGAGTAGGTAAGAATCATCGTCACAAAGGAAGCGCCCACAGGAGTCGCCAGCAGCCACCAATTGTCTGTTAACTTCTTCTCTCCCAATCAAGCTCCCAGGGGGTGTGTGACGAGGACGCACTCCTTTGACCATCCGAGGCATCTGTCTGTCATCCATCTCTGCCCTATGCGTTTGGCGCTCAACGACGCAACATCCATGAACGACCAGACTTGGCTGGCACCGGCTCCGCTAGCATTGCAACCGTTTCTAGAGTAGTGTCAAGGTATATACAAGGCCCGCCCTGTCACTCAGACATTGTAATAAGATTGCACTTGCTTGGACAGACCACTCTCGGCGCCAACTTTTCTTCCCCTCGCTTTTCCTCGATTCCCTCACTCACCCATCAACCTCACTCATCCATCCGTCAACGAGCGCACATCGCAGCATCCAACTCGGCACGGCACGGCACGCGGCGCTTTCCGCTGCCACCGCTCATCCGCAATGGCTTCGCCCCGACTCAGTGACTACGCCAACAAGCACGATTCAGGCGTCGTTGCCGACCCCCTCGCCACCACCCGCCAGACCTCCAACACCAGCTCCGTCGATGTCGATGAGCATGGCCACCTCACCCTCTGGCAGGCCATAAGGAAGTGGAATCGCGTCTTTTGGTACTCGCTCGCCATTTCTTCCACTATCCTCATGTTTGGCTATGACTTTGTCATTGTTGGCAACTCATCCTCCATGCCCGCCTTCCAGTACGCCTAGTTCCCAGTACTACTGCTCGCCCTTTATGAGCAACGCAACTCTTCAACCGACAAACAAACTAACCACTAAACCCCCGTCCCAGGCACGATTTTGGCGAGTACTACCAGGGACACTGGATTATCCCTTCGCTCTGGCTCGGCCTCTGGACATTCATCTCCCCGGGCGGCATGATGATTGGCTCTCTCTTCGTTGGCTATTTTCAGGACTGGTGTGGCCGCAAAGCGTCCTTCCTCGTCTCCTCCTTCCTCGCCGCCATTGCCGTCGCCGTGTGCTTCTGCTCCCAATACCCCGAACAAATTCTGCATCGCCGCGGCACTTTTCTCGGCGGTAAAGGCATTCAGGGCCTCGCCCTTGGCATGATGATGACCACCTGTCAGACCTACCTCTCCGAGATTGCCCCTCCTAAGCTCCGTGGGCCGCTCCTTGCCTTCTTCCCCATCTTCACCCTGGTTGGCCAACTCATCGGCGCCCTTGTCATCTACGGCCTCGTTTCTGCCCCCAACGGCTACGCCATCGCTTTTGCCACGCAGTGGGCTTTTGCTGCTCTCGCCTTCGCCATCTCCTTCATCATCCCCGAGAGCCCCATCTACCTCATCCGCAAAGGCCACATCGACAAGGCTCGTAGAGCTCAGTACAGGCTTACCGGCCACGGCATCGATCCCGACCGGGTTCTCTCCGTCATGTGGCGCGACATTGAACACGAAACCCGTCAGACACCCGCAACGCTAGCTGCTTGCTTCTCCAGGATTCAACTACGCCGAACCATGATTGTCCTGTTCACCAGCGTTCTCCCTCAGATGTTTGGTCTTACTCTCCTCTCGCAGGCCAGTTACTTTGGCCAGGTTGTTGGCATCGAAGCAAAGGTCAGCTTGGTGCTCCTTATAGCAGGTGTTCTCACCGGCTGTATCGCCAACCTCATCAGCATGTGGTCTATTGGCCGCTTCGGCCATCGTGCCCTCTCCCTTGTTGGCCTCCTCGCTTGCGGCACTCTGTGGCTAAGCATGGGCATCGCCGGCAGCATCGCCCACAACATGACGGTCGCCTGGTTCTGCTCCGCTATTCTTATCCTTGTCACCGCTTGCGCGGGCTTGACAGTCTGGCCCGCTTCGTACGCCATCGGCTCGGAAGTCTCGACTCTGCACCTGCGTGCCAAAGCCCAGGGCGCCGGCTGGCTATTTTCTAGCGCCTTCAGCGCCGGCTTCGGCCTCGGCCTACCCTACATCTACAACCCGGACGCTGGCAACCTGCGCGCTATGGTTGGCTACATTTTTGCCGCATTCTGCTTCATCAGTCTTGTTGTCACCTGGCTTTTCGTTCCCGAGATGAAGGGACGTACTCCTTCGGAAATCGATCGCATGTTTGACCTGCACCTGAAATCGAGAGAGTTTAAACATTGGCGTGCCGAGGGCGGCCTCAAGAGCGAAGGCTACACTAGCTCGAGGGCAGTTTAGAAGTTCTTTTCTGCTAGTTGATGAGTGATGATATTTAGCGATTTCTTTTTTATATATGCGCATACACGCATACCAATTGACTTTTATGCACACAAGCTGAGCGGAGAAAGGTGACAAGAAGGACCCTGTCAATTCAACCAGGTTCAGAGTCTCAGAGTCATTGGCCTTTAAATTTGCTATCTATTTGTCCCAAGACTGGAGAACCTTGATACCTATGAATATTCCTAGAAGCGGGACGGCGGAATGAAAGGCGTAAAGAAGTTGTAAGGAAGTGAATTAATGTGACGTTAGTTTTTTTTGGGTTACCATGATAAGTACGATGCTGCAATCTCAGAGCCATGTCTCGGTAATTGAGCCCATTGTGGCGTTGCGTTGATATGCAGGCCGCGCCAAGCACGTGAGGCCGTACGACCTTATCTACTCTATGACGGGCATACTTGTCTATGAAACTGCGAAAAGGTGCAACTTCAAGGCAAACTCTGGGTCATTGCTTATCCCTCGGAAGTACGTTCGGCGTTAGGGTAGGTAGCGCACAGTAGCAGATAAGGGGCGGCGCCAGCGGATGGAGACACGTGGAGGACGATAGGTACACAGTTATACCAACTGCCGATCCTGGGGTAAGTTGGTGATACCAAGGCCGGGGCGGAACAACTGGCCCCAAATTAGCAGCCGCGAGAGAGGATGGCTTGATTGGGGTTTCGCGGCGCGGAGGTGGTGACAGGTGCAGCGCGGTTAGGAGCCGCGATGGGTGGTGGTGGCTGGTGGCTGGCAGGCTGGGTGCGCGGTCCGGGGATGGTAGCAGCCACATGGTAGTTTCTCCAAGTCATCTCCTTGTTATCAGTGCCGCGCTGGCTAGGCTAAGGATAAAGGGGTACAAGGTAGGTAATGCATGTTGCCTGCGATGACGGGTCCATGGAGAATGGAGATGTGAGCCTAAGATGACCGAGTGCAGATTTGGCGGAGCATCCCCATGGGGGGAGAGCGGCGATGCAGGGGCGGGACACTGGAGGATATATGTGGTGAAAGAATGGATTCCTTAGGGAGGGAAATATTGAGCAAGGATGTGCTGAAATGAGCAAGACGCCACGCGACAAGGCTCGGCAGGTCGGTCATTTACTCTGTATGTTTTCTTCCGACAGGACACGGCGTTATCGAGTGGCCCTGAGTCGCTGCATTGCATTGCAGGTTCCCTTCCCCCTCAACCAGGTTGTAGGTGGGCTGATAGTGGCTGACAGCGCCCTTGCGCCCGTTTTTAGCCACTGACGATGCTGTTTTAGGCTTCTTCCCCACCCAAGCTTCTCCAACTTTTTCCATGCCTTGACTCGACTCAACTGCCAGGCTCCACGACACCGTCCATCCATCTCTACTCTATTTATTATGGCGGCGCGCACCTGTCCATGCTGAAGCTGCAGTCGTCATTTTCGATTCTTCTTCTCTGATACCCGGCAAATCGTGCTGCACCCGCCGCTGCGACCATTGCGTTGGCAAACGCTCCCACACGGACGAGTTGAACCCGGCCGAGGGACCATACCATCACGACAGACTCATCACCACCCACACGACCACCACCCTCAACAAACCCAGTCACACCCACCGACATCGCTTCGATCAACATCTCACAAAACACCATGGCCGACCGACGCGCCTCCGCCTCTCAGCAGGCCGACATTGCTCTCGCCAATCTTGGCTACCAGAGCCAACTGCCCCGCAACCTCTCCATGCTCTCCGTCCTCGGCCTGTCCTTCGCCATCATGGCCGTGCCCTACGGCCTGTCCACCACCATGGCCTACTCCCTCGTCAACGGCGGCTCCGTCACCGCCCTCTACGGCTGGTGCTTCGTCTCCATCGTCTCGCTCTGCATCGCCGCGTCCCTCGCCGAGATCTGCGCCGTCTTCCCCACCGCCGGCGGCGTCTACTACTGGAGCGCCGTCCTCTCCGCCCCGCGCTGGGCGCCCGTCGTCAGCTTCGTCGACGGCTGGCTCACCCTCGTCGGCAACTGGACCATCACCCTCTCCATCAACTTTGGCGGCGCGCAGCTCATCGTCTCCGCCATCTACATGTTCGACCCGAACTACGTCATCCAGCCCTGGCACACCGTCCTCGTCTTCTGGGCCATCATGCTCGTCTGCGCCGTCATCAACGCCTTTGGCTCTCGGCACCTCGACCTCATCAACAAGGTCTGCATCTACTGGACTGGCGCCAGCGTCATCATCATCCTCGTCACCCTCCTGACCATGGCCGACACCCGCAACTCGGGCCGCTATGTCTTCGCCCACTATGACAGCTCCCAAAGCGGTTGGCCCGCCGGCTGGTCATTCTTTGTCGGTCTGCTCCAGCGTATGTCTCTCCCCTTCCTCCGATTCTCATTCTCACACGCACCCCAACACCCACTGACATGATAACCCGCAGCCGCCTACGTCCTCACCGGCTACGGCATGGTCGCCTCCATGTGCGAGGAGGTCCAGAACCCCGAGCGCGAGGTCCCCAAGGCAATCGTCCTGTCCGTCGCCGCTGCCGGCGTCACCGGCCTGTTCTACCTCGTCCCGCTGCTCTTCGTCATCCCCGAGGTCAGCGCGCTGCTGCAGGAGGCCAACGACAAGGCCGGCGGGCAGCCCATCGGCATCATCTTCAAGCACGCCACCGGCTCCGCCGGCGGCGGCTTCGGGCTGCTCTTCCTCGTCCTCGGCATCCTCATGTTCGCCGGCATCGGCTCACTCACCGCCGCCTCCCGCTGCACCTACGCCTTTGCCCGCGACGGCGCCATCCCCGGCTACAAGCTGTGGCGCCGCGTCCACTCGGGCCTCGACGTGCCCGTCTGGGCCCTGACCCTCTCCACCATCGTCATCTCCCTCCTCGGCTGCGTCTACTTTGGCTCCCCCACCGCCTTCAACTCCTTCACCGGCGTCGGCACCATCTGCCTGTCCGCCTCGTACGCCGTGCCCGTGCTCGTCAACCTCGCCCAGGGCCGTGTCGCCGTGCGCCACTCGCCCTTCGCTCTTGGCCGCTGGGGCGTCCTCGTCAACGGCGTCTGCGCCGTCTGGATCTTCTTCGCCATCGTCATCTTCTCCATGCCCAGCTCCCTCCCCGTCCAGGCGGACACGATGAACTACGCGTCGGTCGTCTTTGCGGGCTTCGCGGCCATCGCGGGGCTCTGGTACCTGGTGCACGCGCGGCACAACTTCACCGGCCCGCCCATCCTGCGCAGCGACTCGGTCGGCGCGACGGACGGTGTGGCTCCGAGGGACTCAAATACGGACTCGCCAGATTACGAAAAGGAAGCCAAGTAGCCGTTTCTTTCCTTGACGATGCTGACGAATCATCATTTTTACCACAAGTAGTAGTATATAGTATAATTTTCCAACAGACACATATGCAATACCTTCAACTTGCCCCAAGACCAAAAGCAGTGTCTCTTTCTCCCGTTATATACTTTCTGCAACTAATGACACCAGTGGCCCCCTCAGCAAGGGATCATCGTTGCTGGGCCAGAAAACGTTCATGTAATTCGTAATTCGTTAATCATGGGGGTATATCTCTACTAAACTATTTCTGTACACGCTCTCCCTCAGCACAGCGGCAGATCCCACGCCGCATCCTCAACCCAGTCCCCGCCGTACTCGGTCTCCTGGGAGCATCGCATCTCGGGCTGTACATTCTCCTTATCTGCCGCCTGCACCGTCGTTGCTTTACGGCTTGCTATATCGTTGCAATGCTTAGCATTTCGTCGCCCGATCGGAGACGCGGGCTGCTGCTGCTGCTGCTGCGCGCAGTCGTCATGCGTCGCTTGCCGCATCAGGCGACCCGCCTCCTGTCGCCGACGCTCCTTCTCCTGGATCTGTTCCAGGGCAGCGGAGCGACGGCTATGCTGCATCGCGAGGGAGAGCTGCTCCCTGGAGCCCGATGACGTGAAGAACCGGGTGGGTTGTGGAGCCTGGGCCGGAGGCGCTGCCGGCTCGGAAACCGGCGGCTTCGGAGTCGAGAGCGGCGCTTGCTGCTGTCTTCGTGATGACGCTGTCTGTTTTGAGTGCGACGCGGCGTAGCATCCTGACAGTGAAAAGTGAGAGGTCGAGGGAAACGAGCCGAATTCGGAAGCAGGATCCTCTATTCCGTTTTCTGGCTTCGTGACTGATTGACAGTTTGCAACACCGCCAAGGAACGTGTGGTTGCTTGGTGACGACCTTTGCTGCATCCTGGGTGCTGCGGGTCGTGGCGCCGCTTCTTGCTGGCTGGCCTCTTGTTCTTCCTCGAGCTCGCGCATTTGCTCGGAGGAAGTTGGGAAGAAGTCATCCACGTTTGTCAGGATGGCCTGTGTGGCCATTGGCGGTTCCTGTCGTGTCTGCCGTGGCGATGGCAAGGCCGGGAGCCCGCGCTGCGACGGAGACGTCCGCGTTCTCTCTCTGGGAGATGTTGATGAAATATTGGGCCACGCCTTGTGCGATGCCACATCCGCGCGCGCATTGCCTGTTGCTTGCCCGGGTGATGGCAAAGGTCTCACTGCCACTGGCTTAGCGGGTGTCTTACCCCCGCTGAGAAGCTCGTCCAGTTCTTCCAGCATGTCTGTGTTGATGTCTTCATCGAGGAGATCCTGGGATAGCGCCAAGATGCCGGCTTCCTTTATGGCCTGCTCTTTTGACTGTTTTTCCTCGCCCGCCAGCTGTATCTGAGGGAGCTCACCCGCCTCGAAAACGGGAATCAAATCTAAAGCTGCGTCAAAGGTGGCTTCGTCGATGGGCTCCTCGAAGCTGAGATCGACATCGTAGTCGTATAAAGATACCTCGGCAGGGGCTTCGCTCTTTTTATCATCCGTCTCGTTATGTCCTATGATTTGTTTCTCTTTTGCGTCTGTATTGTGTTCGTATGCATTGTCGTCCGGATTCGCTCGTGGCTGTTCATCGGTTTTTACGCTTGCCAGCGTTTCGTCATCGACATCTTCGTCAGCTTCCGTGATTGAGCCTAAACCATGCGTTTCAGGCTCCGGCATCGTCGTATCGGCATCGACTTGTTTCTCGAGCTCGGCCGTCTGCGGCGTAGTCACCTCCAACCCCTCCGCATCCCTCTTCTTGGCCGAGCCGTTCCCTCTCACAAACCTCGCAATCGTATCCTGGCTCGGACGCACATTCACCAGCGGCATGCCGTTGCGACGCTTCTCCTCGCGCTGCTGCGTCTCCTTCTCCTTCTTCTTCTCCCTGGCCGCGCGTGCCTTTGCCGCGGCCCTCTCCTTGTCCATCTCCTTTCTGATGCGCTCCTGCTCTGCACGCTCCCACTTGGCACGCTCGGCACGCGTCATGGTCGGGGTCTTGGTGGCGGCCTTGTACGCCTTGCGCACTTGCTTGGACGTCATGGGGCGCGGCGGGGTGTCCACGCCGGCATTGAAGCGCGGCACCGGCGGGAGGACGGTGAATGTGTTTTGCCGCGCCATTTCGGAAACGTATTCGCGTTTTCTTGTTACGTAGGGGATGCTTGCGCGCACATGGTTCGTTGTCCGTCGTTGTCTGTGGCCGTTGTTGCTTGATCCAACGTGAGGCTATTTAGTTCCCTGACGCGTTACTGGCACGGAGTCACGTGCGGGCTTCCTAATGACGCAATTGGTTGTTCTTTACCGTGCCAACTGGCGGTAAAAATTCATCGATATTTTTTTATTTAATGCTAGGATCATGCTTCTTCCTTTCGCCTTCCTTATCGTTTTTCTAAGCTACTTGAGTTCCTCAATTGCCGAATTCTTGACCGGGTACCCAGACTGGCTTCCGCAACTTCCGTCGGTTAATGCAAGACATTCTTGGTCGGCCACAACCAATGCTAACTACCGTTTTCCCCGGCTTGCTTGGGTGGTATTCTATGCAATCGGATGCAATCGGTCAGCGCGCTGAGTGAGCGGCATGATATCCCCGATCGCTCGCTAGCCATTCATTGGTCAAGAGCACAACCATGATAACGTAATTTCGACCTCGGACAGAAGACCGCCGCCTGAAAGTAACTGGTGGCGTTGCGGGGATGAGGATCCGACTGCAGCCCAAGGGGCGATGTCGGCTGTCAATGCAGCGAGTATCCTTCCGGTGTCCCCAGTCAGCCAGCCACTCGGGTCGCTGCTATAGGAGCTGACGGTATGATATGTCGGCCTCGAGGTGTGGAGAGCTGTATAGTAGCTCTCCTCGTCCGGGCATAGTAGCTACCGACTAGGTATTTAGTGTTGTATAGCGGCCAGCTCTGGATGGATGCATTTTGGCTGCTGCGGGGAGCAACTGGAAATCCACAGGGAAAGATGGCTTGCCCGCGGGTCACGCCTGCTTCCCTTTTTGCCGGTAGTACAGGTTTCCGCAGTACGAATTCTGTTCTTTTGAAACTCAACTCAGTCTCGCAAGTTTCCTGCGCATACACGGCACAGATCTATCGTCAGCATCTCAAGTGAACAGGTACGGCGACGAAGTGGTCTCGTGGGCATTCAGCAAACAAGCTAATCGCCTCTCCCAAAGCCCGACAGCCCAGACTGCTCAGACAGCCCAGACAGCCCCTCAGCGTATGAGTTGAGCACCGGAAGAGTGCAGCATCATGTCTGAAAACCAGGCCCCCGTCCCCGGCCGGGACCCAAAGTCCTCCCAGGACTTTATACAGTTCAACTGCCTGCCAGCTGGAGGCGCGCTCAACCGCTGGTCTGCCGCCATCACGCGCGAGCATGACTTTCCTGGCGCGCAGGCCATGTTGTACGGCGCTGGAGTGCCTGACGAAAAGACGATGAAGAATGCGCCGCAGGTGGGAATCGCGACGGTTTGGTGGCAGGGCAATCCGTGCAAGTGAGTATGCCCGACGCTGAAGGCCGGGAAAGGAGCTCACTCATGTGCTAACCATGTCACTAGTACACACTGTATGTTGCCGGCATGATTACTGGCGGAATCATGGATGCTAAAATTGCACAGTACTCGACTTTGGCCAGATTGTGAAACGCGCAGTCGAAAAGGAAGGCATGCTGGGTTGGCAGTTCAACACCATTGGCGTGTCTGACGCCATCACCATGGGCGGAGATGGTAGGCATTGACTGACTGCACCGCATCATTCATTCTTGTCGGAAGGAAACTAACAGAACTATCAAAAAAACAAGGCATGCGCTTCTCTCTCCAGTCGCGTGAAATTATTGCCGACTCTATTGAATCCGTGACTTGCGCGCAGCACCACGACGCCAACATCTCCATCCCCGGCTGCGACAAGAACATGCCCGGCGTCATCATGGCTGCCGCGCGCCACAACAGGCCCTTCATTATGATCTACGGTGGCACCATCCGTAAAGGCCACTCGGGGCTTCTTGAGAAGGAGGTCAACATCTCCACGTGCTACGAGGCTGCAGGAGCCTACACCTACGGAAGACTACACGCGAAGACGGATCCCGGCAAGCCCGGCCGCGAGAGCAGCGACGTTCTGACGGACCTGGAGCGCCACGCCTGTCCCGGCGCCGGTGCGTGCGGCGGAATGTACACGGCCAACACCATGGCCACGGCCATCGAAGCCATGGGCCTCACCCTGCCTGGGTCCTCGTCCTTCCCGGCGCTGTCCCCGGAAAAGTCGCGCGAGTGCGAGCGCGCCGCCCAGGTCATCAAGACGACCATGGAAAAGGACATCCGTCCGCGCGACCTCATGAGCCGCGCCGCCTTCGAGAATGCCCTCGTCCTCACCATGATCCTCGGCGGCTCCACCAACGGCGTCCTGCACTTCCTCGCCATGGCCAACACGGCCGGCGTGCCCCTCACCCTCGACGATGTGCAGCGCGCGAGTGACCGCACTCCGTACCTCGCGGACCTCGCGCCCAGCGGCAGGTACATGATGGAGGACCTTTACCAGGTCGGCGGCACGCCGTCGGTGCTCAAGATGCTCATCGCAGGCGGGCTCATCGATGGCTCAATCATGACCGTCACCGGCCAGACGCTCGCCGACAACGTTGCCGACTGGCCGTCGCTCGACCCCGGGCAGCGCATTATCCGCCCTCTGAACGACCCGATCAAGGCCAGCGGCCACATCCGCGTGCTCCGGGGCAACTTCGCGCCCGGCGGCGCCGTCGCCAAGATCACTGGCAAGGAGGGGCTGCGCTTTACCGGTGCGGCGCGCGTCTTCGACTGCGAGCGGGACCTCAACGCCGCGCTGAGCCGCGGCGAGATCCGCCGCGACGACGGCAACCTGGTCGTCATCGTCCGCTACGAGGGGCCCAAGGGCGGGCCCGGCATGCCGGAGCAGCTGCGTGCGTCGGCAGCCATTATGGGCGCTGGCCTGACCAACGTGGCGCTCGTCACCGACGGCCGCTACAGCGGTGCCTCGCACGGCTTCATCGTCGGCCACGTCGTCCCCGAGGCGGCGGTCGGCGGGCCCATCGCGCTGGTCAAGGACGGCGATCGGGTGACCATCGACGCCGAGACCAACCACATCGACGTGGCTGTCTCAGACGAGGAGATGGAGGCGAGGAGGGCAAGGTGGACGCCGCCGGAGCCGAGGGTCAAGCGCGGCGCGCTGGCCAAGTACGCGCGCCTGGTGGGCGATGCGAGCCACGGTGCGGTCACGGATGGATGGTAATTTATACATGGATGGCAATTCAGACCTGGATCATAATTCGCAGCTGTTGGTATTCCACGGATGGATGTAATAAGCTCGGTACACAAATCGGACAGACAAAACGGTTCGGGGCTAGCTAACGATCACGATTCAAATTCAAAGCTATTATTTCTTCGCTATTTGTATTGTCGGCATTCCAAAAAGCAGGTCGAAAACGAAATAGGCAGCACAGGGGATGCAAAAGTACAAATAATGATGATGTATGTATATACGAGAGAACCATCCATGCCGGACAGCACGCTCGGCGCAATCAGGGGCCCAGCGGCATGCCCTCCAGCTGTTCCAGCAGTGCGCGCCAGTTGCCGGCTAGCATCTCGGCGTACTTGACGCGCTCGCCCGCCCAGTCCTGGTTCCAGCGGCTGATGTGGTACTGTGTGAGCTGGAAGCTGATGAGCTCGTCGCGGATGCACTCCTTGACGAAGACGGAGCGGTTGTGCTGCTGCACGATGGATTCCTTATCCTGTATGAACAGTTAGCAGGTAAATAGGCAAACAGGCGCGGCAAGCATCGTGTATGTACCTTGATGATGTTGTCGGCGACTTTTTCAATCTCGCCGGGTTTGACCGTCCCCTCGGGTTTCCCACGCAAGGTCGCCAGCTTGGTCTCGTTGGTCTGGATCCGACGTTCCAGGTACGGGATGTTGTCCTTGTCCAGCCTGTCGCGACGCTCAAACAGCTCACGCACGCTGACCAGTGCATCGCGTTGACGTTTCAAGTCCTCGAGCACGCCTACGTCCCATCCCTTGCTCTCGTCCTCCAGCAACGACTGGCAGGTGCGCAGATGTCGGCTCATCGCGGTCAGGCCATCGTTGAGCAGTGGAACCTCGTTCGTATCGGTCGCGTATGTATCGGCAGAGGTTTCGGTGAGAGATGCGAGCGACATGGCGACGCGGGCATGGTCGGCGGCTACACCTTCGGTGCGCTTCACGAGGCGGTCCATAATGTTGCACACGTTAATGTACAGCTCGGCCGAGCGAACCACACCAGATCTCGTCTTGGTGAAAAGCTCCTCGAGCGTCGGCGGAAGGGAATCCTCGAGGCCGGGAGGCAGCGCTCTGTCGGTAAACTCGTCCTGAACAGAGATTGTCGATTGTTTGCGCCAGACTGCGAGCTCGGTAGGAACAGTCAGGAACATGACGACAAGCTGTTCCTGGCTCAGAATGGGATGCCTGACGAGAGCGTTGATGAATCGACTCAACCCCCTACGTCGCTTCTCGATGAATGCGCCGTCGTTGGAAAGGTGATTGCCGTTGACGGCAACTCTCTTCGGTGGTAGCAGAGGCAGGACACGGAAGGGATAGCGCTTGTGGAGGCAATCGAGCAGCCAGACAAAGTCGCTGTACCTGCGAATGACCTTGCTGCCTCGCCGCTGGCTGGTGACCTCGTAGTTGTGGTGCTGGAACATAAAGACGCCCTCTTTGCCCGGCATCAGCGTGACGATGACATTCTCTTCGACGCTGCTTCCGGTGCGACCGGCCGCGCTGTGACTGGGGTTCAGTGATGGCGGCACCGGCCCCGGCGCGTCTGGCGTTCGCACCGCACCGTCACCGCCAAACGGGTTGGATGTGCTGGGTCCCGCTGCTGGTGTCTGCGGCGCGTAAAAGCCTGCGCCCCAGCCATCCGGGCCGGCGATACCACTGTTCGGCCGGGGGCCTGAACTTGTATTGTGACGAGTCCGGGCTGAGTAGGTTTCCGAGGGGGTATGGGGTGCCGGCGCAGCCGTGGGTGAAGTGCCGAAAGCCGTCTGGCCGTTGGACACAGCACCGCCGATGCCATTTTGCTTGGTGTGAGCATGGCCCTTGTGCATGTCGGGGGTGTTCCAGGGATCGTCTTCGGGGTCGTCCATGGCTGGTCGGAGGATTCGATGCTGCTCGGGAATCTCGGGAGCCGCGTCGATTGCTGCGGCGGGAACGGGCGTCTGGGGAGGTTTTGCGGCGAGCTCAGTGATGGGTGGTATGACGGGTTCGGCGGTCAGGCCCGCGAGCTTCGGCCGGGGCAGGTCTGGCGAAATTGGACAGTATGATTAGCCTACGTGGTCCACAAGGCGGGCTGGGGGGAGGGAGTATTGCCAGGGTACAGATAGTCGAACGGACTGAGACAAAACACGCAATTGCTGAGAGATGTAAAGGTAGACCAGGTCAAGACTCAAAGGGCATGGAGATTAAGAAGCTCAAACGAGGCGAAAAAAAACTTACTGGAACGGCGCTCGTCGACTCCGTCAAGGCTTATTATGTCGCCTTCCTGGGCCAGGCCCACAAGCCCGAGCAAGACGTTGAACTCGGCGCGACCAAGAGTCAAGTCCGAAGCATTGCCGCCTGCTGCCAGCAAAGACATTATGGTTGCTTGCGCGTCCGCATCAATGCGTGCCGTGGCGAAGATGCTGGCGATGCCGCCAGACGTGACTCTGCCAGAAGCGTCGCCATCCTGGCGCACCACGGTGTCGAACGTCTCAATGTAGATGTCAGGCACGTCGGATGCCGGTAGCAGCCTGCGAATCAGTTCGGCTCGGCTCTGGTGCTTGCGCGGCGTAGGCATATCCCATGGCGAGTCGGCAGCACTGCCATTGCCTTGTTCGCCATGGTGCTCGGCATCGTTGAACAAGCCGCCACCGCCAGCGGGCGGGTGGGTGTCGTCATCGAACAGACCGGCTCCTCCCCGGCCGCGCTGTCGATTCGGCGTCGAGAGAGCATCGCCCTCGGTGGGCGACGTTCCAAATAGGGACATTTTAGTAAGTGGTGGAGGGGAGGGAAGCACCTTTTGTCAAATAAAGGCTCGTCGAGGAACTGAAGGGCACCGTCGTATCGCGGGACTTGGAGGGCGACCGGGTAGCACTTCCGTTGGCTGGTGTGATTGCAAGGGCGGTGACTATTCTGCCGGTGAGCCGCATGTACAAGAACAGGTGTGCAACGAGAGAGATCCAACTCCCAAGCGGCAGCAAGAGGCGTCAAAGTGATGCCAGGGAAGCTTGGAGTTGATGATGTCGCATCTGCTGCTTGCGCTGCCAGAGCCGGCTGGGCCTCACACGCGCAAGCCACCGAGAGCGGGGCGCGAGGCTGGGGCTGAGGCTGTGTGGCTGGTTGTAAGGAGAGTTCATGGTTTCCAAAAGGTACAAGGATTCCAGATGCTGCATCGCGTTTTACATCTTGAAACAAGATGGCTAGGTCCTTATCAACGGAACCCTACCCTCAGTGGCAGGCAGGCGCCCGTGGTCTGATCGCCAAAGCCAACTCGCCAGGTGCAACGCGGCCGCGCATTTGGCCAAATCTTACCAGCACAAGTCCCGCATCGACAATTTGAAGCCGGAAAGTCAAACTGCCAGTATGCGCCCCGAGAACGTTTTACGACCGCCCTCCAAAGATGCCGCAGCAGACCAGACACGCGTCATTCTATTCCCGTGGCTTCGAGGCTGCGCCGCTGGCCACTTTACCCCCCATCTTACCCCAGGCTTGAACGTCACCGGGTCTGCGTTGGCGGGTTTTCAGCTTACCATTTTCGCGGCCACCAAACGAGCATGTCGGCGTTGCCCTTTGCTAAACGAATGCCTCGCAGCCTCTAGCCCTTCATGAACTGGTCCGAGAATTCGACAGGCCGAGTAGGCTTGGTGACGAAAAGACTTGCCCTTTTAATGGGCCGCTTCTACTACGTTAGCTGATGCCATTCACTCCTCTCCACCATCGACGAAACAAAGCGAATACTGGTCTACTCCTCTGCACATTATCCTGCACAAAGGCAAACCCGGCTCCGAGATACCGCCGTCCACGCTCCTCTCAAGCCCGTGCTCGGCTTCTTCAACTTGGCTGACGTTTCCCCAAAGGGGGGGCACCTGATCAGAGCTAACATGATGCGACACTGCTACCTTCCCTTTGAGGTGTGCTGTTCGCGGCCATGCGGGGAGCCGCACGCCGGCCCTACCACCTCACCGCTGGCAGATGATCAAAGCCGCCTACCTGCGCTCGGCGTCACGATTGTTTGCTCGACGTCTTTCAACAGCAAACCTGTCTCATAATCTGCTAAAATCATGCGCTGTCAAACGGGCTAGATTCACCCGTAGCATTCATTCCAAAGGGCCGAGTCATTCCTGCAGCTTGCAGGAACTATAAAGAGCCCTCTTCGCAACCATGGCTTCAAGACCCCGTCTCGGCTTGGCCAGCTATACTCGTCTACTTTATTCCTGGTTTCGCACATGATTTTATCATGCCTGGCGCTTCGAAGCTAGCTTTCTTTGGCGTTGCTGCCAGTGTTGGGTCGCTCGTTCATGCTGGTCCCTGCGACATCTACGCAACAGGCGGTACTCCCTGTGTCGCCGCGCACAGCACTACCCGCGCCTTGTACGACCACTACTCTGGCTCGCTGTATCAGATTAAGCGCGGGTCGGACAGTGCGAGAAGAGATGTCCGCCCATTGACTGCAGGCGGCGTGGCCGATGGTCCCAGCCAGGATGAGTTCTGCGCGGGCACCACTTGTCTCATCACTACCATTTACGACCAGTCTGGCCACAACAATGACCTGACCCAGGCCCCGCCTGGCGGTGCCGCCCGTGGACCGGAAGCCGATGGCTTCGACTACCTTTCAAGCGCCATCGGCGCGCCGGTTACCCTCAATGGCCACAAGGCGTACGGCGTCTTCATCTCTCCCTTCACAGGATATCGTAACGACGAACCGAACGGGACGGCTACTGGCGACGCGCCCGAGGGCATGTACGCCGTTTTCGACGGAACTCACTACAACACGGGCTGTTGTTTCGACTACGGAAATGCTGAGCGTGACAACACGGACCCCGGCAACGGCGCCATGGAGGCCATCTACTTCGGAACGGGAGATGGCTCAGGTCGTGGTACCGGCTCTGGCAGCGGGCCCTGGATCATGGCCGATCTCGAGAACGGCCTGTTTTCTGGCAAGGACCACGTGCACAATGAAGCGGACCCGACCATCACCTCGCGCTTTGTCACGGCCATCGTGAAAGGAGAGCCTAACCACTGGGCGATTCGTGGAGGTGACGGTGCAAAGGGGCCCCTGTCCACCTTCTACGACGGCGAACGGCCAGACGGTGGCTACTCGCCCATGGTTAAGCAAGGCGCCATCCTACTCGGCGTCGGAGGTGACAATAGCAACCGTGCCCAGGGGACATTTTACGAAGGTGTCATGACCACCGGATATCCGAGTGATGATACGGAGAACAAGGTGCAAGCCAACATCGTGGCGGCCAAGTATGCGGCTCCAGCAACTCTCAACAGCGGCCCCGAGCTCCACGTGGGATCGTCAGTCTCCCTTCGCGTAACCACTGCGTGCTGCTCCGATCGCTACATCGTGCACGACGGCGGCAAAGTCGACACGGAAGTGGTCAACTCGTCGAGCGACGGCGGGCTCAAGCAGCGCGCGAGCTGGCGGGTTCGCGCCGGCCTGGGCAACAGTGGCTGCTACTCGTTCGAGTCCGTCGTCTCTCCCGGACGCTTTATCCGTCATTCCAACTATGAGCTCAGAGTCGACCAAAATGACAACTCAAAGATATTCAACGAGGACGCGACCTTTTGCTCCCAATCCGGCCTCAACGGGCAGGGTAACTCGATTCGCTCGTGGAGCTATCCCACTCGCTACTGGCGGCACTTCAATTCGCTCCTCTATATTGCGAGCAATGGCGGACCGCACGACTTTGACAGCGCCAACGTGTTCAACGACGACGTGAGCTACATTGTTAGCGCCGGGTTTGCCTGAGATTGCAGAGAACAGATGATTCAGGGGTAGATTTACGGGTTGAGAAATAATTCAGTACATAGCTATAGAAAACACTGTCAAATGCATCTTGAATACAGACTGTGGCATCGTTCCATTTTTCAATGAATAATTAGTCAGGATCTGCAAGCGATACCATTAGCAGTATTCATCCCAGTCTCGAGTGTGCGGGCAAGTCAAAAAAAAAAGAGTTGCCTTCTCAGAAGACGGCCGGCGACAAATGAAGTCAGCCTCATTCTTTAACAAAACTGCTTAGCAACAAAGCTACCATGCACGGCCTCCACTTCCATAACTGTTCACGGCACATAGATAGTCACGTGCGAGGAAGCCACTACAAACAAGCGGGATCGTAGCGAGGAACCACTGGATGAGGACCTTTTCCTCCTCCAGTGATCAATAGAGCCATAATCGGGACATCCCACGAGCTATATCGCAGCTACCCTTTCACACTGTCTCCCTCCACCTTCTTCGTGCTAGCCTCGTTGTTCGACACTAACCCAGACTCGCTGTTAAGGCCCCGGAATTGAAACGAGAAGAACGCCATCACCGTCAAGGGCGCTGCAACCACCCAGTACACCCAGAACATGTGGGAGACGGTCCAGAGGTCGCGCTCCGGGCTGAAGTTGAAGAAGGACATGCTGAAGATGGCCGAGACGAAGGTGGCCGGCAGGAACAGGAGGGTGAGGCGGGCGATGGTCTTCATGACGCCGCTGTCGTTCTTGACGACCGTGTTGAAGGAGAGCTGGATCTCGTTGTGCAGCCGGTCCTTGGTGGCCAGCGCCCGGTTCTGCAGCCCGAGCACAATCTGCCTCTGCAGTAGGAAGTGATCCTGCACGCGCTTCCGGGTGCTCTTCGTCAGGGTCGACTGCCCGTCTTCGTCCGCGTATTGCCCGTGCGCGGCGCAAATCCGCTCGACAGTGCTTAGGGTGGTTGCGGTGGTCTCAGTGATATGAATAGCGTGCCGTGCGAGGTCGTGCAGCTTGCGGTAGCTGCGGTCGATGTTGTCGGTGTCCACCTTGATGCTCTCGATCTTACGGACGACAGTGCGCAGGCCCCAGATGGACTTGTCGAAGAGAGAGGTGACGTCGCTGAGGATCCGGTAGTACACCCAGAAGAGGTCGTCAGCCATCTCTTGGTCCTGCGGCCCGTCCATGAGGCAACGGAGAAGCAGCTCTTTGGTAGGGTCTACGGCGTCAAAGACCAGCATGATCTGGCTCTTCGCCGATGGAGCATACGTCATGATGTTAAACTTGAGCCACTTGTATTCGTCGTTCTCCTCCACGAACTTGATCAGGAAGCGTGCCCAGGTCACTGTCCGCAGTCAGCCTATGTTCGCCTTGCAGCGTGTACGAGACTTACTAATGCCCGCAGAGGCGATGTCTTGGGAGCCGAAATATCCATTGGATCTTCTACAGTAAAGCTCAAACCAAAATTTAGGAATGGAGAACTGTTTCTCCAGAGTGCTTCGACAGGTTTCACATTTGGAGACCTCGTTTGCGTTCATAAATCTGCGCATCCGTCAGCCCGGCCAAGTCGTTAGTGCCATTCGTCGACTCACATGAGGGCAAAGCATTCCTGCCGCTGGTCTAGATCCAGCAAAGACAATTGCTGTTCAAATTTCTGTGGCTTCCCGTCTGTTGGGTCTCTATTGTCAGCGCGAAGGACGCGGATGGACGGACGGACAGAGTAACGACTCACCCTGGCCCTGGAGCCAGATCTCTAGCGGCTTAGCATCCGCACAACAATTTTCGTGAACGTACATCGCACAGTGCTTGTTCTCGGCGAATGGACTCTCGATAGTTTTCCGGTGTTGGATCTCACGCATTGGAATGTTCATGTTCAGTATTTGGACGAGGCGCCCACGGGGAGAGGGGAGGCCATCGAAAGGCAGGTAGGCGACCGAGCTGAGCTGCAGCTCGCTGCAGGATGGCGGATAAGACGATATCAGGCAAGCAATCATACAGTCGGGGCACTAAAGAGATAGATAAGTTTGAGACACGGGTTGTTAACAAAGATGAGCCTGCTCCTTTCTATTCGCTGCGTGCAATTACGCGCCTTGGTATATTTATCACCTTGCATTTCACACCGCCGCCAGGCAAATATGTAGGTGATAAATGAATAAACTGTAGCAAGTACATTTCGATAGGAGTATCCGGGGACTCATCCAAGTTGTGAAATATTTTATTTGGATTTCTTTTAAGTGTCCCGGGCGCAACGTCTGTCAGGCAATCCAACGGAGTCATGCAGGGTCGCGAAGTTGTCCACAAGGCGTCCACGGTTGTCTGCGCCTGTCTCTACACGCCGGCCTTTTCCTTGGCTAATAAAAGCAGAGCACTATATGCCTAGTTGATACATTAGGCATAAATTATGAACAAGGCTGTCAAGCGGCTACAAGTCAAGTCAAGTCTATTCTGTGAGCCTGCGATCCCTTGCACGCCAGCCTACGGCCGCCGAGGCTGCCGATCGGGAGCGGAAAGATTCACGCCTAAATATTTGTTGGGTCAGCTTATTTACATGACGTTTAATCCCCCATCTTGTATCACTTTACAAAAGTCCAGCTGCTGTGTTGGACTTGACAAGTGCAATCTGTTGATGTATTGACTGTGTAAGTGCTAGACCGTCCTTGTCCCGTGCCAGACATGGCATAGCAACCCAACAGCACCCACCCCTCCGCTGTCCTCCCCGTTATAACCTTTCGTAGCTGACAATTGCCCGAATACAGCAGTATGTTCGCTTACTGGTTGGGCCAGCAGCCGCGCCACGAGCCGGTGACGACCTCGATGGCGTTGTTGATCTGCCAGGCCAGGCCCGCGGTGGTCGAGAAGTCGGCCTGCCACCAGCCGTCGTCGTCCGTCTTCCAGCACTGCCAGTTGTGCACGGTGAGGCCCTTGCCGCGGATGTTGTCGAGGAAGCACTGGCCCCAGCGGTTCTCGCAGTAGCCCTTGAACCTGAACGAGTAGCGACGGAGGCCGCCGTCGCCCCAGACGCCGTTGCACTTCCAGTCGTCGGCGAGCACGACGGAGGAGGAGGTGGCGGCCATGAGCGCCGCGACCGGGACGATGGAGAACTTCATGTTGAAGATGGGTATTGAAAGATTGTTGGTTGTATCAAGGAGGTATGAGTGAATAGAAGTTGTGATTGTTGATGAGGATGAAGAAAAAGAATCGTGGTTGAACAGGTGGCGAGGAGCCCTTTATATAGTTAGAGGCGGTCGTCAGCTGCTCAATCTCGGGTACTGAGCATTGGCAGCCAGGCTCACCTACGCTTTTGCTGAACGAGCCTCACGATATAATCCATTCTCCAAAGAGTCGTTGCCATGCCTTGATCAAGGTTCAACCAAGTCATAGCTCTCGGTACAAACTGAGCAGACTTCTGTCACCGGCTGCCGATCAACCTGTCTGTGTTCACAAACCCGGAGCGGCACTTACTAGATCGGGGCGGCTCCGACCAGGGGTATCGCCGCTACAAAAAAGGTTCACTCGTTCATTTCTGAAGATTTTCGACGATCTGTGGAGTGGTCCCTGGGATCATGACTTGTAATATCAGCAAGGCTCGCCGACATCTAGCGCTACCAAGAGCCCAAGACGAGGCTCGCATTTCTGTCAGCACTGGCTGAGACAACAACGTTGCAAGCTGAGGAGAGCAGGCTGCACGTTTCTGTCTCTTATCGTTTAATTTGCCGACTGCGGAACAACTCTTTGGAAGGATAATGTAGATCGACTTTCCTGTCTCAAGAGGACCGCGCGGCCCATCGGAATTGGCTCCCGGCTTATACATTCACTCGTTGCTGGCACCTGCAGGGGTTCGCCATCGTGATTGATGCAGCGCAAGGAAAGCCGCAAAGAACTATCAGCAAACTAACTTTAACCAGAAACAAGATTCTCAGCATATTTACAGACTTGATACTCAAGTGCACTACTGAGCATTCGTGCATGCAACAGAGCACATGCAGGAGAAATAACCGGTTGACCTGCAGATTACCCTAGAGGCTTGTGTAGCCCACCATGGCTCTCCCGCCTTGCATCCAGACCAGAGCCCTCACCTTCACCCCCACGACGTTCAAAGATGGCTGGTGCTAACAGTTTCCCACCGCGCAGCAACATGTCGTCAAAGGGCCGTCTCTTCATCCCACGTGTAATATAGCGGCAACAATGGCAAGCCTTAACTAGTAAACGCCAACACATGCGTAGGCGTTTGCCCACAGTCCGGTGCACTGCTCTCCAATCAGCGGGTTCCACGTCGCAAAGTCGTGCTGCGAAATGTGGTTGTACGAGGTGATTTGGTCACAAGTGTTGCCCTCGTAAATGAAGTGAAACTTGTTACAATTCTTGACCATGTTTCCCTGCGTGGGCTGCGGCGTCTGGATACCGTTGGAAGGGACCGTTGAGGTTGGCGTCGGGTCTTGGCCCACGACCCCAACGCAGGCATAGGCATCAGCCCACATACCCGAGCAGTCGGCGCCAATCCTGGGATTCCAACGGGCGAATTGCTCCTGGCTAATGTGTTCGTAGGAGGTGATTTGGCCGCACGTATTGCCCTTGTAGATGTAGTGAAACTTGTTGCAGTTCTTGACCATGTCCGGCTGCGTCGGCTGCGGCGTCTGCACGCCGTTGGATGGGGTGGTGCTGGTCGGGGTGGGAGTGGGAGTCGAGTCCTGAATGACTCCCACACACGCATAGGCGTCCTCTACGAGGCCGGTACAGTCCATGCCGATCTTGGGGTTCCATCGGGCAAACTGCTCCTGGGTGATGGAGTGGTAGGACGTGATTTGGCCGCACGTGTTGCCCTTGTAGATGTAGTGGAAGCTGTTGCAGTTGCCGACCATGTCCGGCTGCGTTGGCTGCGGCGTCTGCACACCGTTACCGGTGCTTGTAGTCGTGGACGGCGGCGTCGGCGTCGTGGTGGTGATGGGAGGCGGCGTGCTGGTGGGCGAGGTGGCGGCCGCGCTGCCATCCAAGCAGTACGACTGGCCTTTGTTAAAGTTGCCGCAGCTGCTGGTAATGCTCGGGTTCTGACAAGCCTGTTAGCCGTCGAACAAGTATCCAACGGAGATGCAGTCATGCAAAGAAGTTAGAAAATAGGAGGAATACCCATTTCAGGAACGAGGCCCTGTTGGTCGACGTCTGAAAGAGGACGGATTCGCAGTCAACGGTGCCGTCGTTGTTGTACCATACGGTGCACGGGCTGACCGTCTTGGGATTCGAGGGCATGGTCGGCTTGCCCGAGATGTTCTCCCAGATGAGATCCTGGTTCGCGATGCGGGCATCACCGGCGTGCGCCAGGAGCGGCAGGAGAGCCAGGATGGCTGCGGCGGCACGAGCTTGCATCATGTTTCCCTTCTTCTTTCCCTTCGTCCTCACCGCTTGCTTCATTCATTGCAGCGAAGCGAGGAACAATAACCGCGGCACATCCTTTTATTTATATACATGGCAGCCCTCGGCCGGAAAAGACAAGAGCCTGCTCCGGCTCCGACAGACATGAAAGAATGTTTTTCCGCCATTAGAGAGCCGTAATTAACTCGGCCCCGGCCCAATCGCGTGAGTGGCTGTTGGAGGTATGTATGTATGTATGTATGTATGTATGTATGTATGTATGCAATTGGGCCCTCAACGCCAAAGTCCAACATCAAATAGTGTCGACGAGGCAAATTGGCCTTGATTAAAGAATCTCCACCAGTGCTTTCATTGAGTAATTAATCGTGGTCAACCGAATGTTACACATCTCCCTATATCGCCTGTATTGCTTATATTGCTTATATTGCTTTTATTGCTTATATTGCATATATTGCTTATATTGCATCTATTGCCTGCCTATCAATGCCCACCACGGAGGCTTTTTGCCTGCCTTTTTGTCTAGCTGCTGCCCGCCTAGCCGCTGTCATGACCGTGGTCGCGAATCGACATCACCAACCTACCCGTATCTAGTCTCTGCAAGCTCGTGTTTCATTTCTGCTAAACCAATAATCAACAAACAATCGGGCGAGCCTGTCGTCTGTCACCAATCATGGCTAAAAGCTCACTGACAACAACCTTTCATCTTTTCAGCCGTCTCCCTCCAGAAATACGAGACCACATCTGGTTTTTTTGCCTACCACGTCGCGTCGTGCCCCTTGACGACCTCCTTTGGCTCGTCGATGAGCATTCTACGTACAGAAGTGAGCAGCAGTGCTGGGTCGACCATCGCCAGGTGCATTACCGGGCGCAAGCGCCACCGCTCATTGCGTCCGTCTGTCGCGAAGCTCGCCGCGTGGTGTTTCGCTGGGGCGGCCTCGAGGACATGGAGACTAGTATTTCCCTCAGGCTTGTATGGATTCAGCGGAAGCTCGATACGCTCCTGTTTGGGTGGACGGAGAATGATTCGGCCGCGGCAGGTCACGACCAAGACATGATGGAGCACTTTCTCTACAATCAGAGGTTGGATCAACCGGGCGCACCAGTCTGTTTGATCGCGGAGCAGTTTTTGACCTTTTACTCGAGTCCGTCGGCACCCGAGAGCGACTACATGCCATTTATCCGAACAGACGAATCGAACTCGATTGCGTATTTGCTTCACAACGGTTGGAAGGAAGATGAGCCAGACGCAGAAGAGGCAGATTTGAGCGACCCTATGGACGTCGATGTCGTCATGGAGACGGTCTACATTCACGCCACAAGAGCAGACATACTTGCGTCGCAGCTCTTTGGCCGCATTGCGGATGAGCCTTCTCAGTTGGTGGACTACGACGACGCGGCCACCCTGGCTAAGTTTCGCGCACTGTTCAACAAGAACCCAAACAACCAAAGACGAGTGGCCCTGACAGAAAAATTTGATGCCATCGAATCACACGAGTTTCCAGCGCAAGTGGCAACGTGGCTTATCAAGGTAGCCTGGAAGCTCCTAGCAATCAAGTGGCTGCACGAGAAGCGGCATAATCCCCAGAGCAGCATTTACAGAGATCCGATGCAGGTCTTTGACGGGCCTGTCTCAGTAGGGGAAAGCTTTTGGATGAAAGTCGAACGAGGAGGAACCTTCAAAGAGCAGCATCCTTGGGTCGTTGAAGAGACGCAGAGGCTGCCCAGGTTGAGGCCCAAGATTTGGTTCGTGTATTGTACAAAAGACTGTAAAGTAAAGGCAAAGCTTATTGAACCGTAATATAGATGACGTATTATATGCTTTCTCAATGGATTGTTGGATGGCTGTCCATTATACACTGTCCGTAGGTACCCAAAAATATGTACACAGCTTAATCATCACCCATAAATCAACAACCAAGGCTTCAGCGTCAACTGTTCTAGAAGAGTAAAAAAGAAAACGGTAGATAAAAAGTAGAGCATCCGTCATCTCATCGCAGTCTAGCCAGAATTGCAAAAAGGGACAGCTTGGTCCGCCTTTTCCTGCATCTCCCTGCTCCGTCGAATCTCTTGTTCACGGCTTATCTATTGCAGCTGACCAGGTTCTGTGTCTCCTCGATGGCGTCCAGGTGACTCTTTCCTCCTTTTTCTCCCCCTTTACTTCCTTTACTGTTGTAATTTGTGACGTAGTTGTTTACAAAGTCTTCCACGTCTTTGGCATCCAGGCCCTCTATCTCCTTGGCCTTGTTCAGGGTTCCCGGCAAGTCGAGTTGTTGGTAGGAAGCGGCCGGTGGATGGGAGATGGGGTCTCCCAGCTCCGGCTTAAGAGGCTTTCTGAACTTTTCTTCGAAGTCCATGGGGAAGTTTTTGACGAGGTGGTTGGCCTGATTTTTGCGGCGCAAATCAGCGGCGGCCTGCCAGTAGTCGAGCAGCAGGCTGTATGAGCCTCCGGCCGGGCTCTTGCCCTTGGCGAACAGCATCGCCTTGGAGAAGCTGATGCTGATCCTGACTCGCCTCGAGACGTCGCTGAATTGTTGGCTATTGTCCCAGTTGGGAAAGACGTGGTCGTTCAGGACGGCTCCCGTGTAGCCTATGTCGTGCAGAGCGCCAATGGCGCTCTTGATGTCGACAAGCGCCGCATCCGTTAGCTTAGACCAGTCGAGCTGCTTGTAGGCGGGCTTTCTCTTCTTGGGATTATAGGGCGACACGTATTGGATAAAGTCTTTAAACTCGCATGGGGCCGGGCAATTGGGCGCAATATGGTGACTCTGGATCCCGGCCTCTTCCTCGAATTTGCGACCGAGGTAGAGTGCAATGGTTTGAGCTGGTCCGGAGTCTTTGTTGCAGAAAGCCGCGGTGAAGAAAAGCCACGCAAAAACGCGACTCCAATGCATGTTGAGAATGGAGAGGCCAAAGAGAGACCAAAGAAACTGCAAGACTTGAAGGAAAAGAATGAAGACGAGAACGGCAAATGCCGTCAATGCTTTCTTTCACGTTGCTAGAAGAGACATGAACGACGAGAGAAGCCACCAAGGCAAGCGAGTCTGCTCCCACAATCTTTTGATCCTACGAGAAGAAGTTACTCAATTAGGAAATTGCTGAAACAGGTATGACCAGTTGCTTTGCCGCAAATCTAAACGAAAGTATGAGAATTCGCCCCCTTTTCTTCTCACGCAAGCCACAAGCAGTTCCAATAGTTGACTGTGCAGAAAGCGGTGCTTGCTTCTGGACATATGAAGCGCTACAGGACCAAAATGCATGATCCTGTTCAGCAAGAGATGAACCAAACCCGCAGGACAGGCTTGAATTTACCCTATTGTACGGACGTGTTCTTCTTTAGGCCGTCCCGAGCCGTCCGGAGCCGTCCGGCATATGTATATGGCTTTCTTTAATCAACACTCTTCTTTACCGAGTTACATTGTCGCGTTATCATGACACATATATTGCCGGCGTGACAAAAATGGCTCGGTGCATGAAGGAAATGCAGCACATGCGTAGGGAACTTTGCTGGTCAAGCATGTGGCTGGCATATGGACCGAGTCTCGGCCTGGAAAGCCCGCATAATACTTCAACAGTTCGAGCTTCCTTACCTGCATCTCACAAATTAAATAGTGCGGAGCTAATAGCAGAGGATCAATAGCTAAACTACTAACAGTTTATCTACATGGTGTATATCTCGATATTGTCAAAAACCCCCATAATCTGGTATGTCCGGACACCATTTCGGCCGCTGTGGTAGATCGTATCGTGAATCTGTATCTTGGGAACCAATAAATCGTCTACAAAGAAAGAAATTTGAGAGCCCTTTGCCTGCACTTTGATCCGATGCCTCTGTTTAGCATCGAATCCGGGTAGAGTCACCCGCTGCAGCTCATTCCAGCTATTATCCGAGCGGCCAACAACGGCGAAGCCGTCGCCGATGCCTGCATAGTAGCCGTAGTATCCATCCGCTCCAGCGTGAGGGCTCGAGGCGCGAAACATGAGACCCGCGTTCCCGCCACCGCTGCCGAGGCTCAAGTCGGACTCGTACGAAAAGTCAGAGAAGAGCTGGTCACTGATGAGCGCCTTGCACGCGTCGGAACCGTTGGCGATAGCTACAGCGTACTTGGCGTCAAACGACCCATCGTAAACGGTCCACTGATTGGTGTTCCTACTTGAAAAGTCATCGACAAAGCGCAGAGGCAGGATCTGCACATTGTCAAACTTGGCCGAGACGCCGTTGACGCGGAACCCGTCCATACCAGCGCGGAAGGCGTCATCCTGGACGCTCAGCTTGGGCACGCGCATGTCGTCGACGAAAAAGCTCAGCGCCGGACCGACGGCACGCACCTTGAGGCGGTGCACCTTGTCGGCCTGCCAGTTCGTTGTGCCCGTGCCGAGCCCGTGCCAGCTGCCGGCCATTTTGGTAATCATGACGCTGCCGCTGGTGCTGACCCCGGCGTAGTACCCGTCGTACGTGTCGGGGCCCTTGCCAGGATTGGAGATGCGGAAGAGGAAGCCAACGTCGCCGGATCCAGAGGGGAGAGTGAGGTCCGTCTCAAAGCTGAAGTCGGCATAGCTGCTGTGCAAAAGCACTTTGCCGCCGCCCGAGCTGGCCGCCGTGAGCGCGTTGGAGTCGACGATGTATGATCCGTCATACACGGTCCACTGTACCATGCCATTGGTAAAGTCGTCGTAGTAAGCAGCATCACTTTGGATAGCCGTCTGTGTGGGCGTGCCAGTTGGCGTGGTGGTGGTGAAGGTGGTCGTCGTCGTTGTGGACGTGGAAGGAGGAGGTTGCGACGACGGAACGTAGGCTTTGCCGGATGAGAGACATGCGAATGACACTTCCGGGAGTTTGATGGACTTTGGATCTGCCGTTGCGCTGTAGCCCCAAACCGTCGCTACCAAATATGTTCTCTCGGCGGCAGTTGCGAATGGGCCGGCATCGCCCGGGCTGTGATAGCCGGTGCCGATACGCCAGCTATCCTTCTGCTGGTTGGCGCTGGTGTGGAGCAAGCCCAAAGTCTTGTCCATGAGAACAGTCCTGTCAAAATCTGAAACCAAAGAGTCAGCTGCGTCTGTGCGTATGCATCGCGGGCAATCTTGAGATACCTAGCATATCTTGACGTGCAAATCCGAAAGAGTCTCGACAGCTGGCCGGAATGGGATCGTACAAGAGCTTTGAGCACATTGTCTCATTGCTGGCAGTGCCCCAGGACCTCGTTAAGCTGTCTTTCAAATCCGACAGACACTTGTCGGGGAGGCTGTCGCAGCCTTTGCCATTGTCCGCGGCTTTCTTGACCGACGGCGTTGTTGAGATGAAGATGTGGCGACAAATGTGCCACGAGTCGTGCATGGGCGCAGGGTAGCCGTTGACCATCAACGCCTCCGGGGTGCTAAAGGTCAAGGAGGTCAGGACGGTGCTACTGTGCTGCACAACAGATTCATTCATCATCATCTCCTGGGCCACCGCAAGATGCACGCCGTGGCCATCGCCCTCGAAAGGCTTGCCGGGGAAGGCTTGCATCCAGTCAAAGCCGTGTATATGGACGGAAGCAGTCGACACGGGCTTTGTAAATGCTTTGGAGACATTCGGGTAGTAGAGGTCAACAATGTTGGCCGAGTCCATGAAGAACTCGCCGCCCTTGAGAAACGCAAGGCTGCCGAATTGTGCCCCCATTTTTGGCCAAATGAGAATGCACAGCTCGGTTGAAGGGAAGGACAAGACAAGACAAGACAAGACAAAGTAAAAGTTTGTCGGATGGCTTTCTGTTCCGGCAAAGGCCGAGATTTCTGACAATGACGAGAAACCGAAGAAAACAGCAAGTGTCAAGTCACACCTGCCCAGTACTAAGCGTTCCGCGACGTTGGCCTCTGAGATTTTGTCACTTACATACCACTTACAGGATTATTGACCTCTAGTTCACCTCAAAATAGAAACTTGCTCATTCAGTTAGTTAGTGCACGGACCGGTCCGGGCAATATAGAGCTGCGACTACCATGCATTGCATGACGTGTTGCAGTTTCATTGAAAAAAAATATGCAGGCGTCTTCGATTGGGATATATCGCCGCTTGCGGTCTCGCTCAGCAAGCTTCGGCAAGTCAAAGAGAAGCCGCCGCAGATGCGGATAATATCCAATGCAGCTTTGTGAGGCCAGAAACTGCGTCGTTGTATGTAAATATCTCGCCCGCTTTTTCCCGCTCTTGGAGAATCTTGAACTCTTGTCATCAGAATTGGGCCCTCGTTCTATGCTCAGGCATGTACAACCAACTTTTACATTGGCCTGTTTGGGTCAGCCTCAGTCTTTCTCTCATCCGTCCCAGCTTCGCCGTGACAAACAGCTACAATGGCCAGTATGCCGATGACTGTCCCGAGCTGTGCAGTCGTGCCGGCTCCAGCGCCTCCAACTGGACACACATCCACAGAGTTAAGGAGCTTTCGTCGTGTAATCAGACGATCCTCTTTCGTCTCAATGTGCAGAGGCTCATTGATGATCCTCACACCGTCATCACAATCCAAGGGTGCACCGTCACGGGTGCGCAAGATGCCGGCTCAAATCTACCGACGCCTCAAGAAGCGCACTCTGATGGAGTTGACGTCGCAGAGTCGCCATCGTGCGACGCAAAGACGGAGAATATGTCGGCAGAACCAGGTCTTGGGGGGCAGTCAAATCATGCTGGAGTTGGAGCTGCTCCAAACTCCAACGACGTACAGCATGCAACCAATGAGCTGTCTACCTTTCTCCGTCAAGCCTCTACGTGTGGTGAATCTATTTTGTTTGCCAAGCACTTGACCGCGGTGGTGGGCATGTACTCTGGTGCGCAAGTTGTGCGGGACTCGGCGCTGCATCTGCTTGACATGTTTCACCGCGAGTATATCAATGGCCAGCCGGCATCACTGCAGGTGTGTAGCGAGGAAGATGCTGCCAAGACCTTTGGAGTGTATGCAGCCGGCTTTCCGGATATCTCTGTGCCACAGGATGCGGTGCGAGCGTGGGCAAATGGCCAGTGTATCAACGGCTCGAGCCCTGCAGCCAGCGTCGACATGGGAGTCCTGGTCGCTTCCATCAAAAACTCAAATATGACCTCTTTCAGCTCCAGCTCTACGAACTCTACCGTGAACGCTCGTCGTAGCCACACGCTCCTGGCAAGGGGCAATTGTCGCACTGAGCAGGTCAAGCAGGGAGATAGCTGTGCCTCCTTGGCTGATCGATGTGGTATCTCGGGCAACGACATCACAAAATACAACACGAGGTCCGACTTTTGCTCTACTCTCAAGCCCAAGCAGTATTACTGCTGCGGCCCAGGCGATCTGCCCGACATGCGTCCACAGCCTGATCCTGATGGCACGTGCCACGTCTATCCTGTGGCCGCCAACGACGGCTGCTGGGCCATTTCGGACGCATTCGGAGTTTCTAAAGACGACCTCGAGACTTTCAACAAGAAGACGTGGGGTTGGGCGGGCTGTGGCTCACTCCAGCTCGGACAGAGAATCTGCGTCAGCAAGGGCAATCCCCCCATGCCCGCACCTGTCGCGGGTACAACGTGCGGTCCGCAGGTCCCCGGCACCAAGAAGCCGACAGACGGAACCGACTTTGCAGGCTTGAATCCATGCCCACTTAATGCATGCTGCGATGTATGGGGCTTTTGCGGGACCACGGCCGAGTTTTGCACGAAGACGCCCGCCGACAATGGCGGCCCTGGCACAACGCAGCCGGGGAAGAGCAGCTGCATTTCCAACTGCGGCATGGATATCGTCAACAACGGCCAGGGCCCGTCCTCGTTTGAAAAGCTGGGCTATTTTGAAGCTTTTAACGTGGAGAGAAAATGTCTTCACATGGATGCGTCGAATATCCCGACGGACAAGTATACCTTGATCCATTTTGCATTTGCTGGCGTGACGGCGAACTTTGACGTGGAGCTCGGGACGGTCAATGGGCAGTTTGAGAGGTTCAAAGGGCTCAAAGGACCGAAAAAGGTCTTGTCGTTTGGCGGTTGGGCATTTTCCACTGATCAAGCTACGTTTCAGCGGTTTCGACAAGCCACCAATCCCGCCAATAGAGGAACATTTGTCAACAACCTGATTGGCTTTCTTGACAAGGTGAGTAATTCCTTTTCGAAAGAGAACGAAGAAAAGAAAGGTACATGCTGACCTGATTTTAGAACCAGATTGACGGTCTAGACTTTGATTGGGAGTATCCGGGCGTTAAGTTGAATGACCAATTAAGTTGAGCCATCTTTGCTGACCGCTCTCAACAGGCACCAGACATCCCAGATATTGAGCCAGGTAGTCCTGATGAAGGTGACAACTACCTAGGATTTCTTTCACTTCTTCGCTCGAGACTGCCTTCGAGCAAAACACTCTCCATAGCTCTTCCTGCCTCGTTTTGGTATCTGAAACAGTATCCCGTCAAGGACATTGCACGTTACGTGGACTACTTTGTCTACATGACGTATGACTTGCACGGACAATGGGGTAAGTGCTATGAGCCCGGTCATTTCTCTCTCTCTTTTACTAACCGGCACACTAGATGTGGGCAATAAATGGGCTGTTCCAGGCTGCGACGGCGGCAACTGTTTACGGTCGCACGTCAACAAGACGGAAACCATCAACGCACTTGCGATGCTTACAAAAGCCGGTGTTCACTCCAACCAGGTCTTGGTGGGTGTGAGCAGCTACGGAAGAAGTTTCCGCATGAAAGATGAGCACTGTTCCGGTCCGTTTTGCACCTTTCTCGGTGCCAGGGGCCATTCCCAGGCATACGAGGGCCGGTGCACCGGGACGGGAGGCTACATTTCCAATGCCGAAATCGGTGAAATTATTGGCAAGCAGCAAAACTACTCAGTTGTACAAAGTTTTGTTGACAAGGACTCGGGCTCGAATATTGCCATGTACGGCGAACCCGGTGCCGTTGACTGGGTTGCGTACATGGACGGGGACATGAAAACTGACCGTATCGACTGGATCAAGCAACAGAATTTCCGTGGCTTTTCGGACTGGGCCATCGATCTAGAATCCTTTACTGGAGACGAGGACAACTCCGGAGACGATGGCACCTACGACCCAGATGATGACGACTGGGACTGGGACTTTGATGGCGACACCGCCTGCAATGACAGCCCCGGAAGTCTTCAGAGCATCGCCCACGGCATTGATGGCATGAAGAAAAAGTGTGCCAGTCTTTACACCCTAAAAGCGCTCTCCGGCATGATTGATGAGAGTTTCGAGCTGTTTGGCAAGAACAATAAAGGCTACGACGAGCAATTCGGCCACTATGCAACCTGGGTCAAAGAGAACATTGACCCCAAGCTCGACTCATTTATGGCGTTTGGCAAGGGAGACGGCAATGAATTCTTTACATGCACATGGAAGGTGGGAAGGAGAGTCGGATCGGGTCCTTGCAGAGGTATGCCGCACTATTGGGAGGAGGAGTCCACCTTTACCGTCGAGTACAAGCTATCCGACGAAGACGGCTTCTACAAGGCGGCGTCCGAAAAGCTCGGCATTGACAAGGACTGGATCGCGATCGGCAACCGGGATAAGGACTACGATTGCCGGACCAATGTAAACGAGGCCACACAGGGCCGTCCCGGACGCGGCTCCGGCATCTCTCCGCCGTGCTCCAAGATTTTCCGCCGGCGCATGAACGTGCCCGTCAAGGCCGCCGACGACAAGATCAAGGTTGGCAATCCCAAGGAGATGCTCAGCAACATCATGCCCAACATCGCGGCGCTAAAGGATACCCTCACCAGCACCTACGCTACCGTCGGGCTCGGCATCTACGACGACACGCAGGACCGTGCCGACGTCATGGACGCCGTGGTCGGGTACTCGCTGCCCGTCCTGCAGCTATCCGAGTCAGTTGACAGCATGAAGACCATCAAGGGCATTGGCGAAAAGGCCAACGCCGACAAGAAGCGCAACCTCATCCTCAGCATCATCACCTACGTCCTCATGGCCCTGCCCTTTGTCGGCGAGGCCGTCGGCCCGCTCGTCGGCAGCGCCACGGCCGTGGCGCGCATCGCCGTCCTCGTCACCGAGGTTGGTACCGTGGCCACCACCATTGCCGACATTGTCGCCGACAAGGACTCGGCGCCCTTTGCCATTCTCGGCCTCATCCTCGGGTCCGGCCTCGGCGGCGAGGGCAGGCTGTCCCGGCAGGAAGGGTTATCCAAGGCCTCGGCCGCTCGGAGAGCCCTGAGCGCGGACGACTTGGCAAAGTACACTGACAGCTTCAAGGAAAAGGACGCGTTGATTCAAAAAATCAGCCGAAAAGGCTCCTGCAGCAAATAGTTTTGTGGCGGCGGTTCTACTAGGGCGGGTGTGGCTGGAGTCACTGGTGCGTTTTTTGTCCGTGTCTGCTGACTTCAACAGATTTGGATGAAGCAGTGCTTTTTTTTTTTTTTTTTTTCGTCTTTCATACGGTGATGTCGCATTTTGCATTGTACTTGCCAGTATTGATGCAGCACGTAACTAGTTGTCTGAGCAACACCATCTCAATGGAAACGCAGTTACAATTTCATTTTCAAAGCGCAAAATACCTACATATTTTTAAACCAGAAAAATCCAGGAGATCTCACTATTCAGATACCATTGAACAGATAATATACCTAACCACATTCTCTGACACCACTTCCCCAGCGACTGGTCCGGATCAACACCAGCCGTCAAACAAGTATCAGCGTTAACTATGTGAGAACTTCTTTTTGTGACTACTCGCGCTAGTATAGATAGGTTTCACTTCGCTCGGCAGCAAGGCCCCTAGTAGCAAGCGCAAAAACTGCCTAAACAAGTCGGCGCCAGTACTCAGTCAACTTGGAAACTTGGTACATTCGACTATGGAGCGATTGATACCTGGTAATGCTGTCTGTGAGAGAGATAGAGGATGCTACGGTGAAACCGAGGAAAGAAATCGAGGTAGAAATGATTAGCATCTTAAACGAAAGGACGAGGCACCTTTTCCCGCCAAAGTCTCGTTTCCCTACCTCGCGTCATCTCCGAGGGCACAATCATTGTCATTATCAGAATTCTGATGACATCATAAACCCGTTCCTTTGAACCATCTTCAAATTACTGCTGCGATCACCTCGGCGAGACCACATTTTCAGCTTGGCCTTGACGTGCTGTGCTTGCTTTTAGCGGACGGCAGTGAATAGAGAGCATGACGACTAATAAGGAAGAAGATCTTGCACAGATTTGAGCTGATGGCAGCTGCAATTATGGGGACAGCAAGGGAGCGTGTGCGAGTATTCCACGGCTGTGACGGCCCAGGATGCGCTAAAAAGATAATTCTATGTAATATATGGCCAGCCACCAGTGCACTGCTATGAAAGTATCTTTCCCAAGTCCCCAGCAGCAAGAGTCGACCATCGTACGACTGTACCAAAGTACCAAAAGCTGAGACCGATCGCTGTTTGTTCTACTACTTTTGCCTTTTACACTTCACCGCAGGCACAACAGGATGAGTGTTCACATTCCAGCCAACGTTTTGCATTGGAATGCCGAAACAGTCATTGTTTCATGTCCTTACTGCAATCACAAGCACAGTCACCATTTTGGACCCGAGATTTATTCTAAATGCAACAGACGCTCTGACTGTGGGCATGGTGACATAGGTGGAATATACCAGCTTTCATTTCCTTTTGATAAATCAACCAGCGCAGTCGGGTTTCGCATCGACAAAGTCCGTGGTTGGTACCTGCGGGAGGGTCACACTATAAAGGATCTTGAAAGCTCGACTGGCAGCAGCCCACGCAGAGCGTCAACACCGGAACGGAAGCGTTGGACTGAAGGGGAGCGAATCCATGTCATTGGCAATGAGGATGAAGGCTTTCGCCGACTAAAGGAACATTTTGGTTCGTATCCCGACGAGACCACCTCCTGTCTCGAAATTACATACGCAGTGTCGCGCCTCGTCAATGGTGACAAAATCTGGCTGGAAACGTATTTGAGAGACTCTCCCGAGGTAGCCTTGTTTTTGAATGGTATGGATCGTGATGGAAGTACCGCCCTTCATTTGGCTGCTTGCGAGTCTTCGCATGTTGTGGTGAAGCTCCTCTTGGCACACGGGTGTGACGTCGACGCAACGAACCGAGAAGGGAGAACCCCTTTGATGGAAGCTGCTCTCTGGGGCAGAATTCGAAATGCGTTTCTCTTGCTCGAAGCAGGAGCCCAGACAAATATAGTGGACAATAGTGGGCGGCGAGCCATTGACCTTGCCCAAGCATCCCAGGAAACTGACGATGAACGCTTTGCTCGCGTTGAACACCTCTTTGAAAAGACCCCGAATAAGGGCTACAAGCCGCACCAGCGATCGGCGGAGCGGCGGCAAATAGTCGACATGCTCGAGGGAACAGACAAAAACGCTCTGTGCAACGAAATGGCTCTCAACTACGAGAGAGGAGAGCTGAGATTCAAAAACAACTTGGAGCGGTGTTCAGTGTCACTTGTAAAAGAGTTTCCAGTCCCAAACATGTGGAAGACGGTTGCTCGCCTGGTTTACATGTGGGAAGCACCGTGCCCTTTCTCACCAGTCGACGCGATGAGTGGCTGGAAAGACAGTACCCGAAACACGCTTGTTAAAGGTCTTGACTGGACCGCGCATGTAATGCAGCTCGCATCGGCCATTGGCTATCGCCTTTCAGCAGACGCGACGAAAGATCAAGGGGTTCAAGAGCAGTACAACGCTTGCCATGCCGAAAAACAGCTTGTGGCATACTTTGTGGAGAATCATGTCGTTTTGGAGTCAGACGCGGAAGAACTTACGCAGGTTATGCCTCCGGTGGCAAGTCCTAAAGCTACAATTCTCGTGAGCAGGCCCGTTTGCCCTGACTGCGGACGATTTATTGAGGAAGTGAATAGGCAGCTGGGTCTCGGCTTGCAGAATGAGTATATCGGGGGTCGTTAGTCTGGTGTCGTGGCAAAGTTATTGAACAAAGAAGGGCGTATACGCGTCAGGGCGGAGAAGCAGCATTATAAGAAACAAGGGTAACGAAAACAATTTTGTAGGAAAGGGATTTTTCTTTTCAAGAAAAGTAAAGAAACTGAGAAACTCGGGCCGGGAGCCGACAGTATGCCATGCAACGCTCCTCAATTCAAGTGGAATCCGGCACATTGCATTGGAAAGAAAGGTACATGGGTGATGGATGCTGTCGCAGTGAGTTACACTGCTTCTTCAGTTTATGCAGCACGCCGACCGTCGGGGCTTTGCTCTGCACAAGGCTATAAATGCAAGCTGGTATTGCCGCGGGGTTTTTCCTCTCACACACATTTAAATAATCGTTTTGACCTGAATGACCGAGATGGCAACTCTGGACGAGCTGAAGGCGGCGTTGCAGGCCAGCGCTTCCTCGGCGACACCGCTAACCGTGCGGGAGCCATTGTCCGAAGAACGATATGCGTCAGGCTTTGCCATCCTCTCTCATGAGCAAGACTCATCGTACGGGTCCTTCATCATCCCCCAGCTATCAAGGCTACTGCAATCTACCCTCAGATCCCGGATCCAGATTTCGGTGCTGGAAATCGGACCGGGACCGCGGAGCGTCCTAGGGCAGCTCCCCGAGAACCTGAGAGAGAGGGTCGGGGAGTATGCGGCATTCGAGCCCAACGCCATGTTTTCTTCAACGCTGAAAGACTGGCTCCGGGCCGGTTCACAGCATCAGCCGCCATTTCCACGCCTCCAGAGCTCACCATGGATCCACGTCAGGCCGTTTACCGCTGGCCCTGCTGAGTCCGGCCATCATGACAAGTACGACGTCATCCTATTCTGCCACAGCATGTATGGCATGAAACCTAAACGACAGTTTATCCAGCACGCTCTGGGCATGCTAGTCGAGCGACACGACGCCATGGTCATAGTCTTCCACCGAAGCAGAAGTCTGCACGTCCAAGGGCTGCTCTGCCGTCACATGGCCTGCTCCCCCTCCGAAGTCGTTTCCGTACCGGATCGAGACGAGGTCCTGGACTGCTTCGCACCTTTCGTTGCCGGCTTCACTCACCAGGAGGGCGACTCCGGGGAGACTGTCCGGCTTGAGTGGCGGCATATTTGCCGCACTTTGTGTGTTCGCGACAACGCGAGCGCGGGACATCTATGCTTCAGCGCTCCGACTGTCATGATGACTTTCTCCAGACACGCAACCGCCTTCGCCGACTTGGCGACCCATGTTCCGCTGGGCAGCGTGGATCACGTCAAGAATCGCCAAGCACGCCGCCACCAGACTGCTTTCGTGGTCCGGCCAACGGAGCTATCGCATGTTCAAAAGTGCGTGTACTGGTCCCTCACGAACCACATCAGCCTCTCGGTTGTCGGCGGCGGTCACGGCGGCCACTGCGTGCAGCCCAACGTCGTCTCCATGGACATGGCCGCATTCAATACCGTCGACCTTGTCGAGTACCCCGACGCACCGTCCGGCTCGGGCTTTGTCGTTGCCGGAGCGGGTTGCAGGAGCGAGGACATTGTCCGAGAAGCCTTGGCCGTCGGTCTGACTGTGCCTCTCGGGTCGCGGCCCAGCGTGGGAGCAGGGCTGTGGCTGCAGGGCGGCATCGGTCACCTGTCGCGGCTGCACGGGCTCGCCTGCGACGCCGTCGTCGGGGCTGTCGTGGTCTGCGTTGGCTCGGGCCGCATCATGGTTGTCGGCGAGGTACCAGCGCGATTCCAGCCCAGCGATGCTGTCCGGCCGGAGAATGAAGAGGATCTGCTATGGGCGTTGAAAGGCGCGGGTACCAACTTTGGCATCGTAGTTGCTGTTGTGCTCAAGGCTTTCCCGGCCGTCAACTACTCGATCCGACAATGGATCGCGCCGCTGCGGACCCGTTCCGAGACCCGGCAAAGGCTCACGGGCATAGATTCCCTGGCCGTCAAGCTCCCGCGCGCCAGTTCCACAGACGTCTTTCTCTACTGCGATTCCGAAGGGCTCACACATGTCTCCGTAAGCATGTCAGAGTGCTCTGAGGCTATAGCTACCACTAGCAGTGCGCCGCCGAGCGTGTGCGCGCTTCTTGGGCCTGAGGACTGCAGCAACACGGTCGATGCCATCGGCTTGTACGAGACGGAGATGTACCTTTCCAGCATCCATGGTGGACCCGGTGGGAAAAAGACTTCCTCATTCAAGCGATGCATATTCTTGAACAGCATCGGCCAAGCGAACGTAACAGAGTCTCTGCTTGCGGCTCTCAAGTGTCGCCCCTCATCGCTCTGCTACCTGCACCTACTGCATGCTGGCGGGGCCGTGGCCGACGTAGCTGCCCATGCCACTGCCTTTGGCTGTCGAGATTGGACATTTGCATGTGTTATCACTGGTGTCTGGTTTCGAGACCAAGACGCGTCGGCGAGCGAGCGAGCCGCGGTAGATTGGGTCTACGACGCTGCATACAAACTGCTCCCCTTGGGTACCGGAGCCTACGGTGCGGATCTCGGACCAGATCCGAGGGATATACCACTGGCCGTGCGCTCATTCGGGCCGAATTTACATCGTCTGGCTTGCTTGAAGCAAAGGTATGATCCACAGCATGTTCTGGCTTATGCATGTCCCATTATCTGCCCACGGCCAAGGCAGCGGCTCATCATCCTCGTCACCGGCCAACATGGCGTTGGCAAAGACTACTGTGCTCAAGTCTGGACTTCAGCACTCGCGAATCACATAGATAGAGGCAACGCCAATCTTCAAGTGCGTTCAGTTTGTATTAGCGACGTAGCCAAAGCAGAGTACGCCGCGGCTACGGGAGCAAACCTAGGTCGACTGCTTCGCGACCGGGTGTACAAGGAAGAACATCGGTCAGCGCTGACAAAGTTTTTCAACGACCAACTACATATAAGACCTGGACTAATGGCAGATCATTTCTTGCAAGTGGTCTACGACGTAGCGGAAGTGGACGTTCTCATCATCACAGGCATGAGAGACGAGGACCCGATCGCCAACCTGTCACCCTTGATCCCTGATGTTCGGCTGATCGAGGTTCGCGTAACGGCAAGCAACGAGACACGACGCACACGGAGATGTCTTGCAGGCGAGACCAAGGACATTTCTGAAGATGCCGGCGATAAAAGCGAGTGGGCTCCCAGCCTGCACTTCCACAACGAAAAGGCCGGAGACGAGGCAGTGCACAACTTTGCAGACAACTTTCTTCTTCGCTACCTGTCCCATGATCTGCAACGACTGGAAGACATGGTGCGCATCGTTCCCAACTTCCCACGCCCTGGAATCCAGTTCCGCCACGTCCTAGGCATCGCCCAGCAGCCCGGTGGCCTGTCACTGTGCACCTCCCTTCTCCAAGGCCACTTCCCCGGCGACTGGTCCAGCATCGACGCCGTCGCCTGCTGCGAGGCCGGCGGCTTTCTGTTCGCGTCGCCGCTTGCCGCGAGCGTCGATATACCGCTGGTGCTGATGCGCGAGGCCTGCAAGCTGCCCCCGCCCATGCTGTCCGTCGCCAAGTCGTCGTCGCACATCTCGTCAAGCGACCTGGGTGGCGACGGCAAGAGGATAGAGGCGGATCGTGATGCTCTGCGGGGGTGTCGGTCCGTGGTGGTGGTGGACGATGCGCTAGCGAGTGGCAAGACGCTCTGCGCAATACTGCGTCTGCTGTGCAAGGCGGGCATCGCGCCGGAGCGCATCAGCGCCATGATCGTTGCCGAGTTTCCGTCACATCGCGCCCGAGAAATGCTGCGTAAGCAGGGGTTCGGAATGGTTGCGATTAGCAGTCTGATGGTGTTTGGCGGGGCATGAATCAAAGACTCGGAGTGAGGCCGTGACCGAGCATGGAGTCTTGGCGCCTTTCATTCTTTCTGTGAGTGGTAATTACTTGTCGGTGGCTGGCGACTAATCAGCCCGAGATTGTCGCAGTACTTTCGTGTATTTCGTGTGTCTTCGTTTTCAAGCGGTAGACCATCCGAAGTCTTAACACAGGCGAATAAAACTCCCGATTGTAGGGCGGCGCAGAAACCTGCCTATTTAGGCAGTTCATGACCCAAGCCTAAGCCCTACGGGGAAGACCGTTGAACGCACTAAAAATAAGCACTGTAGATGGTGTGGGGTGCCCTGAAGAACCTGGGGTAAGAAACAAGGGCCAATCAGCTCGCTGTTGAGTGATGATTTCTGGGTTGGCTGTGCCCATCCGTCCGGAAGAATGTCGTTCACAGATAACAAGTGGCTGTGAGTGACATCCGTAAGAAAGAAGGCGGTTTCGGGCCGGTAGGCTATCCCCGGGGTCAATCACGGGTCCTGTCAACTTCCCGTCTCCGACACCCTTGCCCTGCCTCTCGAATCGGCCCATCAACAGATTTCCCCGCAGCGGAGTCCGCCATGGCTCCGTGAGCCGTGAACCGAGAGCCACAAACCGTGTTGCACAGGCGGTACCCCGCGATTCTGTGCTCGAGTTGAAGTACTTTCGATATTGTGGCGTTCCTCTCTCCATAAGTCGTTGACATTGGATGATCAACGCTGTTGCTTTTCGTAGCATGGATGGACGTTAACGTCGCTGTATAAAACCGTCTACATCGGACTTCCATGCCAAACTTCTCCGCAAGATCGATAGACACCAACGAGGAAACAATACAACAGCTCAAACATGTGCGACGCAGCCGCTTCACGCCCAGATGGTGCTCCATCAGCTGTCAAAACAGCCTTGCTGATCCCCGGTCGCGGTGACCCCATCAAAGACGCTATCCTCGTCTACTCCTCTGGCAAGATCGACTACGCCGGCCCGCTGTCCGACCTCCCCGCCTCCCTGGTCGCCCCCCCCGAGCGCACCGTCTCCGTGCCCGTGCTGCTCCCCGGCCTCTGGGACTGCCACGTGCACTACCTCGGCCACCTGGAGCAGAGCATGGCCGGCATGGCCGACCCGCACCCGTTCCTCTCCGGCACCCGCGCCGCCCACGACGTCGCCGCCACGCTCAACGCCGGCTTCACCAGCGTCCGCGAGACCGCCGGGTGGGGCGCCGAGCTCGCCGCCGAGATCGCCGCCGGCCGCCTCCTCGGTCCCACCATCTACTCCGTCTGCGCCGCCATCTCCTGCACCGGCGGCCACGTCGACCATCACCACATGCCCGAGGCGCACTTTCGCGAGCTCGGCTGCCGCGGCCTGCCCCTCGTCGTCGCCGACGGCGTCCCCGAGTGCGTCAAGGCCGTCCGCCAGCAACTCCGCCGCGGCGCGCGCTGCATCAAGATCTGCACCAGCGGCGGCGTCTCCAGCGACCGGGACGACCCGCGCCACCAGCAGTTCTCGGACGAGGAGGTGCGCGCCATGGTGGACGAGGCGACGCGCGCGCGCCGCGCCGTGGCCGCGCACGCCCACGGCAAGCCCGGCATCCTGGCCGCCGTGCGCAACGGCGTCACCACCGTCGAGCACGGCGTGTACCTAGACGACGAGGCGATCGCGCTGATGAAGGAGCGCGGCACGATCCTGGTGCCCACGCGGGCCATCGTGGAGGACGGCCTAGCCACGGCAGAGTCGTGGTCGGCGCGCGCGTACGAGAAGCTGCAGGGCGTCGCTGTCCGACACGCGGAGTCGTACCGGGCGGCGGTGGCGGCCGGGGTGCGGATCGCGAGCGGCTCCGATTATGGGATCAGCAAGCGCGGGACACCGCTGAGCCACGGACACAACGGCAGGGAGCTGGAGCTGGCGGTGACGGTGGGCGGGATGACGCCTCTGCAGGCGATCGAGGCGGCGACGGCGACGGCGCCCGAGGTGCTCGGCCCGCAGGCGCCGAGGAGCGGGCTGCTGGCGCCGGGGTACGACGCCGACTTCATCGCCGTGACGTCGGACCCGCTGGTTGACATGGCCGTCATCGCGGACCCGGACAACGTGACGCACGTCTGGCTTGCGGGGTCGCTGAAGAAGGCGCCGGGGAAGCCGATCCTTGCTCTCAGCCGGACAAAGAACTAAGTCCAGCCATCCACTCTTTTGCCCCAACTTCGCAACTTACCTTGCATGCTTGTCCAAGGGGCGACGATTGCTCGAGAAAAGTGCCATCTCCAGTGTAATCATCAAGTTTATCATCTATCTACTCTATGATGCTAAATATTCATTTCCACGATCTATGCACCATGACAGTATTCTCTCCAAGTCTATTTGGAGCCTCCCTTGCGGCCCACGATTATGAAAGCGCACCATGTCCGTACCTCATCCGCGGCAACACATCTCATCATCCATGACATCAGCGCTCCAAGAACTCCATGCACGGAAATAGCACCCTGCCACCCGGGCTCTATGGCGGGGAATTTTGTCCGCCTGGTCCGCCTTGTCGCACAATCTATGTTGGTGACTTCCGTGGAGGGCTGCAGACTGCAGGACGCTTTCTCGTCCGACTGGCGCCAGTTCGTGGAGAAACCCCATCCGTCAGTCATGGGCAATGCAGGATAGAAGCCACGCCCGCGCGATATTGATTATTAGCGGTTCAGCACGTTTCTGGTACTAACGCCAACGCCCCAGCCACAACGTGGGCAGTCAGCCCGCGCGTGGGGTGATTCCGAATTGGTCTGGCATCGTTGGCTTGCATGCTTAATTGTTGGTAATAGACACACTGTTTGGGACTTTTTTCGAAAACTCGATACGATGCACCCTGTTTGGCGTATTTTTCCTGGAAAGCATTTATACGATCTGTCCCGCAACTACGGGTAAAAGTATTTTGTTGCCAGAGTTGCTCCAGCCTCCCTCCTTTTGCTTGAGAAACGAGCCATTGCTTGACTGGCCCTCCTCGGTAGCAACCTCTTTACAGCGTCCCCTTTGCACGTCATGTGCTTTTTGTACCAGCTCTACCACTCCTTCGTGTCTTCTTTCCGTCGGCAGTTGCGCTTCAACAAAACAGCCAAACCATGCACAGTCCCAGCTCCCCAATCTGTCAGTCTGAGACCACTGCCCTTCCCGTCTTGAGCATCACACTGACAGCGGCACAGTACACGCGTGTTGACGTACCTGGCTATGGCAGCGTGTTTCTATCAGACTCAGTCCGTCGGTCCTGCTACCTCCCATTCTGTAGACGGAGCACTAACAACCTTGTCGGAAAGGAGTCTACCTCGACCTTTGGCATTGAACCGCCGAAACTCGACTACTTTAGCGATCAGTCCATAGTTGTCTCCGTCGTCAGCCTGCTGAGCCCCAGAGGCGAGGACACTGTGGGGGAATTGCATGTTGATCTCGTGCCGCAGCAAAGCACGCCTGGTCAGAGTACCGAGCCTGTTTCCCTGCTCTGATCTGGCATTTCATACTCATACATCTCTCACAATTCAAGCAAGCAATACATAACAGCCTTGAGCTATGCTTGCCCGTTTCAGCGCGGGGGATCCTATTACTGGACGACTCATCAACCTGTTACATTAATCGGCCACATATGCTAAGGCGGGTAAAACTAATGCATTTTCTGAAAAAGAAAATATATATATATATATATATACCTAAGCTCGGCCATGTTGCTCCATCTAAACAGATATTCCTCTCTGTTTGCCGCCTCATGTCACACTAACTCAAGACTTTTCAAGCAGATAGTTTCTTGGTAGCTGTAGCTTCTTGGTAGCTGGTCCACATGCCCGTTCTCAATGTAAGTATTGCAGTTGCAGTCCTTCCGCCCCTCCATCACCGGTATTCAAATAGCAGTTTACATCCCTCGACAGTTCGTCAATTGGCCTCCTCGAAGAAAGCTCCTGGTAGACCACTGCACCCTCCAATATCCCAGTATCCCAAAGCCTGCCCCCCCGCCCCCCCCCAAGCTGCCCCATGGCCGCGACACCGCGATCTCGCGACGGCGGTGCAATGCAATCTCTTGATCGTATTTCGAGAAAGGGCTACCATGGCGGCCTCTTATTGGTCACGTCAACCGTTCGCGCGCCCATCCCGCCCGCGCCCGCGCCACCTCCGACCCCCCCCCCCCCCCCGAGGGGAGCTTCTCCGGCGGTGCCGTCGTTTTGACCGGTTTATCGCGACTCGGGTCGATGGCCCTCTCGTTCCCGCCAGCCGCCCCGGTGCCAGCTATGCCTGCCCCTTCGAGTCCCATGTTTTTCTTGTCGCGTGCCTTGTTCGGGGATCGGCTTGAGCCCTGCGTCTGCGTGGCGTAGAGTGCGGTGCCAAGTGCGCCGGCGCCGGCGACGGCCAGGATGACGTTTTTTCCGTTCGACATGACAACTTTGCAAGGAGTGAATGAATAAGATGCAGTTGCGAAGATTAGCCTATATTTCTGATAGAGAAAAGCGAGGTGCAAGGGCAACATGCCCACGTTGCGTGTGCCTGCAGATATAAATTTATGGAGATCTGGCGCCGCGTCAAGACTGTGTCATTGACGTAACAAATGATGCATCAACAACCTCACAACTGGAATGTTTAACTCGGCTGATGTACTCTGAACGACTCGAATATGGAAGCCATGCAATGCGAGCGTTCTCATTCGTTACGACCACAACGACTAAGGACACACCATTGCTACATCAATATTCAATATACGAGGATGTTTTGCAATGCATTTTAGAGCATGAGTGATTAGAATCTTCATCTAGCTAGGAGAAAAAGATGCGCGTGGGTGGCAAGCCTGCAGCATCACAGTGACAAGCCTGCTGGATGCACGACGTTGCCCAGACAGAGTGTGAGTAGCGACTTATTCGTCGCATTCACTACCACGCCACTAAACATTCCCATGCACTACATGGCTTACTTTGACTCCTAAGCGACCCCCGCGTTCCTCCAATCTTCCAGCGCGTCGTCTCCCAGCTTCTCCTTGACCAGCTTCTCGCCCAGCTCCCACAGCTGCGCGCCCAGACGCTCGTCGGACGCCTGCGAACTCTCTCTGCCGCGCTTGCCGGGATCCGAAAAGTACGCGCCGTTCTGGTTCTCCTCCTCGACCTCGGGAGCGGTGAGCGCCCAGAGGGTGCTGTACGAGCCCTGCTCCGGGTCGCGGCCGACCGTCTTCACGGCGGCAGAGATGAGCTGCCCGGTGATGCCGGGATACGCGTCCTTCCACTGCTCCTGCATGGCCGTGTTCACCTAGTAGTGTTGTCAGCAAGAAAAATCTTTCATGCCAGCGGGCATCGGGGGGGGGGGGGGGCTTACGGTGCCTGGGTGGACTGCCAGAGGGTAGATCGAATCGCTGGTGGGCTTGATGACACGCTCGACCAGTCCGAATCGGAGAAAGAGAATCTGAGCCAGCTTGGACCGTCCGTAAAGATCGGCAGGGCCTAGCTCTGGGTTGTTGATGTCCTCGAGGGACGAAAACTTGACGTCGGACGGCGCGTGCTGGTGCATGGCGCTCGACACGGCGACCACGCGCGGGCTCGTCACCCCCGGCATCAGGCTCGTCTTCCGAAGTGTCGCCCAGAGCTGGTTGACCGCGTAGTACTGGCCGAGGTAGTTGACTGCGAAGATGCGCTCGATGCCGTCGTGGTCCAGTGCGTACTGGTTCGCGTTGATGCCTGCGGACAGCACGAGGTAGTCGAGCCGCTCGAGGGACTCGCGCAGGCCGCCAAAGACGGATCGAACCTCGGCCAGGTTGCCGAGGTCGCACTCCTTCCAGTCAATATCGGCGCCGCCCTTGGTCTGTCGCTTGATCTCCTCGATGGCCGCGTCGCCCTGGTCTTACTTGCGGTTGACCATGACGACCTTGCAGCCGGCCTGGGCCAGGGCAGCGCTGACCTCGTAGCCGATGCCGAGGGCGCCGCCGGTGACGACGGCCACGCGGCCGCTGAGGTTCTGGGGCTGGACTTCCTCGGGGCCCACAACCTTGTGAAGAGCGGACTGCATGGCTAATCAAAAGGACATGTAAGAAGAATGTAGACTTGGATGATCAAAGTTGAAGGAAATTGTGTCCGGAAATCATGGATGGATTGAAGGGTGACGACCGTCTCACTACCACAAACCCACGTTCGATGCTATATGTAAGACTGCGATTCGCTAATCTCGTCATATTGACTCAGCTAGAATGCATGCCGAAATAAATCGCCGCATTGCCTCTTCTTCAAGGCTTGACCAGAGGGCAAGGTTTGAGAGTCTTGACCAAATAGTGACGCACCTATGCGTCTTTGATGCGTAAACTATGCCGAACCACAAATTGTGGGAAAGTCCATCACCCAGCCCACTGATCCAAAAAGCACATGACAATTGTTGAGTGTCTCGGGATAGTCAAAGGCCCTGATACTGCGACAGGCTTTTGTGCCTGTTCGAGTGTCTCTGTGTTGGGGAGTCTGCCATGTCACGAAGACGTCATCCACGCCGAGAATCCGGAGAAGCGACGACAGACCATCGTTTTGTAATAGAGGCAAACTGCGTCGACATGCCCCTGAATCAGACTTTCCGCTTGCAAGTTGGCCCGCCTTTCTTGTGTTTGCAACGTAACTGGCGATGCTTCTCTTTGGACTCCGTGACTTGCAGAGAGACTAATGTACTTTTAAATATCCGTCGTTCGATCTTGATCTAGTCCTACTCAACTTTTGGCGCACCCATGCCTAGAATGGTAAGGCACCACCTAAGGCACCACCTCCCTTCAAAAGACACAAGCCTTAACAGTTCAGCACTTAACCAGACTGCCAGTATAGCAAGCAATGTAGCAAGCACCACCTCGGCCAACTCCGTCACGTGGTTTGGATCTCGGGTAGCGCAGTTGGCGAGGGCTGCAATCTCCATCAAAGCGGCTCGGTAGCCATCTGGGTGGTGGTATCTATCCTTGACCGGATACGGGCGCATACTGGCCTCCGCAGAGATCCTGCGCTGCACCCAGTGCGAGGCTGACGCAGACGGGGCTTTACTGTTTGGCAAATCATCCCGCCGCCAATCCAGGGTACCCAACGAACAAAGGAACTCCCGGGCCTCCTCAAAGGCAGTTTGCGCATCCTGGGCGTCCAGTTGAGGCGCAAGACTTTCGAGGCTGCCCTAGAGGTACTCGACCGCCTCATCTATTCGCAGTATCTCCTGCGGTTTCTGCCATACGCGACGCGCCAGGGCCGCCGTGAAAAGCTGCCCGTAGCGCAGGGCAAAACCTTGGGTAGAAATTGACGACCAGTCGAAGCTTTCGGGCAGGCCGGATGCAAGCTCCGCGCACGCCCGGGAAGCACTCACTTTATCAGACGCGAGGCATAGCATCGTGAATCTCCGCAAAGGCAACGCGAACACCACGCATTTCCTGGCCTTCATTCGACAGATTGGTTGGGTTCTTTTTGACAGTTTTAGCGCTATGCCCTCTTCGGTTCGTCGCAAATCATCCCTCACATGGTCCTTTGGGAGGTACTCCGCTAGCCTTTGCAATACAGCGCTGACGCTGGGCGTCGGTACTTGATTGTGCCTCATGAGCGGGAGCTCTGTACTGATGGCCAGTTCGAAGGCCCGACGTGCCAGCTGAGCGTCGTCAGGCCTGAGAAGCTGCGACCACGCCTCCAGGAAGCTCCAGGCTTCCGGCCGCCCAGACAAAGAAATAGGTACGTTTATTCGGTGCGGCGCTGTGATGACCTAGAGCGTGGTACTCCGGATAGGAGCAAGTTCGTCCTCAGCCATGCAAAGCCTCTTGGTACGTTGCAGGATCGCGGTGAACAACACGAGCCCGCGCGCGCGATTAGACTGGTCACCCCTCAGCATCATAGCGGCCGCTTTATCGCATCAAAGTGCTTCATGATGTGCTGCTTTGCAAAAACTGGTACCAGCGGCTCTAAACCATCCACCCATCGAGATACAAGTGCGTCGCGGGCCCGTGAGGCATACGATCCCCCGGTATTTCGGATTGGTCGTCGCGGATCGAGGTACAGCGTAATGGTTTCAATGGCCTGGTTGAGCGCGTGCTGGCCCTCTTTCGTCCCCATGGTCGCTAGGGTTATGGAATGGGCGCGACTCAACGATCTCCCTCAAGACTACGATGCCGAGGAGAAATTCAAACGATGATGACGTCGCACCAGCAACAAAGTCCAAGGCCCGGATGAAGCGCGGGGTGAGCGCTTCTACCAGTCATGTTTCGCCCTCCTTTCCCTTGCCGTCATATATTCTCCCTAGAGTGGCAATGCTCAACTTGCGGTCGTCGAATATAGTGCGTAGGTTCAGCGTCTCATAATCCTCCACCAGCTTCTCCGCCTCATCGGGCAGCACCAGCTCCTGCAGCCGTTTATACCGCTCAGAAAAGGCTGGTCCAATAGGGCCAAGCGGCACAAAACCTTCTGGGAGACGCCTTTCCCACTCCCGAAGCTCGGGTACGCGTAATCTCTTGCAAGTCAACCCCAGGCAGGTAACCGGGGCCAGCGGGAGATGCTCGATGATCATCTTGAGAAGCTCGACGGGCAGGTCAGCAAGGCCGGAGGTTATGATGGCTGCTGTATGTGTTTTTAGAGCTTCCTGGGATTAGATTTAGCTAGAATATTCTCGGTTTGGTATTGGTGAACCTATTAGTATCTTTTTCGCTTGATATGTTCTCAGTTGATGATGCCTGACCAGGCTGATCATTCACAGCGCATTGTAGTGTTCTCACCCCCCTTACCATCTGTGCCAACTAGCAAAAGATTGGAATGCCACGAACCCTGTGGCACGAGCGGTACTCAGTTGACATGTAGCTATAGCCGCGACGCCTGCGCGTTACAGATGGTATTTTTCTATTCCTAGATTAAATTTGAAGTATGAAAGACAGGGAAACCGCACCGCCACTCGTGAGCCACAGCAGCCACAGGTTAGTGGGGAGACGCCTTTTTGAATCTTGCCCAGCAGCAAAACTTTTCGATGGCGGGGCAAGAAAATGTCTGATAAACTGATAAGAAAACCACCACCGAAATTTAGAACCGCTACTCCCTGACCTTGATCAATTCTCTGCACTGCACAACCATATACCTATATTCCCACCATGTCGAAGCGTGCAGCCGAAGTCGGGCATGACGGCACCCCTCTCAAGGGCGGTGACCGTCCGGAGAAGATGGACATTGACGACAAGGAAATGGGCGACTTCGAGGACGAGTTCGAGGACGAATTTGAGAGCGAAGACGAGATTATCGAGGCCGGCGTGGACGGCCGGCCCGATGCCGAGCGCGAAGCTGAAGAGGGTACATTCCCAGCCCCCTTCCTACATCACGCCGCGAAGTTCTGCTAACCTCCCGCAGCCGCCGCCGCCATGGAAGTCGACCAAGGCACCTTCATCGTCGGCCGCCACAAGCTCGAGCCCGGCCAGGTGCTAACACCCGACCCGACCACCTACGAGATGCTGCACAACCTGACGACGCCGTGGCCGTGCCTGTCGTTCGACATCGTTCGGGACGGGCTGGGCGACAACCGCAAGGCGTATCCGGCTACCATGTACACGGTGACTGGGACGCAGGCCGACTACAAAAAGGCCAACGACAACCAGCTCCTGGTGATCAAATTCTCCGGCCTGTCGCGGATGAACAAGGACCCCGACGCCGAGTCCGATTCGGACGACGACGACGACGAGGACGCCGAGCCGATCCTCGAGTCCAAGAGCATCCCGCTGACCTCCACCACCAACCGCATCCGCACGCACCAGGTTCCCTCCGACGACCCCAGCCGGCCGCCCACCACTCTGACGGCCACTATGACCGAGTCGACTGACGTCTTCATCCATGACGTCACGCCGCACCTGGCCTCCTTCGATAACCCGGGCGCCGTGGTGACCCCCGCGCAGAACAAGCCCGTGTCCACCATCCGCGCGCACAAGGCCGAGGGCTACGCGCTCGACTGGTCGCCGCACCACCCCAACGGCAAGCTGCTGACCGGCGACAACAACGGCCTCGTCTACCAGACGACGCGAACCGACGGCGGCGGCTGGGTCACCGATTCTCGCCCTTTCGCTGGCCACACCTCCAGCGTCGAGGACATCCAGTGGTCGCCGTCGGAGCAGTCCGTCTTCGCCTCGTGCTCCTCCGACGGCACCGTGCGCGTCTGGGACGTCCGCTCCAAGACGCGCAGCCCCGCGTTGACGGTCAAGATCTCCGACTACGACGTCAACGTCATGTCGTGGTCGCGGCAGACCTCCCACCTGCTCAGCACCGGCGCCGACGACGGCACCTGGGGCGTGTGGGACCTGCGCCAGTGGAAGACCGGCGGGACCGGCAAGCCGCAGCCGGTGGCCAGCTTCGACTTCCACAAGGAGCAGGTGACGAGCGTGGAGTGGCACCCGACGGACGACTCCATCATGGCCGTCGCCGCGGCCGACAACACCGTCACGCTGTGGGACCTGGCCGTCGAGCTGGACGACGAGGAGAGCAAGGACACGGCCGGCGTCAAGGACGTCCCACCGCAGCTGCTCTTCGTGCACTACCTCAAAGGCGTCAAGGAACTGCACTGGCACCCGCAGATCCCGGGCAGCCTGGTCGCCACGGGTGAGGAGTTTTCCATCTTCCGCACGATTAGCGTTTAAGAACAGCAAAAAGAATGTACGGCGTTTTTATCAAAGGAAAAAAGGACGAATGATGATGATGATTTATAAAAAAGAGAAATAGAGCGCCTGTTTGTATATACCTGGGTAAAGGGCAATCATGTCGGGAAGAGTATATAAAGAAAACGCTTTCATAACTGAACGCCTCTAAGAAGCTTCAAACGCCCGTCCCTGGTCCCCTTGCCGTATATCTATGCTTCATGTGTCCTATCAATTCAAGAAAAAAATAGCAGCCGTGTTCGCTACCAACGCCCATACGTGCAGTTGAAACGTGAAAATGCGAATCGTAAAGAACTTCGTAAGAATGCCGCCAGTCCAGCAAATTCCACGGGAGGCCTTCTACAAGAAGATGCCCACCCACTCCGTCTTGTTCGCCACCTTGGATCCGCACCCTTCGACAGCACAGCGCAACTCGTTGGCCGGAATGTGCCGCGAGAGCTTGCCCGACGCATCGCGGAACGCCACGCCGTCGTGCGCCGTCGTCTTGGTCGGGCGGCGGTTCTCGAAGCAGTCCGAGCAGTAGACCTACACAGAAAAGAGTGAGCAAATATGCAGCTGGAGGTGGACAGTGACCAGGACGACGGGAGAGATACTTACATGCCCACAAGTCTTGACGGCCCAGAAGTGGTGATCGCCGGGAGCGCGCTTCCGCTTCTTGGCACCCGTAGCGGTCTGCACCACGCCCTCGGTCGGGTCGTAGGCGAGCTCCTCGTCGCAGGACGGGCAGACGACGACGTGGCCATCGGCAGCAGCGGTGGCGGGGGACCGGTCCTCGCCGTCCTCGGCGGCGGCTACGGTCTCCCGCGTAAAGCCCGGCTTGGCCGGCGGCAGGGGCTGCTTCGCGCGGGGTGGGGTGGGCTGCCGCGGAGGCACCCGCTGTGCCCGCGGGAACACGTTTGCCGCCAAGTTCGACGCGGAGGCTCCGTTGAGCATGTCCGAGGAGAATATGTCAGCGAACGATCGGCCAAAGCCCCTAGCAAAGGTGGCCGCGATACTGTAGCCGAATGCGTGCCGCCGGTTCAGGAACTCAAAGTCGACGAGGTGGTCGTGGCTGTTGCCGCCCGGGCCGTCCGGGTGGAAGATGATGGGAGGCTGGTGGTTCCGATGGCTGCGGCGTGGCGACTCGTTGGTGCTGGTGTTAGTGTTGTTGTTGCTTCTGCTGTTGTTGGTGTTGTCGTCGTCGCCGGTCAGATCGATGAAGCTAGGTTCCGAGCCAAGCATGATGCTCTCGCTGCGGGACAGCCGCGGCGGTGTGAGGCGCTGAGAGTTTGTGCGGCGAGGATGGCGATGCAAACGCATCGGTGGCAGCCGTACGGCATCAGCGGGTGCCTGGCTGGTAGTAGAGTTGTTACTTCTCTGCGGTGGGCGCACCTGGACTGGCGAGTCTGGTTCCTCCGTGAGGTCAATCACCGTATCGTCCTGCCGTGACACTTGAGGTGGGGGAGGCGGGTGAGGCTCGGCATGCCGCCTCCTAGTCCTGCCAGAAGTCGTTGTCGAGGGCCGGGCGGGTTGTGGAAGGGCGAGGGGTGTGGGCGCGTGGGTGGCGGCATTGCTGGCCGTCGAGGCCCGGCTGGGCCGCGCAGAGACAATCTCGACCAGGTCATCGTCGTCGTCGTCGCTGAGCGGCACGAACAAGCTGGGTTCTGCGTGAGCCATAGTTCCGTGCACCAGCGCCGCGAGGTCGTCGTCGTCGCGGGTGCAAGGTCTGCGTCGGCGTCGACGAATGGGTGGCCTGGCGGTGGCCGGCGGCACTACTTGATGCGTGCCGAACAGCGGGCGTGGATGGTCGAAGGCGTGAGGGAAGTGGTGAAAGTCGGGGAAGACGGAGTCCAGGGCGAAGCCTCCGAAAGGCATCGGTTGCGGACTGATGATGCGTTTGATGAAGTTTTGAGGGCCTAGCCCTGTCAAAAGGTGGCGAGGCGGCAAAAAGTGGCGAGGTAGCAAAGAGGTCCGGCGTTAACTTCTGTTCGTTGTTGCGTGGCGTGTTGACGGACCAGGCCGCGGACCACTAAGCATGCGGAGACTTCAGAGGACGTTGATTGGGAGCAAGGGCAAGGCTCGGATACGTATAGATGCGGTTCTTGCAGGTGCGAAGTGGCGATACAGACAAGCGATGTGTTTGCGAGATTGTAGAGAGGGTTGTCTTGCGGGCGTTGGCGAGCGAAGAAGTGAGAAGTTGGTTGGCGATATCGCGAGGCCAGGGCGGGCGGTGGGGGCGAATGTGATTGTGGGCCGCACTATGTATGGATCACACTTCGCGCTTAAATATTCCTAGTAGGCAGCAGGTGGCAATGTCAAACTCAGCACAGTGATTCAGAAGTTTATAAATCAGACGACGATTTGATGCAAAATTTTATTTCCGAACAAATAAATAATTGGATAATTACGTGCCTGTGATGCCGTCATTCTCAAGGAGCAATCCAGGTACCCACTCCACTCAGACACGCCAGCAGCCTGACTGATTACATGTCGCACGACAAGGATCCGAAGCATATTGCCTCTAAAATCAGCCTGGTGTATTGCGTAGCTACTGATTCAATACAGTACATGCGTAAACAGCTAAAATATCCAGTAATTCACTTCTGTACCACTCCTTTTGACCTGCCGCTTTTGGGCTAGAAAACATTACATGCGTCTGTTGACCGCATCTGATGCAGACAAAATCGCCTCAAACCCCCTCATTTCGCTTATGCCTTGACACCTACGACACTGACAACTCCCTCGCCGTTGACAGCTACCAGAGTCTTGCCCGACTCGCCCCATCGCACAGCGACTGCACCCGTGGCATTGCGGAATGGCTCTGCCCACTTCTTGCTACCCTTGGCATACTGCTGGATGGTCAGGCCCGAGGGACCTGCCGTGGCCAGGTACTGGCCGGTGTAGTCCCAAGCGAGCGACTGGACCGCGCCCGTCTCGAGAACCTTGGCCGTGGCGGCGTCGCCCTCCTTGCGAAGATCGAACACCGTGACCGAGTTCTGGCCCTTGGCGGTAGCTGCTAGCCAGAAGCCATTTTCGGAGAATGTGAGGGCCTGGATGGGGGCACCCAGCTTGAAGACGGCCGCCTGCTCCAGCGTTTTGGACATATATAATCTCACATCGCCAGTGACGGTGCCGGCAGCGACAAGGTGGCCATCAGGGTGGAAGGCCACAGTTGTGAGCGCTACGACATTATGTTAGCGTACATTTATCGAGGGGCAAGCTTGCGGGGTGTAAACTTACAGGCATCAACAAAGGTTCGGCTCACACGCTTTAGGCTGGCTAAATCGTATAGAACGAGACTCTTATCAGTGCCGACTGAGGCAATAATATCGCCGCTGGGATGGACGCTGAGACCAGTCGTTGGGCCGGAATGCTCCGAAGCAGCGGCGACCTGGTTGCCGCCTTCAAAGACCTTCACGCCGCCATTGCCGGTGCCAAAGATCAACTTGGAGCCTGTCCACAGCGTGCTGGTCGCAGGCTCGCCAACAGTTATCTCGCGCTCCAGAGAGTCAGCCGCAACAGCATAGATGGCCGCTTTGCCCTCCAGGCCTGCCACAGCAGCGTAGGCGCCCTCGGTATCCAAGCAGCTCGTCTGCGCAATTGGCAGCGCGTTCGTAGCTGTGATCTCGAAAGCGGCAACTTCGCTGGGTTTGACCCAGCCCTCGGGTACAGGACGCTTTTTGCGGCCCTTGGAAAGTCTAGCGCTACTGTTAGCTTTGTACCGGTTCGAGTAGTCCTGTAGTCCGACTTACTCTTGGTGGACTTCGTCTACACGAGCCGCCAGTGCCTCTGGTAAGCCTTCGGTATCAACCGCCATTTCGTCGGCGGCGGCGTTGGCGCCACCACCAGAAACAGTAATCCTGCTCAGGGCATGTCTCGCCTCATCCCTCTCTTTGGTCAACCGGGCAATGACGCGAACGGCGGCATCGTGCTGGTACAGAGAGGTGGCGAGCTCCTCTCTTGTGCGAGCAAGCTGCTCACGCAGATTATATGTTTCTAATGCGAGACTATCCCACTCGTTTTGGAAGGTAGCGAGTAGCGCGGGTATCGAAGTCAGCGTAGGCGGGCGTGGACGCGCGATGCGGGAGGAGTTGATAGGCAGGAGGTCCTCGGCTGTGAGAGCCTCGCCAGTGCTGGGCTCGGTGCCGTGCTCGTTAATGTATTGCTCGATAAGTCGCTTCTCGTAGACGACGCCTGCGCGAAGGTTAGCCAATAAGATGCAAGTAGGGGCAGTTGGATTGCAATGCGACGGACCGGACTTTTTGGACGCGACTGGCTCTTGAGGAGCTTCTCCAGAGACTGTGGAAGCGATTAGCAAGGATACGAAATGTAGGTTTTAATGAAAAAGCTGCACTTACTTCCGCAGAGCATTGCGACGGATAGCGAAAGCTCGAGTGGCTTTCAATGGTGATGCTTAAAGAAAGGGCAATGCCTCGCCAAGTTGCGTTGTCGCGACCTTGAATTATCCCAGTGAGATTTTCTGCCTAGAGCTCGCCCTGACCAACCAGAGTCTAGTGCGTCCTCTGTATTTGTGGGTACCAGTGGCTGCATCGCCAAGTCAAGATGCAACGCTTCGCCAGAGGAGATTCGGCGCATAATTGCGTTCTCACAGCTGTTAATTAACTCCAATGGATCCAGCGCTGAATCCATATATTGAATCGTATGCAGAGAAGTGCATTCGTGCTGCTTCTCTCGAACCACTCGCAGCGAAATCACACTACAAGTAGCTGGCATTGTCGAGTCTTCATCTTAGCGATCTTGAATGCAAAGAGCACTCTCAAACTGTAATCCAGTCAGGTCTTTCCTCTCTGTCGCCAAATGCCAATTGTATCAACATACTGGGCTTTTTTCCAGGCCGGGATACCGTGTCCGTTCCTCCCTACGCCGGACTCCACCATCGGAAACCGCCGACAAAACCACGGAGCCACCCTGTACCAGTCAGCATATCTTCACGATACAACCGCAGCAGCAGGCATTCTCACTTCACCAAGAAAAAAGGCCAAAATGGGTTCGCCAGCTTTACCAAATATCCACTATCTAGGAATCCTTCCTGACAGTCGCAAGTCGGCGGCGTTAGACCTATTGTTCGAGCCAAGTCCTGAAATCCACAGCTACTTGATTCCCGTCGCCGCATCTCGCCGGTATTCCTCCTACAATGAGTTCATCGATCGGTGTCGCGAGACTTTAGCCTCAATGGCCGCCAAATCCACAGCAGACAGTCCCAATCAACATTTGCTCCGGATTTTGGGCTCCCACCCTCGCCTCGGGGCGAAAAAGGTCGAGTCTGCCCAATCAGCCGCAGAACAGGCTAAACTTGGTGGCGACAGTGAGGCCTTGGCAAGACTCAACCGCGAATATGAAGACAAGTTTCCCGGCCTGCGCTATGTCGTCTTTGTCAATGGACGTGGTAGACCGGAAATCATGGAGGACATGAAGGCCCGAATAGACAGAGGCGATTTTGAGAAGGAGGTGGACGCAGCACTCCATGTACTACTTCCTCCTTTTAACCTGACAAGATAAATCTTGGTACGAAGAGCTAACCTTGAATGATGCAGGCAATGTGTGATATTGCGAAAGATAGAGCGTCGAAGCTCCCTGTGCAAGCAGCTGGCCAGCAGGATGAATAGATTGGAACCGGGAAGAGAGAGAGGGTCTACTTTGTATGCGGGCAACCATTGTATAGGGAGTCTATAGTAAAGAAAGTATCATTTGGATTAGAATATAGACTTTCAATAATTCTCAACATGCGATGTGATGGATGGAAAGTCGGCCAATTGGCACTGTCTATGTTTGCTGTTGTCGCCGTGTGGAGGAAGATGAATCATTTGGCCGTCTTCTCCACCCCCACGCATAAATTCGCCGAATACAAAACAGTGTCACAATTTTCTCAGATCCCCCCTTTCTTTAATTCACATACTCGCATCTTTTTGCCGATTGTCAGTTTAATGATTTCCGAGTCTTTTTGTAACGTTAGACGCGCTCATCTGTGCAAAGGAAGCGCGTTGTGTGGCCGAAAAGCTCGCTTTCGCTGACCACGAAGAGTAACCTTCGCTTGTGTCTAATAGCATCCGGAGCAAGGAGAAAGAAATTCGGCCAATTCGAGGGGGCTGCTGGGGGACAGGAAGGAGAAAACCAGATAACTATCTAGTAGGGATGTCCTCACCTGCAGCGGTAGCCACAGCGACTCGGCAATATCGATGCCAGAAGCGCCAGAAGCCGTGCGACCACTGTCGCGAGCGCAAACTCAAGTGCCAGACTGACAACACCAACAACACCGGCGACGGCAACGACCGGCCGACGTGCCAGCGCTGCTCCCGCAGCAGAATCCCCTGTACATATGTTGGCCGGCCGCGCCGACGGACGTCGGCCATGCCGGCCATCTCTGCCGCTTTTGACCCGAACGACACAGCCATCTCCGTCGCCGAGGCGGAGACTTCCGATATTGACGCCTCCGCCCTGTCCAGCTCTACGGCCCACGAAGTCGTAACCGCAGTCTCCGAGCCCCTAGACTACCACAACGTGACCATGCCGCCGCCGACCTGCGACACGGAGGCCCCGAGCAGCAGCGCGGCGCTCCACCACAACACGCCATCCTCCTCCTCATCGTCGTTCCGCGGCGCGCCGACGACGCAGCTGAGCCAGACCATGGACGGCATCGAGGGCCGCAGCATCGCGCTGCTGGGCGCGTCGTCCGAGTCGGATCCGTGGCTGCTGCGGCACTGCCGCTTCGACCGGCTGGGGCTGCGCCCGGTGCGCGACAGGATGCACGTCCGAAACGCGGGTGGCGTGCCAACAGCGGACAAGATCCCGATCCACTTCATCGTCAGCGACGACAAGTGCCTGGAGCACCCGCTACTGCCGCCGCCGTACACGACCGTGGCCGCGGGGGATGGTGCGCGGCTGCAGCTGAACCAGCTGGTGCCGCCTACCTATGGCGTTCGGCTGATAAGACTGCAAGTCAAACCCCTCCCCGTTTCTCTTCACATGTGCTAACTAACATGGACAGGTTTCGAAAGCACGTATACCCGATCCTACCTGTCGTCCCCAATGCATACTTGGACGCCGCGCACACCACCGCCAGCAGCGCTGATGCTGCGTCCACCCCCGTCGCCGTGACCGCGCTGGACACCATCCCTACGGCTGTGCTTGCCGCCATGTACGGCCTCGCTCTGCCGTTCGCCCTCAACGACGAGCTCCTCGCCGTTGTCAGCGCATTTGAGCAGCCCGCGCCGCTCGTGCAGCAGCTCTGGACGCTCGTGCACGCGCTCGTCCAGGCAGCCATGCACCGGCCGTCGCTGTCCACTGTGCAAGCCGCGCTGCTCTTCCTGCACGGCGCGTCCGGCGGTGGCGGCGATGACCAGTCCAGCTCGGCGTTTCTGTGGTCCTTTGTCGGGAGCACCGTCGGCATGGCGCACAACCTCGGCCTGCAGGTCGAGTGCCGCATGTTCGGCATCCCGCACGCGGATAAGCGGCTGCGCAGGCGGTTGTGGTGGGCGCTGTACATCGAGGACAAGTGGCAGAGCCTGCTGATGGGCCGGCCGCCGTACATCCGCGCGGATGAGTGGGACGTGGGCGAGCTTTGTGATGGGGACTTTGAGGTCCCGGCGGCAGCGTCCTCGTACTTTGACGAGGCGGCGGCGACGACGGGACGAACGTTTGGCCCATTTCGTGACATGGCGCGGCTGGCCGTCATCGTCGCTGATGTGCAAGAAAAGCTATAGTAAGCTGGCCATTCCTACCTGGAGATGAAAATGCTGAGCTGAAAGGGCGACTAACTAGGGTAAATAGTTCGCTGCAAGCCTGCCAGAGGCTCGCCGAGGACCTCGCGCTCAGCATTTCCACTGCGAAGCCTCTCTTTGACCAGCTCAACGACTGGCGGTCCTCCATCAGCGCCGCCGCCGCCGCCCCGGAGCCTTTTCACGACGACACCGGCAGCGGCGGCGCGTACCCGACGACAGCGTACTTTGCCTACCTAACCGTGGTCACGTACGTGTGGCGGGCGCTGCTGCGGCCGACGGTGCGGTCGTCGCCGCCGCCGCGCATCATCGACGTCGAGGAGCTGCCGCCTCCGCCACCGCCGCCGGACGTGGGTGGCTTCTTCTTCGAGGAGCTCAGCTGGGACCTGTCCGACCTGCCGGAGATGGAGCTGCACCTGGAAGAGGACCAGGGCGCGGCGCACGCGCACGGGGACGCGAGCGGCAGCAGCAGCGCGACCATCAAGGAGCTGCACCAGGCGGCGCAGGCGTATGGCGGGACGGTGGCGGCGTTCACGGCGAGGCTGACGTCGCGTCACTTTGACGAGTTCTGGTATTCCTGTGAGTACAAGTCTTGATCATATTTTTGCAACTGCAGAAAATACTGATTGTGTTTCGAATCAGGGTCTCGGATAGGGTTCGCTGTGGTGTCCAACTTTCTCACCGTGCTGCTTGTGCAGGCACCGACGGCTGAAAACACACCGCGAGCGAAATGGATGCTGGAGAGCTGGCGGCAGACGCTTCGGCATCAGAGCAGGGCATTTCCGATCCTGCGACTGGCGATGGCGCGGCTGAATGCGTTTTACTGGGGTGGGTTGGCCGAGACGTTTTGCCTTCCGCCGCATGTGCAAGCGGTAGTGTCGTAGAGCCAGCTGTTGGTTAGTTGTAGACGCAAAATTAGTGTCGGCGAATGTAGATGTTAAAAGCCAAGATGACGTTAAATAAGCATTGAGGCCAATTACGGTTGGCTTGGCATGATCATGAGTCTTACTGATAGACCGCCTCGGCGAATGGTGAGCTGAGCTGAATGACAGCCACTTACTACTCCTAACATATTCGTTAGATAACAAGTTTGCTTTTCAGACGCCAAGCGAGTCAGGCCATATAAGCCCGGGCGCCCCTTTACTGCTCACTTTCTTTCTCACAGAGAACTTGGAAGAGACAAGAAGAGTACTCAAATCTCAGAATTCGGCAGTCAACCGGGCAGAGATATACATGGGACGAGCGTGAGACTTTTACAAGCCAGTTAGTTCAGCACACACACAACCCCTTGTCGCAGTCGGTCCCTTGCCAGCGGGACAAGCGCAGGGTCCTCTGAGATGAGCACTGGGACCGCCAATCAGCAGCAGCAACCCTGCAACACCGCCTGGAGCGAGCACGAGGAACCGCCGCCGTACGAGAAGAAGGAGCGTCTGCCGCCGTCGTATCATGACATCAAGCGCGCCGATCGGCACGCGGCGACGGGTTGGAAGGGAGCTCTGCGTCGCATGTTTCCCCTGGAGCGACGCTTTGAGACCGTTACGCTAGGGCGTCACACCACAAGTACAAGTAGAGGTATGTGAGGGGAAGAGCAGGGCGCTGCGGCTGAGTGGGCGTAATTGGGTGCGGCGGCTAATCATAAATTTTAAGGGGACACAGGCACAGTTACCGTGTGTTTTGGGTCTTGTTGTCGATGACGAGGAGGGTAGTATGCGTTAAAGTGACGACGAGAAGTGATAATTCCATTTATAGAAAGGAAAAAAGCCTGGGTGTTGAGCGTTATTTATGGCGGGTTTCGTTTTTGGGAGGATTCTGTAGAGCCATTAAATAAGGTTATCTTTGCGCCGCCGATCACTGAGGGGCTGGATTGCTGGCCTGGGGGCGGAGGAATTGGAGCAGAGTGCTAGGGTCGTCCGTCTCCCCATTGAGGGCAACTGATGGCAGAAAAAATCCAGCATAATCCCAATCGATAATCGCTTTGATTTTAAGAGACTCCGGGTCGACGATGACGTTAGGCTGCGATATTCGTTGTGACAAAAAGCGTAGTCGTCGCGAGTAGAAGGCTGCAGATCCCATCTGTCAGACTCTGCAAGCTTCAGAACTCGAAAAGGGGGCTACAATCCCCGAGGGGCCGCCGAGCCGGGACGATCGCAAATTCTTGAGTTTAGCCGTATCCGTATGGCCCTTAAGCTTATCGCCCACAATATGCTTCTGCTCGTCCGACAGATCTGCCATGCTAGTGCCATCCACAAACTCTCAATTAAAAGACAATATGCATCATCATCGAGAAAGTGGCAGTATACAGTTCGGACAGGAATATCAGTATGTTGGCGGATAAACTGCAGTGACTCAGCCTCGTTCATGAGGCGTTGTTTGCCAAGCGGAGGTATGTGAAGTCCTCGATATCCAGTCTGACATTCCCTCGGTCGCTGACGTGGATACATGAACGCCGGGCCACGCTGATACTATTCTCGCTCGAATGTTGTGTCTATGCCATTTTCTTCTTCTGAGATGTTGGAGGTGGACATGTCGGAAGATATCTGCAAGGGATATGCTGGATAAGGACTTGCATGATTGATTCGATGAAACTTGGCGGTTTTGATCTTGCGGATTCGATGGTAGGCTGCCTGCACGTTCTGCCACGGTAGACCGCTTGCGTTGGGTTTGAACATGCCGAATGTCTTGTCCAGATCCTGTCCAAAGTCAGGCGCAACTATTTTCTCCGTAACAAGTCGGGTCCTATTATTGAACTCCCAAAACTTGAACATACTTCTCGACGCTATTCGGCCATTGAATCCCAGCTTCCATCCCCAACGAATTCCCGCTAGCGCCCCTCCGATACCCGTTACAGTGGTACAAGGGCTCCTAACTCGGTCGCCCCATAATCACCACCATGCCAGGTAGGCTGGGTCAAGACCTTCCCCGATCGTTGTTCAACAAATGCGAGTTCATCTCCAGCGGCGCCACCGGATGGGTTTTCGAAGTCGCGCCTGGTATCGCTCTCAAATTCCTTCGCGCAGGCCGTGACGACGATTTCCGCCGCGAGAACGAAACCTACGCGCTGATTGAGCAGAGCAACCCACCACCGCCCCCACACTTCATCCGAAGCTTTCTGCGGCTCCCCTACGCGCACTTTATGCAACTGATGCCCGACAGCCTCGACTCTCGCCTGCGAGCTAACCGGCGCCAAGACCCCAAGACTCTTAAGTGCTTCGAAGTCTTACGCCTGGAGCCGACGGCTAAGATTGAGCAGTGGGCTGCGGAGCTGTCCAGCGCGCTCGCCTGGCTGGAGTCTATTGGGCTGGTCCAGGGGGACCTACGCCCGTCAAACCTCCTCCTCGACAGCGAGGATCATATGAAGCTGGTCGACTTTGACAGCTGCGCCAAGATCGGAGACCTGGATCCCGGGCTTCCGCCGCCATGGTCCTCTCCTAATCACCACCTTTATGGGGCCGAGACCGAGCAGTTTGGGTTCGGCTCGATCCTCTACAACATGACGCGCGGCCTCGAGCCGTACGAGGATAAGGTCCCAGAGACCGTCGAGTTCTTCCGTATTGGGGTGTTTCCGGAACTGATGTCTGGCTCCCAGCTGGATGTGTTGACACTTCGCTGTTGGAGGAGTGAATTTGCGACCTTGGCCGATATGGCTGAGCATTGCGCGACGTTTGAAGGTGCAAAGTCGGCCGCGACAGCTAACGCGATTAACGATGAGTATATAACAAGAATGAGGACGACATGCGAAGCACTACTACGTACTAAATTAGCAAACTTAGGTAATGAAATACCTCAAGATAGTTAGCTAGGTTAATACTGTCGACAGTTTTGCTACAAAGCGAACCAGTGTCAAAGCGAGACAGTGTGAAGCGAGACAGTGTCAACAGACCATCACGCCTCTTCATAGGATTCCTTATGCTCATTCAATATCATTGATGTATTGTATGTGGAACTTGTGTGTAAACTTGGGTTATATCCCGTTACCACCAAAAACTCTATCGCCTCCAAAAGACTCACCACCACCAGAAAATCCGTCGCCGCCAAACAACTCGTTTCCGCCAAACTGATTGTTGGCACCACCGCCAAAATCACCACCAGACTGATCGCCACCAGACTGATCGCCACCAAACTGATCACCACCAAACTGATCACCACCAAATTGATCACCTCGAAACTGTTCACCGCTGAATTGATCACTGCCGAGCTGCTCGCCACCAAACTGATCACCTCCAAATTGATCACCGCCAGACTGATCACCGCCAAATTGATCACCGCCGAATTGATCACCGGCAAACTGATCACCGCCAAATTGATCACCGCCGAATTGATCACCGCCAGACTGATCACCCCCGAATTGATCACCGCCAGTCTGATCACCGCCAAAATTCTGATCGTCGATATTCCCGATAATCTCATTGATAAGATCTGCGGGGACCTCATCGTTGAGATCCCCGCCAATCTGATCGTTGGGATTCCCACCAATCTGATCGTTGGGATTCTCGCCAATCTCATCGTTGGGAGGCTCCTCATTGACTCCATCTCCGATGTTTGGTGGCTGGCTCCCATCACCAGGCTCCTTGTCGCCGCCGTTGTCAAAGCCTGGGGAGTCTTTCGGAGGCGTGTCATTTCCACCGCTGATAGGCCCCTCGTTCCCATCGTCAAGAGGCGGCTGATTGGGGTCACTTCCATGGTTAGGAGGCGGCTGATTGAGATCAATTCCATTGTCAGGAGGCCGCTGATTACCCCCATCTCCGTTGTCAGGAGGCCGCTGGTTTCCGTCATTTCCGTTGTCTGGCGGCTGCGTCCCGCTTCCGGGCTCGGCGGCGCATGCCCCAGAGACGTCCTGAGCAAACAGCGCAAAACTGTCGGCATTGTTCAAAGCCTTGTTTGTTGTAAGGCCGAGGGCACCCTGCTTGCCGTAGACGACATCTCCCGTCCGCCCTGTCGAATGGGACATCTCGTGCACGAACAAGTCGCCGATGTCGATCAGGTTGTCCGCGCACCTCCGGCCACCCTGTGCCTGACGGCGCTGGCGACCACGCCCACCGCCACCCATGGTGAAGGCGCCGCGGCAGAGCTCGATCGAGCTCTCGCCGGTCCCTTGGGTCGTTGCGATCGCCGCTAGCTCCGCATTGCCGGTCTGAGGGAGGGTGCATCGCTTGGCCGGGCTGCAGACGACGCGGATCGGCTTGTTGCCGTTCTTGTCGCAGCCAATGGCGATATTTCCAAAGGCTTCCGCCACCTCGTCGAGGGTGCCGGAGTCATTCGTCTTGAAGTATTGCTCGAAGAGCGGCGAACCGTCCTTGACGGCCTTCTTGGCGGCCCTTGCTCGCTTGACGCAAAGCGCGAGGCCTTGGTCGACCTGCTGCTGCTGGCTGGTGCAGCTTCCCTCCGTCTCGGCGCGGGCAAAGTTGGAGGCCCCGTCTTCGTTAACCACGCATCCGGTGCTGTTGAGGGGGCCAAGCTTTGCAAGACTCTGGAAGATGCTTGGCTCTGCTCTGTCTTCGAGACTGGGCCAACCACCGCCGACTGCTGCGGCCATGACTGCGGCCGGCTGTAAAGCAATGATGCCAATGAGCTTCATCTTGGTTCTGGTGGGTATTTTTGCGTCTGTTTTTGTTCAAGTAAAAGCTGCAACTGATGCAGGAATATATGGCTGTGGCCTGCTGAGGACCGAGTCAGAAGCAGGCAGCCCTCGAGGGCCTTTATATAGACATAACACGCGTAAATCTGAGTATTCTCAGCTGTCTCTGTAAAAGTACATGAGCTGATCTAACTCGAACATGTTTATTGATCAACATATTTCCAAGTTCTTGCTATTGAAACATTAAGCCGCGATGTTTGAATAGTACCATGCGAGGCGAACCCCGCCGGCGGGGAACGCGCCCCCCTAAAGAAGGCTCTTGATGACATTCATGATCAGCACACTTCTGTTTGATCGTCGCTGTCAGTTCCAAAAACATTGAGGCGCAAGCACCGGCCATTTTGGTGGCTCATCGTCGTCAGTCTCCACGCAAGACGTAAAGCCCGTGGCTGTGTCAATGCATAGTTATAGAGCATTTATACTGAGAGTCGTGCTTCTTAATGGATTGAAGACAGAGGTCATGCTGGTACCGTGCTTGTCGACCTGACTGCCAAGATCCTCGGTTCGCCTGCAGGCCTGAAGGTGTTACTGTCGCTAGAAGACTCGGGAGAAGGTTCGTGGTAGAAGAATCGTCCACCGTATTCGACATTATGGATCGTCTCATATATTCCTAGAATCCCTCCAACTACTGATTTTCAGGCCATGTCATGCAGTCTGCGAGGCGTTCTGTTGCGCCCTACGTGGATGGTTCGTGGATCGTATGGTTGCTTCACTGACTCGATGATGAACTACGAGTTGCGCATTGCGACCCCACCGGTTTCAAAGGAAACACATCCATATATAGCATTATTATTATCATGGTGGTCCAGGTACAGCGCGCGCTCACCATTAAGCACACCTCGTCGGCCGACTCGTCCCCGTCGCGCTGCGCATCCCACGCGAGCAGCACACCAACTACAATCCAGCAGAAGCTGAAAATCACGCCGTGGCCGACGGTCTACACCGTCACAGCCTGGAACATGGCAGTGGCATTCTTGGCGCGGGCTGCTATGCCCGTCGCTTAAAGGCTGGGCTAGTCGTTGGTCGTTTAGTTTATATTTGCATAGTCGATCTTGAGGTTTGCATAGTCGCGACAATCGTGTGTGAGGCACCACCGCTTGAGGCAGCTGATAGGGGCTACGCTATGATACCGATAATGGCGATGATACTGATGATGACGATGATACTGATGAGGACGATGATACTGATGATGGCAATGATACTGGTGATAGTACTAACGCAGTGACTATACAACTTCCGAAATCGACTAGTTATGCACTTGGGATTGTTGGGCAAGCGCCCCTTGCACTGATCTATAAAGGCAAGACAATTTGCGAGTTTTGAGTCAGTGAAGAAAGATCAAAATCGCCTCTAAAAAACTAAAAAACTAAAAAACGCCGTCAACCCGGCGCCGACGACGCCCCCCGACAGCGACAAGGTGTGCCAGACATCCCACCATGGTGCGGCGGCTGGCGGCGGCCGGCGGCGGCGGCGGGCAATCTGGACTTGCTGGGCAGAGCGGCGGCGTCGGGCAGGATGGTGGCGGCGGCAAGGGCGAGACGAGTCATCTGAGAAGTCGATAAGCTCATAAACAAAAACGGTATTAGAACCCAACTTACCGTCCGCTGCTGCTGCTGTTGCTGCTGTAGTGACTGTGGCGGTTTAACTGAGCACCAAGATTAGCGCATGTGTAGAAAATATCCTTGGGAGGCTTATATTACCTCGGCAAATTGTTTAGAATAGAGAATCAGTATCATCGACTATGACGAGCCTGGGGAAACCACCGCCAAGTATCCTTTCGGAGATGTTTGCCTTGGGCATGTAATGTATGCATTGGGAGATGTATATTTATAGATTCAAATATTCTTTTACTTGACATACATTTAAATGTCTTCCCCAAACTCTACTAACGTGATGATAGTCTATCGCAGTCAAGTTTGTAGGCGATATAGTTGCGTGGCCAAGCCAGGCCATCATGCACTTTTCATCCAGCGACATGTTACGCGCCGCGATGATTCAAAGTTGTCCCTTTGAACTGTAGTAGGTAACTTGCGGGGATCATATCCAACTACTTTGGGCAGAACAAGGGAGATAGCCCCGTCATTGTATTTTAGCGCTGAACCAATGCCCTTGTGTTTTTGTAAGTTAACGATCAGTTTGGAAACCTTGTTGCTCCTCCACTGCCATGGCGATGCGCCTAGCAATAAGATAGCTGCACCGAATCTTCAGCAGCGCATTACGCGAAACTACGGAGACAATATTGCTTATTTTCGAAATTTGTTTTAGCTAGATCAAAGCCCGCAGTATTGCCACCCACCTGACCTTAGTAGCCACCCAACTGCAGCTTTTTGACTTTGTAGTTTATTTATGTAGGTATGTCCTGAGACACCAAGGCAGAAAGCTGGGGCTGACCCCAGCTGCCAAAATAAGAAGGCAAAGGCATCCCGCTGCAACACAACCATCAATCCTGCAGCCTCACGCTTCCTTCTGGCTTCTACCAGCATTGCCGGATCCGAGATTTCTACCAAGCTTCAAAAATATCTCTAAAGCATTTTACAGAGAATACCTACAATCGTCGCCAACATGTCCAGCCATGTCCCTTCCATGGCTGTCACAAGCGATCTACCCTCATACGAGATGGTGAATATCCACCCACCACTCATTTTCGGTGCACTAGAAACCTCCATCTAACATTGCCTTTTAGTGCTTGCTTGAAGATAGCAAGTCTTTGGATACTCCGGTCAGAAGAACTCGTCGAAATCACTTGGGAAGCCCCCTCTTGCGAATTCCTGACAGCCTCCTCGTCCGCATCATGGCAGCCCTAGATCTAGACTCCCTCTTGAAACTTCGACACCTTTCCAGAGACATCATGCGACTATTCAGTACCAAAAAGGCCTTCAAGAAATATCACCTCTCCCCGGAGCACGCGTTTCAGAGGTTCAAATATACGACTCGTATCTGGACGCCGCCTGTTGCATTTTTTTTTTCAGGCCAGGCAGCACTCTACATCGGGCCGTTGTGCTCTTCTTGTTTCCAACCTATCGTTCCGGATGCAAACGTCCACATAAAAATATGCATTTCTCGGCAATCATGCGTGCGGAGAGCGACAACACTGAACGCGTTTGCTTGGCCCATGAATATCCGCTCCCTATATGCCGCCATGAATCGATAACTCTGCATCATGTCAAAATGCTAGCGAAGCATAGACCTAAAGAGATGATATCTTGTCGCGAGGAGCCATCCTGTGGCCGACGCCGTGATCCTTCTCGCCGCTGCGGATTAGCCTCGTGGTGCCTACGACGGCCGACCAGCCTATCGTTGCTATACTGATGATTCGGGAAGGACACGGCTGCAATTGGAGTTTGCTGTGCACATATATCTCAAAAGACTTCCTTCAGGGAAACTTTGCCCGCGTTCTCTGCGAGACGAGACCGGACAAGTACTAAAGATGCAAGGTGTAGCATACTGGAGGGACTTTTGCTACTTTGCCGCGACCGACCCGAACAGATGCTTTCGCCCCCCAGGCTACGGTTCACAGATACGCTTACCGGTCCGTCCCGACGCTTGCACAACCTTCCGAGAGCCTGTTTCCGCCGAAGGACATCCCTACATTAGCACCACCGGCCGGTGCGCCTTTGCACGACATGGCTTCACGGCCACCTACAACGGTGTAGAGGTCAATGTTGTTATCTTGCGCTGCAAATGCCGTGACGATCTTGCGATAGTCAAGCAAACCGTCGACTGTATTGCGGATACCAGGTCGGCGGCTGGTGCAGGCTGGGGCAGTCTGGTGACACGGCTCTCCTATTCGCCCAGAGAGGGATGGCTACTTGAAGGGTCTAGTAACTTGCGATGACGGTGACTGCGGGTTATGGAAGCTGTCTATATTCAACAAGGATGCCCATTTGTATTTAGGTTGTACATACAAGCTGAGCCTATAGTGTCTGGCTAAAGGGGTTCTTAAACAACATAGATAGTAAGTTATTCCCACAATAGCAGCAATCCCGCTATGCATCGCTAGCAACGCAATACCACGACTCGCGCGTAATTGAGAATTGCCCGAGTGCCATTGGCCATGGTGTATTAATCCTCTGTTGTCAACAATTTTCTGGGAGATGTAAGGCCCCCATGTACAGGATGTGTGCGGCAGGTGCTGATACTGCTGATAGTTATTGTAAGCTTAAAGCACAATAATTACACTAATAAATCTATTTACTAAGTCTACAGCACTGTTATATTTAGCCCTTCTTCTTTGAATCAATTTCCTTATTCATCTCTCCTCTCTTCGTGTACACGCCCGTGCTCACAGTAGTTATGGTATCCCTTCCTGTCCACCTTGATCGTGCCCGCCGCCGCCGCCGCCACTGTGGCCATCGCCAGCGTTAGATCACTACAGTCACATCTATCTTCTGCCCGGATAATTTCCATTGGGCGACGTCGCGAACTGCCGCTCAGTACGCGCCCAACGCTCAAGACATGCATTCAGCCTCGTTGATGTGTCGCCCTGCCGTTGGTGCCTTGGCTGCAGAAGCCCACCGCAGCGGCATGAACAATACGTCAGAGAGGCGGGTAGAACATTGGATGTCGTTGGTTAAAGATTAGGCAGCTCGTTGCCTTGCCCCCTAAGCTGTTCAATACATCAACACTTTTTGACGAGAAGCGCAGAATTTACATTGATACTAGAACAGCTGTTCCGGATATTATTGCTTCATCCTTGCATATTCTGACTGTTCGATTTGTTCATCTCGTTGTGATTTATTTTTTTACTTGCCAAGTCGCTCCCCTCGCGCAATGGCGTCCCAGTCGCACGACGAATCGCTCCTGGAAGCCGTCTTCAACCACATGGTGCTTCCACCCAAGCTTCCAGACGCCCCAGAGGCTGATTCGATTCCTCTGAGCTGGGACTTGACGGAGCGCCTCATCCGAGCCTGCAAGCACTTGCAAGATCCAGAAGCGGACATGCCCTGGAAAATGATCGAGGTGTCTCTGCGCTTGAGCCGTGATGTGCTGCCTCCCATCTCCAAGGAGACGCTGGCCGTCGCCTTGTCGGCGATTGCAGACGGAGACGGCTCCGAGTGCCTTGCGCTGCACGTCGCGCAGCAAAATGCGGCCATGATTCTTTACAAAAACAAGAAGTTAGTTCCGTCACACGAGCTGACATGTCGTCCCGCTCCGTCTTCGTCTTCGACTGACACCATCACAGGACCGAAGAAGTAACCTTCGAGGCATTCGAGGTATCCCCCTCGACCGGCGCCGTGCTGGATACCCACCATGCTCTTCGCTGCGCCTTCCCCTGCCGTGCCGTCGCCATCCCCGCCGCCGAGCTAGCCGACCCGTCGTTCTGCGACGCCCTCGCCGACTTTACGGAGCAGGCCGCCGACACGGCGCTAGACCGGTTCGCGGCGCGCGCGTGCAAGGGCGGCGCCACGGTGGTCGAGGTGCGCGACACGCCGAGCCCGGCGCTCATCACCGAGATGCTCTTCTCCTTTCTTGAAGCCATCGGGAGGCCAGTCCCCGCCCACACAGTGCAGAAGCGAGTAAGGGACGACGTGGTGCTGGGCTCGGCCGAACGGCCCTGGAGGCGTTCGCCGTATTGGCTGATGTTGCGCGTCTTTGTTCAGCGCGTCATCGCCATTTCCTGTCTGGATGAGGGACGGTCAAGCCGGCTCAGCTTCAAACTCGTCATGTGCGTCGTCTTGGCGCACCTCTTGTCTGATTGCCAGAACCACATTGAGCCGGAAAAGGTGCTGATGCTGCAGGCAAAACTCTGTCGCCGACTTGCCAAGCTGGAGAACGAGCTTAAAGAGGTATCCTCGCCGCAGCACGATGGCTGCGGTGCGCAATTTGCCCAGCATAGGCCCTTTTTTCAAGCGACCGTGACCGAAGCCAGGCGTTCTGTGGAAGGACTATGGGAACAGTACAAGAAGAGAGCGGCGCGTCCGATACCCAAACTGCCGTGGAATGCTGATCCGGCTGATTTGGTCTTGAAACTCAGCAACAGCGAGCAGAGACTGAAGCTTCTCCTGTCCGCGAGTGTAGCGCCGCCGAAACGCGCCGGCAGCCGTTACTCCCCTTCGCAGGCCGAAGGAACGGTTATGCAGGTGAACAATCTAGCGGCGCGATACGCTAGCGTTGTAAGCTGTGCCGAAAGGGCCATGTTGACCCTGAAGAAAACTTTTGGTGCGGCAGACGAGGCATGTATAGAGCTGTCTGGGGCCATGACGGAGTACATGGATGTCATCCACGGCAACTTTGCCGAGGATGCCATTCTCGCAAGCCATCATCTGCTCAACCTGTTTGAGCTCTGGGTCGCCATGGACTCTGCTGCCGTCAAAATGTGCCCGCTTCTCGAGCGCTACCACCCTTCCTTTGCGGCCGAGGCGCTGGATCTGCTCTGCTTCATGTCTAGGGGCGACATGGAACGGCTGCGTCTGATCCAGGCCTACCTCGACAAGCGCATCAAACTCAGCGGCGGCGAGGCTGCGCGCACAATTTTCAGCGACCCGAATCACGGGGCGTCGTTTCCCGCCGCGTACATGGACGCGGATGACGACGAGTCGTCGCGGATGGCGCTTCTGATGGCGCGCATCGAGCAGGCGTCGGATGAATCCGAGGCCACCAAGAGGCGCGAGCTCGTCAAGGTCATGGCACAGTACGAGACGCTGTCCGCCGAGATGAAGACGGGCACCTGCGTCTGCAAGCGCCTGCCGGACGGCACCCTAGACGTGCGCGGCTGCCGGCGGTGCTACAAGGCACGCTGCCGCTACCGTCTTAGAGTGCAGGTGCACGAAGGATTCATGCCGAGGGGGAGGCCGAAGAGAGCTGCGGTTTTGCTCGAGCTCGGGATGCCCGAATATCTGATCATGTATCGCGATGCCACCTGGCGGCTGCGCATGCTGGGCCACGACCGGAGCAAACTAGGTAGGACATCGGCGGAGCCAGCCATTCTGGTCGCCAAGTTTGCTCCGCTGAGGAGGTTTGCCAGAAAAGACGGCGTCAGGTCGACGCTGACCCTGGCATCCCGAAACAAGGCCTACTTGCAGACCCATTTTCGAAAGCTGAAGTTGCCCAAGACGGCGAATGAAGTGCTGCTACCATTTGGCCCGGCGTTTACCTACTATGACGCGGAAAACGGCCTTTGGCTCGACGAGTGCGGCGACACCCCGTGGTATCACCACATGCTGGGACCGTGGCTTCCGGGCGGCATCGCCGATCCCTTCGCCGACGCGGCGCTGTACATGTGCCCAGGGGAACACCCCAGCTCCTATGAGACTTGCGCGACCCAGGACCAACACCCCGCGGGGATGTCGCGTCAGGAGTTTGCTGCGTATCAGACTGTCATGGCCGGAACATACCGGCGGTGGATAGGGCTGACGATGGAACTCGGTTCCTCGAACCTCAACCTCAGCAGCAGCGCGACGCAGCGGTTGTTCAGCCGCCTGGCGCTGCAGTCGGGCCCCCGGAAGCCCCAGGATAAGCTGGATGCCCTGGGTGAGGTGCACTCTGTGTTCCATGACGACGCCTTTTGTACCTCACTAGCTCATCAAACTCGCCAGCTCCTAAAAGCCTTGGAGTCTGGCCGGAGAGACCTGGAAGCCATGAGCATTGCCGTCACCTTGACGTTGCGGCTGCTCAGCCTCGGCCCGGAGAGCATCCAGACGCTCGCGACGGAATTGCTGCAATCTATACGCCATCTCTTGTCCCTGTGGATTTCGCAGCTTCGCGAGGAGGTAAGATGCACGTCCGACGGCGAGATAGCCTGCAAGGTTGCCTCGAACGCGTTCCGGGCCTCGTTGCTCAGCCGCCAGACCTTTCGTACCTGTCTTGCGGTATCTGAATGTCCGAGTCTGTCGCAAAACGAAGCGTTACAGTTTCTCAGGGCATCCGTCGCGCTTTCAGAGAGTCTCATTGTCAACCTGGATGCCATTCCGAAAGACCTTGAGCAGCTGCTGGCGCAGGATATGACCTGGGCTGCCCTCGGAAGCACCGCCATTCGCGCATGGACGCTGGCCAACACAGAGGCTCTGGGCACTATTATCAACGAAACGTGGGCAGATGCGGGAGGATCCAACCTGCGCTCGTTTTCCGAGTGGACGAGCTGCGAGGACGGGGAATGGCTCACGTCGCGGACAGCAGCGACGGCACTCGTCTCCTCCCAGACGGTACACTACCACCCCCTCCGCGGCCATCTCCTGATTGACGGCAAGGCGCTCGGCAGGCTGCCTCTTGACATCCGCCAAGATGCGGGCCTCGTGGAGCTGTTCCCCGGCCAGCACCTCCTAACGCGATCTTCAGGCGTAGCCGGGATGGAGTACCAGATCATCAACGGCAGCGCCGCCCACCACGAGGTGCACGTCGGGCTGCGACATGGAAGCGTCGTTATCCGGGCGCGAACCTTTAGCCACCTCCTTGAGTACATCCCGCGCGACATGTTCAGAGGGGACGCCGAGCCAGATCTCCCTACCGGGCTCATCGACGGCTGCGTACACTGGCTGAACCTGCAGACGGGTGAGCTGGAGATGCGCCGCAAGCCTAGCATCTGGGCACCCAAGTCGTCCAACTGGGTCCTAAACGTGCGCAACCGCACCGCCGTGCGCGGGCGCTTCCGGGAGGGTGGAACGCGTCTAGTCGAGCCGCAGTCGCGACTCGGTCGGACTATTGCCGACATCTTTCGGCATTTCGAGGATCCCGGTAACCTGACCATCTATCAGCCGCTGAGCGACGTCGGGCGTCTGTCGGTCGAGATCAAGCGGCTCGAGATGCGCTTCTTCGTCAACCGCAAGGGTCTGCTGCAGTCGATACAGCTCAAGTCGGAGATTGACCCTGTGCAGGATGTCGGGACGCTGCACGGCCTGCAGAGCAAGATTGTCCTGCGGAACACAGCCAACCCGCGCCGCAAGAGCGTCATGGTGCCCATTGGGTCCGGCTGCGCCTGGCAGCGCGACGGGCCTCACGTTGCCGTGCGCGTCGAGAACCAGGGTATTTATGCCCTCTTTGCCGTCGATCCCGTCCTGGGGCGGCTCAAGTGTGCGCCAGAGCCCGCGCTGCTGTACCTCCAGGCGCTGCTGCACGCCCTGACGTCGTTTCCCCTGCCGGATGAGCTGACGGGGCGCACCGGGACCGAGGAAGCCTGCCGATGCCTGACCGCAGCCCGCGGCCAGCCGTGGAAATCGCTCAATGTACTGCCCAAGGCAATGCTGGCCATGATTCAGAATGTCAGCCCCAAGAGAAAGTACTACCCGCCGACCATGCGGCTGTACCAGCGTGTGGCGTGGGACGACAGCCTGACGGCGACGATTCAGCACGAGCAGCTCGACGTCCTTGCCGCGGAGATCCTGCATCAATCGGACATTCTTGGTGCCTTTGACAGGTCTGCAGAAGACCATGACCAGGACACGGTAAGCACAGAACCACCTAAGCTGCATCATCTTGCTCTTCGTGGCCTTGTTCGTCGGCAAGTCTACGAGCGCAGCAAGCTTTCTTCTGATTCTGAGCTGCTGCTCCAAGCGAGGAATGATAGCGTCCATCGCCCACGAGGTGTTGAGTTCCGGGACAAGGAGAGCACCCGAGTCTATCAGACCGTCAAGTGGCTGCGGGCAGAGTCTAGTACTATTCCCAAGCCAAAGTCTTTGTCTAAGATGCTCAAACGCTGGAGCGTCATGGACGGCTTCCTCGGTACCTTTTCAACACTCGACATTGCGCGGGTACTGAGTATCGAGACGTGCCAGGCGTTTGGACCCCTGGTTCAGCGTCTAAGGGCCCCCGACGCTGCCTCGGACTACATGACGCAGCTGAGCCTTGCTCTATTTGCATACAGCAGGGAGGACAGGTCGGTGATCCTGCATTGGTTGGTGGCAATTGCAACGACTCCTGAGCTCAAGGAGCCGGAGCCACCTACGACGAACCAGTTTCGCGAATTTAAACAGTATCAAGGATTCGACGTGACGAAAGTTCAATTGCTCATCGCGTCCTGCCAAGCCGACTATGCCACGTATCAGTCGAGGCACAGCACAAAACAGCAGGGGAAGAAAAAGAAGAAGCTGGCTGCTGACTTGTACAGTGAAGACACGTACACTAGCGACATTGCGCAAGAATCGGGGAAGCTGGCGTCCAAGCTGCAGAGTTGTTGGCCAGATCTACCTCTCACCCGCCAGGCATTCAATGTTACCTGCAGCGATCTGGCGCTGAAAATGGTCGACATAAAGAGGACGTGGGATGCTTTAGGGGCAGACATGCGTCAGCTGACGCACAATCACGCTCTTTCAGAGTATGCAGCGTCGCTGGCAGCAACGGCGCAGCAGCTTCGCAACGATGGCCATGCCTATGGCGCAGATGTCAATGTCCAGTGGCGTCATGCGATGGCAAAGCTTACTTCGTCAAGCGGCGTGTTGGAGCCCTCGTTACGCCAGGTTCATTCCATTACCGAACTACTCCGTCGCTGTCGAGTCAAAAATAGTGCGGCTCCGGTGAACGTGAGCACCAACAGGGCATCTCTTTCTGAAACACAACGCACGCCGAATGCCGACATTTTGCAGCGACTGCCAGCCATTTCGAAGGAATTGACCATTCTGTTTGACCTGGTGCAGCCTTTTAAGCTGTCTCAAGACATCATGCAGAAGCAATACGGTGAGGATCTGGAAAACTCCATTGCGGCCATGGCGGCGTTTCTGGAGAAATCACAGGCGCGCCCCCTGCCCATGAGCTTTGACAGTGTCGTGAAGCAAATTGACGTCGCAGAGCGTAGTGTCAAGATACAAGTCTCAACTCTACACGACCTGCTCGCGAAGCAAAGCCCATGCCACTTGTGGCTCAGAGAAGGCCGAATGTGGCCCTGCGATTCTCTAACCGCACTACTCGAGCAGCTACGCGCCAACAACTACAACTCATTCTCACCAGGCATTCAACACGCGCTCGTTAGCCTCGGTCTCTCCGTCTCCAAACTCCAGCATCTCCAGCGAATCCATCATGCACGGCTGAGCCTGGATGACAAGACGCTACGCCAGGAGACGACCAACTGGGGACACTCCAACTGGAACCCATCAGAATATCCAGAATGGCTGCTACTGGAGATTGACAACGATATTCTGATACGGCCAGTGCAGGTAGATGTCGCAAAAGCCATAATATCTCCGCAGTCCCGCCGCAATTCAGTGCTGCAGATGAACATGGGCACAGGTACGGATAGTCGTGATACCCTCCTCCCGGCTGTTGACTGACCGCATCCAGGGAAAACATCCGTCGTCATACCAATGGCCGCCATCGTACTCGCCGACACTTGCAAGCTCTGCCGCGTCGTCGTGCCGAAATCCCTGCTGCTGCAGACGGCTCAGGTGCTCCAAAGCCGAATCGGCGGGCTCGTCGGGCGCCGGCTGCGGCACGTTCCGTATTCCCGTCGCTCGCCGTGCGACGCCTCCATCCTGTCTCGCTACCATCGCATGCACACCGAGATGCTGCAGACGGGCGGCATCATGCTGTGCCTTCCCGAGCACATTCTGTCCTTCAAGCTGAGCGGGCTGCAGCGACTCGTGGATCGCCGACCGGAGCTGGGACGGCGCATGCTGCAGATTCAGGCCTGGCTGCAGGACACCTGCCGCGACGTGCTGGACGAGTCGGACATGACGCTGTCCGTGTACACACAACTGATTTATCCGAGTGGTCAGCTGGCGACGCTCGATGGGCACTCGCACCGATGGCTTGTGGTTGAGCATCTGCTCGGTCTAGTAGAGAGCCATTCTGCGAGACTGCAGAAGATGTTCGAGGGCCAGGTGGTCGTTGTCCAAAGATCTTGCGGGTATCCTATTTTCCATTTCATAACCAAGCATCCCGAGAATGCGCTCAACTCGTTCTTGGCCGACGATGTCTGCAACGGCCGGCTGCCACAGCTTCAGATTCGAGAGTCAGCAGGGAACGCAAAAGACGTCGTGAGGGCGATTATCATTGGTTCTCACGTATCAGCTTCGGAGTGGGATTCTGCCATCCAGTCCCTCAAAGACGAGTCATTTGGCGCCAAAACTCTCTACCTTCTCCGCGGCCTCATTTCGCAGCGCATCCTCATCCTCTGCCTCAAGAAGAGATGGAACATCCAGTACGGGCTGCACCCCGAGAGGCAGCCCATCGCGGTGCCATTCGAGGCCAAGGGCATCCCTTCGCAGGCGGCCGAGTACGGGCATCCAGACACGACGCTCATCCTCACCTGCCTTACGTTTTACCAGCAGGGACTCTCCAAGGAGCAGCTGAAGCAGGGACTGCTAGGCGTCATGCAGTCCGACGACGCCGCGGCGCAGTACGATCGATGGACCTGCTCCTGCGCTACGCTGCCCCCGTCCTTCCGCTGCTGGAACATGCTTGACCCTGAAAATGATGCGCAAGTCGACGCACTTTGGGGCTACCTGCGGTTTGACCGCACCGTCATCAACCATCACCTCAACACGTACATTTTTCCCGCGCACGCTAAGCAGTACCCGGTGAAGCTTTGTGCATCGGGCTGGGATATTCCACTTCTGAGCCAAGAAGAAGAAGGGCGAGACGGCGCGCCAGATGGCTTGACTACTGGCTTCAGCGGAACCAACGACAACAAGCGCATCCTGCCGCAGACAATCCGACAAAACGACTCTCCTCAGCTGCTGCACACGAATGCGGAAGTACTGTGCCACCTGCTGGAGAGCAGAAACAGCGACTGCTACTTGACCATGGAGGGTGGACGCCGATTCGGCGAAGAAGACACTCTGCGATTTCTCTGCCGCAAGGGAATACGTATCTTGATCGACGCCGGCGCCCACATTCTGGAGATGGAAAACCAAGATGTAGCCAGGACATGGTTGAGCATTGACCCGCAAGCCGAGGGTGCCGTGTACTTCGGGGCCAACAGCCAGATCATGGTTCGTTCTCGCTTTCAAAAGGACCCAATGCCGCTTATTGCCAGTCCTTTTGCGGGCGACCTTGAGAAATGCGTCGTGTACATTGACGAAGGACACACGCGCGGGACAGACTTGAATCTGCCGTCCAACGCAAAGGGTGCAGTGACGTTGGGGTTAGGTCAAACCAAAGACCAGGCTGTGCAAGGTACGTCATTCAAAAGTATCACGACACGGTACAAATAAGTGTGAAAGAGAAGCGAGACGAAGCAACCGCCACCCCTCCTCCCACACCCGCCCTAGATCGCTTAACTAACACGACATAGCTGCCATGAGACTGAGGCAGCTCGGCACAACGCAGTCCGTCGCCTTCCTCACGCCACCAGAGGTACACTGCGGCATCATCGACCTGCGCGCCGCCCACACCGCCCAAGGCACGCGACACTTTGTCGTCACCTCGCGCGACGTGGTGCGCTGGCTGCTCGACCAGAGCTGCAAGGCCAACGAGCAGATGCTGAGCCTGTACCTGTCACAGTGCCACAACTTTTGCCGCCGCGCCGACATCCTGTGGCAGCACCCGGACCATGCGTCCAACGACAACAGCCTGTCCGCGGTGTTGGGCGTGGTGCGGCAGGACGAGCAGCAGACGCTGCAGCAAATGTACGGCCCTCAGGCATCGGATCAGCAGATGCCCGGCTCCGTCGAGCTCACATCTCCGCGGTTGCAGGGATACGTGCGCAGCGTGACGCAGATGGCGCGGCACGGGCAGCTGACCTCCACGTCGGCGCTCATGCAGGTCGAGCAGGAGAGGGAGGTGGTGCTGCAGGTCGAGCATATGCGCGCCAAGGAGACGCGGGCGCAGCATGTTGCGCTGGAGTTTCCGGGGCTTGACGCCGTCATTGCGCGGTTCGCGGAGACGGGTGAGCTCGATACACAGGAACCCGTCTTGCAGGCGTTTGACTACGTTGGGAAAACGAGACTTGGAGCACGCTTCGGCATTCAAGCCACTGCATCCCGTCTCTACGTGTCGCGCGAGTATTGTCGGACTGTCGCGGCAGATGCCACGGGCGAAGGGCCCGATATCGTGGTAAGCTTCGTATCCCATGCACCCCGAGCCTCTCTCCCTCTCTCTCTCTCTCTCTCTCTGTCCGGCTAACTTGACTTGCGATAGCGTCCTGTGCACTGGATCCTGTGGAATCCGTCCTCCGAAACAGCCCTCATCATCATCCCCGAGGAAGCCGATGCCGTCATCCCGCTGCTCCGCGCCACGAGCCCGCCGCGCGTCTGGCTGCTGGCGTACGCGACGCCCGTGACCAAGTCAATGCACGCCTTCCACTGCCTCGCCTACCTGACGGAGCCGCGGTGGCCGCTGGTCCGCGAGCTGCCCGCCTGGCTGGGCGTTGAAGTGGGTATCATCAGCGGCCGCCTGTACTTTCCGTACGCCGAGTACGGGCCGCTCCTCGAGTGGCTGGGGCTGCCGGATGCTGGTGGTCACCTCGGCGGTGGTGGACGTCCTCCCGCCGGCGGCCGCAACAGCGACGAGCTGCTCGCGTTTCTACAAGCGTGGCTTGCGTTTCGGCGTCGGACGGAGGATGTCTTGTATACGCCTGTTGGTTTTGTGTGTCAAGGGCAGCGCCTGGCCGAAAACCACTTCTTCTTTTCGAGCACAACTAGGGCAAGCGCAGGCACAGAGCTGGCTACAGAGGCGGGTATATGACAGAGAATTATTTACATGGACTAGTCATGCTTGTGAACTTTGGAAAAAGAAATGGTCAAAATGCCATCTGGAAAGTGTCAATTGTAACGTTATCAGGTAATGGTCAATCTCTCTATAAGCTTCAAGCACAATAACCACACCAACACAGCCATTTACCAAGTCTGCAGCACCAGTATTTTCAACCCTTCTTCTTTGAATCAATTTCCTTATTCATCTCTCATCTCTTCGTGTACACGCCCGTGCTCACAGCATGGTATCCCTTCCTGCCCACCTTGCTCGTGAGCTCGCTCCTCCACTCCTTGCCCTCACCCACCCTCCTGACCACCTCCTCAAACGTATACTTGGGCCGCCAGCCCAGCTCTCTCACCGCCTTGGACGAATCATATACACGATCAATCCTCCTCAGAAACCCCCATCCTTTCTTCTCAAACACCGCCTCCACGCCCGGCGCCATGCTCCGCAGCACGCTCCCCGGATCGCTATCCAACGCCTTGAGCGTCTCCTCATCGCGTGACTTGAACGGCGGCGGCGCGCTAATGATATACCGTCCCCAGCCGATACTTTTAGCCTTGGCCATGCCGCATACGCACGCGCCCACAATGTCCTCGAGGTCCACGCGACGATACGCCAACTCCAGTACCTTGAGATTAGCATCGTCCAGCTCGTTACGCCGGTCGTCATCATCATCCTCTTCCGGAAAGAAGCGACTCGTACGCAGCACAAGCACGGGCAGGCCCGTCTGCCGCTGCACGAGCAGACACATGTCTTCGGCGGCCGTCTTTGTCACGCCATAGATATTCTTGGGCTGCGGCACGACACTCTCGTCGATCCATGCCGCAGGGTTCCCCGGTTTCGGGCTTAGCGCCGTGCCAAACGCGCTCGTCGTGCTCAGAAACAAAAAGCTCTCCACCTGATGATTCGGCAACGCAGCAGCTTCTTCCAGGAGTACCACGGTGCCGGTGATGTTGGTCTCGACAAACTGCGCCTTGGTGTGACTGCCGACGTGCGGCTTGTGCAGCGTCGCCGCGTGGATGACATGTCGGATGCGGCTCCCCTGTAGTAGACCCCGGATGAAACCGCGGTCGGCGATGTTGCCGACGGCGGTGGTGGTGGGCGACGCGAGAACGTCAATGCCGTAGGGCGTGAAGCCGAGGCCGGGCAGGGCGAGCATGAGGGCGGTGCCGAGATGGCCGGCCGAGCCGGTGACGAGGACGTCGTAGGAGGGGTCCATAATGGCAATTATCAAGTTGCTGCTGGGAAGAAAAAACGCAATACTCTTCAAATAAAGTCGATACGAGACACAAAAGATGGCTAAATGGTCCGTGGGAGAGAAGAATGGACATGGCTATATACAAGGTTAAAAGTTAGCTCGGCCGAGGCCGCGCCCCGGCATGACTCAGTGGGGAGTCTCCATCACGGCGTGAAGAATTCAGTTGCATGCTGCTCGACCACCCAGTTTCCCAAACTTGGTCGATTCAAGGCAAAGGTGAATCAAGATCACGCAGCAAGTATTCTCCTCTCTTGCGCTCCTATCAAGTGTTATCGCGTAAGGGGCGGGCCCACGGCTCAATAAACTGAACATGCCTGTCTCGGACCAAACTCCCATTTTGCTACATCACGGCCAGCAATGATGGCTAAGCGCTTGTCAAAGTGGTCAAAAGAAGACGGATGCCGTTGCTCATATTAGGATGTCTGTACATAATCGCCGTTTATATACCGTGTGTAAACGTAACGAATCAAGGGGGAGAAGCGAAGGAGGGGGAGAGAGGAGGCCAAGGTGATGCTATATATACGCATGCGTGGGTAAGCCCTCTCTACGAAGCGTCTTGGAATTGCGCGAACGAAAGAGTCACAACTAACTTAATTGTTCAACCTTTTCTCTCTCGTGTTCCTATGCCTGGTTTTGTTACTGCAAATTTGTTCAAAGTGCCCGAGGCCCCGCCCTGAGCCAGGCCGTTTGCTGCAAACACAAGCCGCTTCTTCCCAGCCTAATGTACCTTGAGAGAGACAAGACAGCGTTTGCTGAAACTCCCTGCTCAGGGAACTTTTCCTCTTCTTTAACTTTCCATCTCTATATCCATCATCATTATCAACATCATCATTCTATCATCATTCTATCATCATTACAATCATCGTTTCTATTATTTGCTATTATTATCATTATCAGCAGCAGCATTAGCAACAGCAGCAACAACAAAGACAATAAAAATAACCAAAACAACGACAATAACGAAAACAACAAAAACAACGAAACCCAAGAAGAAAACGAACAACACACACACACACTAGTAAGTTAGGTTCTAATACAATGTTGATAATAAGCTTACGAACTTCTTAGATGGCCCTCTCTCCACCACCACCCCCCTCACCGTCCTCGCCGCCACCACCAAGCAACTGTAAGTTGGGTTCTAATATAATGTTGATTATGATCTTATTAATTTCTCAGATGGCTCCAATCCCATCGCGGTGCTGCGGGCGGCGGTAACGGCGGCGTTCTAAGACTTTTTGCCACACATCCGTGAGGCTAAGGCGCCCTCGTCGTTGTCCTCGCCTCGCCGGCGCCGCCCTCGCCGCCCTCGCAATCCTCGCCTCCGGCACCACCACCGCCGTCATCGCCAACATCGCCGTGGCCCTGCCGCCCGAGCTGGCGCCTGTTTGCCCGCCGCCCGCCGCCTGCCCGCCCTCGCTTGCCTGCCCTGCCTGCCCTGCCTGCCTTGCTTGCCCGTCCCGGCCCCAGTCCCGGCCCCGACGCCCTCCTCCGCCTCCGCCTCGTCCTCCTCCACCCGGGCTGTGCCGTCCAGCTCCCAAGCTGGCCAGGCCGCTGGCGGCCTGGCCAATCGGCGCCGTAAGAGTGATGTAAGATAGTTTCTTTAGTATAAGTGTGAAATGATAAGCTAACAGTCCCCTTTAGGGAAGAATATATTAAGCAGAGGGTTTTGGGCAGGATGTTCTCGTTAATCACAGTATATAGACAAGTTACCTTGCCCTTGAATAAATTAACTCTTTTCCTCTTATTTTTGTGTCTTTTATATTCTTCCTTTCTTTTCTATCTTTTCTGTCCTACTCTCTACTCTCTTTCCTTAAAAAATAGATGCAGTAAAAGGCATTCAAGTAGGTATGAATGGTGCACCATAAAACTTGTCTCCAATACGTTTAGCACATGCGCTAGGACAATGCAGATTGTGGTTAGCGAATGGGGGTGTCGAGGACTTCGCGATTGTTCCCAAAGGAGATGGCCGTGTGCGCCTGATGGGACCGATGCCTTGATTGGGACTTTGAGGGTGCGACTTTGTTACTTGCGACAGGGTCAAAGAATTTTATTGTAAATCCAGAAAAAGGAGATAAACGGAAATCTCAATTGTACATGTTTAAGAGCAAGACTGAAAATAAATCATAAATGTATGTAATATCCTCAATTCCTGCGGCCTCGGACCAACTTCAGCCCAACAGCCACGGCGAGCTAATTCCATTGTCAAACCGTGAGGCTGACTAGGTTGGTGGCGCCCTGTGATGGGTCTGTCGCGAGAATGCCCCTCGAGCTGAGCTTCCCCTTAACGTTAGTTTACAGTCTAATTCGGCAACGGGGTCCCCTTGCAAAAGAGATGCGGCAATGAATAAAGATTACCTGGATGGGCCGCATGTGGCACTTCCCTTCCCCTGCGTCGCGAACTCTCCTTCTGGTTTCCGCTCTTGACAAACGCGCCAATCCCCGGGAAAACACTCGACCATGGGCTCAAGGACGCTGCAATCAGCGGCGCTGCTGCTCGCCGGCGCCGTCGTCGGTGTTCGCAGCGACGTGCCCTTTATGACGGAACTGGACATCTTTAGCCAGCTTGTACGTCAAACAAAACCCTTCAAGTGGAACAACTGACCAACAAGCGGTCGCGGAACAGGCACCATGCGTCACCTCGGGCGTCACCAACGCCTACCTCTGGGAACAAGACACCACCGCGTGCGGCTCGGAGCCGACCAAGCTGCAGTCGTGCATCTGCACCAACTCGGCCGAGCTGGGCAAGATGTCGGCGTCGATCCGCAGCGCCGTGTCCTCGCGGTGCGGCACCAAGGCCGACGACGACCAGAGCTCCGCGGCGGCGCTGGTCGACAAGTACTGCCACCCGGACCGCACCATCACCTTTTCCACGCCGACGACCAACATCATCCCGGGCGTCATGAGCGACGTCGCGGCCATTTCCTCGCTGCCGCCGTGCGTGCAGTCGGGCATCTCGGCCGCTGTGACTGCTGCTGTACGTACTTGTTGTGGTTGTTGTTGTTGTCTCGCGTTGCGTGCTGACCCGCTGAGCTTCCCAGGCGTACGATGGCTGCCCGACCGTCGCCAACATGTGGGCGCCCTGCGTATGCTCCAAGAAGAACGTCGTCGACCAGATCGGCTCAAGCCTCGGCCAGCAGGTGCGCAGCTCGTGCTCCAACGCCGACGACGTCACCCTGGCGTCGAGCTTCTACACCCAGTTCTGCGCCATGAACCAGGGAACCACGTCCTTTGGCGCCATGCCGGGGCCTCCAGGTGACAGTGAGTTGCCGCAACCTCTCAACAGATGATGAATCGTGTTTATGGCCTCTAACAACGCGCCGCCAGTGACCTACTACATCACCGCCCTGCCTCAGTTCTCCTCCCTACACTCCTGCGCCCAGAGCGGCGTCATCCAAGCCGTCATGTCGGTAAGAGCCACACACAAACCTAGACAGCCCGTCGCTTTCTAATCCCGTGACAATGTCCAGCAATCCACCTACCTGTGCGCCTCCGGTCCGCAGGCGCTCGCCTCGTGTGTCTGCCTCAAGCCCGGCATCCTCGGCAAGGCCTCGCAGAGCCTGACCAGCAGCGTCAAGTATGCCTGCGACAACACGGCCCTCGCCGACGTCGCCTCGGCCGCCTCCGTGCTCGACTACTACTGCCAGGCGGCCCAGAAGAAAGTCGTCGCCACCGTCAGCCAGTCCATCTCCGAGACCAAGGCAACCGCCACCACCGCGGGCGGCCAGGCCACGCGCCAGACCTCCGGCAGTGCGCCGGAAAACACGAGCGGCGGCGGTGGTGGTGGTGGTGGTGGCGGCGGAAGCGGCAGAGGCGGGCTGGGAAGGGGAGCCATCATCGCCATTGCCGTGCTGGGCGCGCTGGTCGTCATCGGCCTGATCGCGTTCGTCGCCATCTTTGTCCGTCGTCGCAAGCGCAAAGCTGCCGCGGCGACAGACGCGGGAGAGCAGCCACCTCATCCGCCACACTCGGAGCTGGCGACAAACTCGCCGTCGTCAGAGATAGACGGCAAGCCGGCGTACCCGCCGCCGTCCATCTCCGAGGTCGCGGCCACGCCGAGCCCCTACCAACGACACACCGAGCTCTCGGCGGGCACCCCGCACCAGCAGCACCAAGCCGTCTCGCCGAGCGAGCTGAGCAGCCCCGGGGCGCAGAGTGCGACATACGGGGGGGCGAACAATCCGCATAATCCGAATCAGAACTGGGCGCCCCCGGGCCAGGTCATGTACGAGCTCGACTCGTCCAGTCCCGCGGCGCCTCATGCCAAGTAGGCTGTTTGTGTCCACGAGAAAAGAGCACAATTTTTTTGTAAATTAATGAGCGTTGTTTATTTACTTTAATTGCCAAGCCAACGAATGTCTTTCCTTTCTGCAAGCCAGCTTGTGAGCTACATCTTTGAACCTAACGGGGGGGTCCGCTGGCCAAACGTCACAAGATCATCAGGGAGCTCCTTGCCCCAGACCAGACGACAATCCCACCTGGCGCGCTCCGTGCCCTCCTCAAACCGTGCCGTCGCCGCCGGCACGCCGACATCCGGAAGCAGCCACTCGCGCAGGCCGCCCTCACCATTGAGCACGCATCTCCGCGCCACCTCTCCGGCCAGCTCGTCCCCGTCGCGCTGCGCGTCCCACGCGAGCAGCACGCCGACGACGATCCACGAAAAGCTGAACATGACCCCGCGGCCGACCGAGAGCACCACGTCGACGCGGTCTCTGCCCGCCCGCAGCCGCCCGTGCAGGTTGCCCCACGCCGTCCGCAGCGCCGCGCGGCGGTCCGCGTCGTCGACGCCCGCGATCGCCCGCGACAGCCAGGCGTGGACGCGCGCGAGGTGGTCCCCGGCGAGCAGGTGGCGCACCAGCTCGCTACTAAGAACATTGGTGGTGCCCTCCCAGATGGCGTTGACCGAGACGTCGCGCAGCGCGCGCGCCACGCTGTCCGGGTCGTCCGGGTCGTCCACGTAGCCGACGCCGCCGAGCGCCTCCATCACCTCCTGCATGGTGACCGCCGCGTTCTTGCCCGTCACCGCCTTGGCCGCGGCCGTCAGCGCCCGCAGCACCACCGCGGCCTCGGCCCCAGCCTCCGGCAGCGGCAACGCTGCTTCTTCCGGGAAGCAGCCGTCCTCGGTGAAGCTCATCAGGGCGATGGTGAAGAAGGCGAGCTGCGCGAAGCCGCGGATGCGCACCTCGACGTCGGCGAGCGTGCGCAGGTGCAGCGGCAGCGCCCACAGCGGGTAGCCAAAGACGGTGCGGCCGGCGGCGAAGCGCCGCGCGACGGCCAGGCCGCGGCGCATGGGGCCGACCATGTGCGCGCGCACGTCGCGCAGCTCCAGCTCGGCCGTCGGCAGCTGCTTGGTGCCGAGCTTGCTCTTGAGGCGGTGCACGCGCACGCCGTTGGTCACCCGCGCGCCGCCGCTGTCCGCCGCGTCCGTCCTGGTCAGCGGCGCGAGGAACGCACTCAGCTTGCCGCCGTCCTCCGTCTTGGCGAGCAGCAGGGCGACGTCGGCGTCGGTGGCCGAGGAGAAGAACTTGAAGCCGGAGACGAGGTAGTCGCCCTCGTCCAGCCGTCCGCAGCTGCCGCCGGGAAGCGGGGCGTGGCGCGCCCAGGTCTCGGTGTTTTGCACGTCGCTGCCGCCGGGTCGCTCGGTCATCCACTGGCCGGAGGTCCAGCTGTCGGTGCGCGCGGTCAGGCGCCGGTAGGTCTCGTGGAACGGGTGCGAGGTGGGCAGGCCCGGGAGCTGCGAGCGGAGGAGACGGGCGGCGCCGTCGGTCATGGAGAGCGGGCAGCTGGTCAGGCCGGACACGGGCGAGAAGAGGTAGTTTCTATCGAGTCAGCTCAGTGCACATGAAGGGACAATCTGGGAAGAGGGATAGTTACTTAGCGTGCTGGACGATGCGGTTGTAGATGCCATACTGAGTCTCGTATCCAATCGCGACAGCCCTGTTGGCCGTGTTAGTGAAGGGCTCCCGGGACTTGGACCTTGGCTGGGATATCAAGTTACCCTTCCTCTGCTCCCCATTTGCGCAGGGCCTTCCAGCCCTCGCTCGTCACGAGCCTGTCCACGGGATGGCGCGCGCCCCAGACGTTGTGCCTCTCCACAAACGGCTGCTGCCTCTCCGCGTTGAGATTCCATTCCCTGACCTGCGGCGAGATGGCGTCGTCGCCGAACTTGGTCAGCGCGGGCGTCAGCTCGGCGAGGGTGTCTTTGGGCAGGTAGGCTGCGAATAAAGGAGATGAGCACCGAGCTTGGATTTTTATACCGTGTGCTTTTTCTTACCGGCGAGCACCCGCTGGAAATAGGTGTCGGCGAGGAAGGGGTTCTCCGGCGGCGGCAAGGACAAGATGAAGCCGGCGTCGGCGCTGGCCGGGGTTCGTCCTTTGTCGGCCATGGCGGGCGGACGCAACAGAGGAAGGAATATAATGTAGAAAGGAAAAAAGTAAAAAGGAAAAAGGAAGAAAAAAAGATGCAAATGTGTAAATATTTTCCAGTCTACGTAGGGGCTATTGTGCAAGTATAGAAGCGACTTGTATTTCAAGCCTGTGGTGGAGCTGAGCATGGCTCCGGACGGCTATACGGGCAGCTATGGATATGGATACCGAGGCCACCAGCACCATGAACGCGGGGAAACTAGCCGGCCCCTCGGCTGTCACTTTGGCGGGGAAATCTGTGTGAGCAGGCCACTTGGTGATGGTTAATTATAGCATGACAGCTGTCAGTTTATACTTGGTCTCCCTAGCATACTGCCACAGTCTGTCTACTGCTCTCCTGCCTGTTGCCGCCTTTCACCATGTATTTCATATTGGGACTCAGGGTTAACAAGTTCATTTCAATCTGTCAAATAACCAAACTGTTCAGCAATACGTAGGTCCCATCATAACACATGCTAATGTCTCGTCCCTCAAAACTGGAAGTACGCCTTTTCCCAGTTAAAGTCCAAGTCCTTATAGCCACTGAACGAGAAGCGTGAATGGAAGATACTCTCCGGAAGTTTAACCAATGGTTCGACCAATGTTTTCAATGGGTCCAAGGCCTTCTTCCCCGTCTCCAAGATCTCTGGGGCCGGAATCTTGACAAGCTCGTTGACCCCGATGGACAGCGTGATCTTGACGTCCTTCAGCCCATCACGCTCCACCGCGCGCCCGTTCTCGTAAACCGCCGTCCAGCGGAGGTTCTTCTCCAGGAAGTCGCGGCATTCCAGGCGGCTCGGCCGGTCGTCCGACGGCACCACGGCGGTCAGCGGGATCTGGGCACGCGACAGCACGTGCGCCTTCTGCTGCACGTAGCAGCTGCGGCACGTCACATCGCTGCCCTCCATTGTGGTGCTGAAGGTGAAGATGCTGCCGATCAGCGACGTCTGCCTCTTGTACGGCACCGTCTTGTCGAGGTTGCCGAGGAAGAAGAGGAAGGAGTAGGCGCGGCCGTTGAACGCGTATCTACAGCGATGGTCAGACGGTATCAAGTCCTTGTCAAAGCGAAGAAGAAGAAGAACAAGACAAAGAAAAGAAAAGAACAGAGAAGAGGGAAACGTACCGATCGTAGATGACATTGATGACAGGGTCATACTGCGGCTTCAGCGTCTTGAAGGCCTCCTTCTCGGGCCCGTAGCGTCGGTTGATGTACGCGTTGCTCTTGGCCGGGATCACGTCGCCAAACTCGTCGGTGATTTCATCCACGTAGTCGTAGGTATAATTGAGCGCCTCGACGTTGCGCACCTGGTTCGAGTTGTAAAAGTCGTCCTGGTCCATGGACACGTGGAAGGGCCGCAGCGGATCCTGCGGGCTGAGGTCCGCCGGCGCCGGCCTCTGCTCCTTGATCGTGTCGTGGTCCGGACGCGGCTGCTCAACCGGCTTCTGCCCCGGATGCTGGCGGAACCAGTTGCCCGGGTTGGAGCTCTGCCACAGGTGCAGCAGCCGGTCGATGTTGCAGTGGTGCAGCCAGAAGGCCGGGTCGAAGGCGGCCACGGCCACCGAGGACATGTGGCCGGCGCCGGTGCGGTCGTCCTCGCCGCCGACGGCACCCTAGATGTAGACAGTTACGAGGATGAACATTTCACTAAATGAATGAAGTGAAGACTCACGTGGATAGCGTTGTGAATCTGCTCCAGGCTCAGATACTCGCGCGCCTTCTCGCCCGCGGCCTGGTTCTCGACCCTGTCGTACTTGGTCGATGCGAAGCGCACGTACTTGGTGCTGTACTCCTCGGTCAGCAGGCGATACACCGAGTCTCTGAGCGTGCGGTTCTGCAGGCGCTTCTCCTGCAGTGCCTTGTTGACCTCGAACACGTTGGTCTCGCCCTGGACCCATTTCCGCTCTGCGTCCCGGAGGCTGATGCCGTGGCGGCTGGTGCCGATGCATTGCTCCCACTGCGCTCCGTTAGCTGGATGCCCAAGTTGAGGGAGAGGTTTGTCTTCTGTACCGGCATGTCTTCCTTATTGTTGATCCGGTAGTTGCCATACGAGGAGTCGCCCATGGGCTTGTTGCCGGGCATCTGGAAGCGGTACATGGGGTTGTCCACCTCCTCCATCTGCGGCTGGCCACGGCCGTCCCAGGACTTGATGACGCGGATCTTCTTGGTGCAGGCGATCTCTGGCAGGTCCGTGTCGACCGCCCAGTCCCAGTACGGCAGGCGCCAGCGCATCGCGGCCGCCGTCCACTCGCCCTTGCCATCGTCAAGTTCGTCGGCCTCGCCCATCATGATCTCTTGGATACGTTTCTACACAAGGCGGTTAGCTCGTGAAATTAAAGGACGAAGCAACACAGCACATACCTCATACAGCATCATGTACACGCGGTGCCAGGTCGGAAACAGGTCGTTGTTGTGCTGGCAGTACCAGCCGCCGTCGCCGTCCTTTTGCTGCTGGTCCAGGCTCGGTTCGTCAAGTGGAATCACCGGCTTATTCAGGTTCCACGGCACGTTGTACGGGTAGCCGTGGATGGCGGCGATGCGGTAGTACGAGAGCTGGTTTTCCGGCGGCAGCTTCTGGAACAGCCCCAGCGCGCGGATGAAGAGCGACACCTCGACTCCGGTCTTGTGGTTTGTCTTGGACTCGTCGTACCAGGTCTTAACGTTACGACGAACAGGGACTGGCAGGTTAGTGTCAATCTTGATGGGCGTGATTGGATACGCCTCTAGCTTGAGATTAGTATTCAGGAGCTCACAGAATGTCATCACTGCGTCTCTCTCGCATATCTGTACTCACGGTTGTCCTCGCCAATGTCAATTACGAGATGTCCGTTGGTCGCAAAAATCTTCCAGCCGCGGAAGCGGGCGCAGAGCCGGACGGCGATGACGTTACCGGGCTGCCTCGTCAGTCAGTACGGCATCTTCTTCTTCTTCATCGTCTTCTTCATCTTCTTCTTCCTCTCACCTCGAGTGCCTTGAGAAAGATGCGCCGCATATTCACCGCGCTACCCTCCATCCACTCAAAATTGCGCGAGTTAACCTTGTTCGAGTGGCTCGTCATGACCAGCTCCTGCCCTTGGCTGTCCTTCTTGGGCGTCGTATCCGTCTCGCAGGCAAAAATGGCCAGCTGTAACCACGTCCAGTTGCCCTCGGTGAGGTCACTGACGTAGCCCTGGTCATGGGACTCGGCATACAGCTTGACGCCGCGGATCATGCGGATAGTCTGGCCATGAAGAGGCTATTCGACAAGGTCAGCGAATGTCAATCAGATTTACACGATGATAACTTACCGGCGATTTGAACCAGGTCTCTGCCACTACATCGGGACCCTTTCCTTCGACACATAAGGTCGACTTGCACCTGACGACGTAGCGAGTGTCGTTCGTGGGCGGCTGCTGCTTGAATTCCGGGAGCTTCTCGATGGTCGGTCGAGTAAGATGAGAGAGGGTATCGAATTGACTCATTCTTGCGGTGGCTTTCTGGTATTTGATATCAGTGCTTTTATCGTCCGTTTTTTTGTGTTGGTTTTTCTTGGGTCTTTTTTTCTTTTTTTTGTCGTTCCTCTCTTTGATATTTGGTCTAGGTAGCGAGCACCACGAAGTTGATGTGTTATTGTAAACCGCTGGCTATGGAAATCTAGTTGGGTTCTACCCGGCTTTAAATAGATGCCCATTCTCGTCTGTTACACCCATTCCGCTCAAAAGATCCTTTTCATCCACTCATGTGTATTGTCAGCAAGCACAACTCGCATATCCCTCAGCTCGGGCATCAAGCCGCTCCGTACGGCCATCCCGACGGCGCCACTTCAATTCAGATGCGTCATGTGGACAATCGAGTTTTCTTCTTCTTCTTCAAAGGTGCCAAACTCGAGAGACAGCTGAATTTATGTTGTCATACAGGTGTGGAAGAGGCTTCCTGCATCAACTACGTGGCGCTCAAATGGAACCCCAGAAATTGGCCGCACCAAGACATCTGCAAGAAGAGGTAAGAAAAGCGCATTATTTGACATCGACTATGTTATTAAATACTCCGATCCCGCCGATCCTAGCCCGTTTTCGGGGTATTATTTGTAACGTGGCGGAAGAGGGGTACCACCATTACTTGGGCTTGATATGTTGAGATCGGGCACTCGCCAGTGCTTTCCTGATGACGCTCGGTGGCTATATCAGGCTTCAACTACCAAAGTATCGAAAAGAAAAGGGACCCTACCGTTGAAAAAAGGAATAGGGGGGGGACAAAAAAAGCCAGGCAACAGCGAGATATCTTGACCGCCGACCTTGAACGAAACGCGACATCCTGATGCTTTGTCGAACGTGCCTCTGTAAACGTGCATCTCTGCCAAGCAAACAAGGCTGGCTGAACTTGGTACAGTCTTGTTATACTCTAGTGCGACCCTGAAACTCCTTGTTTTGTCAAGTACCAGGTGTCCCAGTCATCCTTTACAGATGTCCAGCCTACTTACACGTAGAGTGATAAGTCATCCATCCGACAACCAGTCAAGACTGGGCGCAGTCTTTCTGTATTTGGTCAGAATGTGTCGCAATCAACTACGATACATTGTCGAAGGAGGTTGGCAGCTGTACAATTGTGGCTTGCAGGATTGCTTACCGAATTACACCGTCAGCTCTCCCGCTACACTTCAGCTGCCGGTATGAGCAACCGTTTCGGCAATTACGCCAAGACAAGTGACATGCGTAGAGCAACTGCCACAAAGTTATAATATTGATTCTCCATGCATGAGCCCCTCCTCAATGCGGGGATCCCAGGCGCGCATCCAAAGGTTCAGCCCTTAGCTGGCCCATTTTCGAAGTGATGCTAACGGCTAGGGCCTCTCAGTTGCAAGGCTGACAAGGTCTTCCAGATGGGCCATTTCCAGCCTTCTCGGCCGAGTGATTCGTTTGCGCTAGAAGCCTGTCGGTGGCCACGCAAAATCAGCGATGCCCCTCGTTCAATAAGTCCGGAATGAGAACCCCTCTCGATAAGCATCGGCAGAGGGGGGTTCACAGCCCCGCGGACATGCACAGAACCCGGGTCTAATTCAGATATGCAGCCTCCTGCTCCTCCGAGTCACATGTTCATATTTGGGCAAAGGTAAGCATATCCCTGTCACTTCAAGGCGGCTCGATTGCATGCCAAGAAACAGGCAAGCCTACAAGTACCCCAGAAGGCTTGCTACGACTGGTGAAACACGGCACGTCACGACGAATCAAGCCGCGTCGAACTGATGAGGTTCCAAGTTTCTCAACAAGACATGCTTTCGGCTTCGTGCATTATGTGTCTTTGTAGTGGTGTGTGTCCATGGTGGTACATTTTCACCTTTGACTTGGAAGTACTTGGCGGTAGTGGTGGTCGGGTTCATTGAGCCAAGTGGCTGTCTCGATGGAAGCTGAGCAAGACGGCTATCTACCTTGATGGGGGCTGAACAGACAAATATCTGTATTGTTGGAAGAGAAGACGCCGACAAGTTATTGAGCCGACAGAGCCAACGCCTTGGACAATGCTCACGGTTCGAAGCGCAAGTTGGCGGGCGGCACTCCGTCCTTTAAGGCGTACTGCCATACATGCTTTAGATTTGGTGACAAGTTACAATCTTGTAGTGGTGGTTCCTGGCTCTCCTGGGTTATTTTTGCACGTGTGACTTTTGTAGCTGTCAACTTCAACTATACAACTTCTGTCGCGTTGTCTACTTGTGCCGTTGTGACAACCCATTTCCTGGAATCTAGTCGAAAGGGGAGAATGTTTTTATTATTCGCGCCTGCTTTTCACAGAGTCCCCGCCAGAGTGCTGGGATCGATGCAAGTTTGACGCGCCTCCAACGAAGATGCTGTCTTCCGTGCCATAGCATCACCGCCGACATTAAAATGGAAATCCAATATCCACCAACCCGGCCTAGAGCAGTTGGCTTGCGTTTTTCTCTCCAAAAGAACGGATGACACAGCTTTGGGGTTAATAGCAAAGCTTCTTGTTTCATCAATGGAGTACAGAAGCGAAGACAGCGCCTACCATCACCAGGGGTCGCGGTATCCATGAGTGGTGCAACGCACAAAGCGGATTTCGCTTTCAACCAAGTGAAGCACACGGCGGTTACCCTCACTACCAGATGATTAGATGATGCTTCCTACCTCTCGTTCTTTTTTTTTCATGACGTTGGTTGGGAGCCCAGCAACACCAACCAACACTTCCTGCATCCATCGTCTGCATGCACCAAGCAACGATCGGATACAAGCAAGATCGCGTACCTGCAGCATTTTGACCGGGCAGATCCCCGTCGTATATGCGGTAAGGCAGTTAGCCTGATCGACCACGCCAAGATCAACCCCCTCACCCTCGTTCCTCGATCTCCAGATCGTTTGAGCGCCACAACTAGCTCAAACTGCCTCACGCACGTGGAAGCGCCTCCCGATGACGATACCTCCCATCCTCAAGCTCCCCGTGGAGCTTCTCTTCTGCATCATGGACAAACTGACCATCTGCGACACGGTCTCGTGCCTCGTAGGGTTCCCGGACCGCCCGTCGCACCGAAACCTCGCGCAGACGTGCAAGGCGCTGTGCAAACTGGCTCTGGAGCGGCTATATCACCACCCTGCCACGTTCGGGAGCGGCCAATCCGGCTCCAAGGTCATGTCCCTAGCCCTCATCCTCTACCGGCGGCCGGACCTAGCCGCGCGCGTCCGCGAGCTCAGCCTTCTCCGCCGGCCCTGGGGCCGCCGGGAAAGTTACAAGGGTGGGGGAGGCAACTAGAAGATCTCGCCGGAAGATGCCGCGGTCTTGAACCAGGGCTGCCGTGAGCACGGCATCGTCAAGGGTCATCCCCACCACAGGGTCGACCCCGACGAGGAGGAACTGTACCGGATCGATACCGTCGAGGGTCATGCGGACCTTGCCCCCGGGTGGTGTAAAAGCGCGAGGGGGGGCGCTCGCGACGCTCGCCATCGTCAAGTCGCCTAACCTGCAGCGCCTGGAGATGACGGCCGGCAACCGGAAGCTGCCCCGCGCCGTCACGCAGCCGGGCCGGCTGGACGGCTTGACTGAGGTGCGCTGGTTGTGCCCAGTTGGGAGAAACTGCTAGATACAGGACGGCGACACCTGGACTGGCAGATCACAGCAGCCCCCGCGCTCCGCAAATTGACTTTGCAGAACGTGTGCCGAATAGACGAGATGACGCCTTGTGCCGTGCCTGATCTGGTCCTCAAAAGCGTCGTGCTGGACAAGGAAAGCGTCCAAGGACTACAAAGGGCCTTTCCCCGGCTGGAGCGATTGGTGGTCAAGTTCGGCGTGCATCTGGACAGCAGCGAGCGGTACGAGCTCTACCGGTCCACCGCCGCCACTTGTGCGTGCGTCATCGACTGCCTTGTGAGGATGTACGGGGAGAGCCTCCGTCATCTCCACCTCGACTGGTCAAGCTGCCGGGTCCAGCACGACGATGAGGCCTCGAGGTCGCTGGCGGGCCTCCGGGCGATGACGGGGCTGACCGAGCTGACCTTGACGTGGCCGCACAGTCATCGGAGCCACGAGCCCGAAGAGAACGAGAAGACGTTCTGGGCCAGCTTGCTCCCGCCTTACCTAGAGGTGCTGACCATAAGCTGCCCTCTGCTCCTTTGGTGCGCGCTGCCGCTGCTAGCCGCCGTTGATGAAAGGTGCGGCAAAATGCGGAAGGTGACCATCGAGAGCCAACACGGACCGTGGGACGCGGATGAGCTGCATGACAATTTCAACCCGGGGAAGATTGGGTATGACTTTGCGTACGGGGACGACGATGGATTCAGAAACCACTGGATTTTGCTTAGTCCGCGGCGATGAGATGGCATAGGCAACGAGTAAGACGGCACGTTTGGCAAACATCGAAATTCCGGGATACATGGCCTTAACAGTGAACATGGTAGATGAATAGATAGATCTATGATACAGAGTTACATTATTTAGTATGCTTACACTCGCTTGACGCACTCGCCCGTGCCCTACCACATGGTCTCCTCCACCACCTTCTTCTGTTTGGTGCTCTTGATCTTCTCCTTGCCGGGCACCTTGAAGTAGAGACTCGGCGACTCGCCCGGCTTGAGCTGGCCGCTAAGGTAGCCCCTGTGCGCCGGGTCCCTGTAGTACTCCATGTCCTCTCTGCCCGTCGGGTCGGGCAGCCGATAGCGGAAGCCCCTCGCGCGCTCCAGCACGCCCTCCACGTGCTCCTTTCCGACCGGCAGCGGCTCGTCCGTGTTGACCGACTCGCCGGTCAGCAGCCGGCGGATGGCGAGCTTGGTGTAGTAGCGCGTGACGACCTTGCCGCCGGCGGCCTCGATGGCGGCGATGGCGGCGGCGGAGGCGCGGCTGACCATGACGTCAACGGGCTGGCGCAGGCACGCGGCGCCGCGCGACAGCACCTTGACGCCGTCCTTGACGCTGCCGACGAGGCCGCTCTCGATGAGCTCCTTGGGTGTTATGCGCTGTGTCGGGTCGAGGCGGCCCTGGTCGATCCAGGACTGGATCTGGTCGAGGTTGACGGTGGAGAGTTGAGGTGCACGCCTATATGTTTTCGCCTCGTTAGCTTGCTGTTGCCATCGTCGTCGCACTCACTTGATTCCTTTTGATTTCACGCGGCATGCCCCTCGTCAGGAAAAAGAACGCACCAGTTGTTAAACCCCTTGCGGCCGTGCTTGACGATCAGCGGCGTCTGGCCACCCTGGAACCAGGGCCGGACGTGGCCGTGCTGGCCCTGGCCCTTGTGGCCGCGTCCGGACGTCTTGCCGTGGCCGGAGGACGGACCGCGTCCGATGCGCTTGCGGTCCTTGACGGCGCCCTTGTTGGGCGTCAGGTTGGCGAGGATGGAGACGGGTCGTCGCGAGGGTCGCTGCGGCGGCTGCATCGACAGGTTGGCGAGGCAGGCCGTCAGGGAGGAGATGTGTGTGGGCGGCGGGAGGCGGCCGCAGGCGACGGCGCCAATGGCATTGCGTACGAGTAATCTCGGTGGCATTGCTATCGAAATTTGCGCTGCGACGGGCCTCGACTTAATAAATGATGGGTTGTCGTGTTGGACAACGCTTTCCTGATGGGCTGGACCGGACCAGCACGTTGAAACCAGGAGCTCGCCTGAAATTTTTGGCGGCGAGTTTGCCAGATCCACTGCCAGCTCTGATTGGCCAGGCCCAAAAGGTAGCAATGTACTTTGCAAGTGCCTACCCTACAGTAGTGGTAAATGTAGATGCAATTGTAGTGATTAGACCAGGCACAGGAAAATGAAGAAAATAGTCAATTGATTAAAGGCTATCTGTGTCTGCTAAATAATGTGCATATATACAGTAGTTTAGTACAGCGTTCATCCGTTCTAGTCAGAAGTGTCCGAATAGAGTGCGCAGCACAGGCTTTGCACAATGGAGCATTGTCTAGGCGCAGCGCTGAGGTTGTTGCTTGATCTACGCGCCTTCTCAACGAGGTCCTTGAGGATATCTCATGTTTTATAAACTTTTTCTAATCGAAATATCCAGCGATATCACGTACCTACAGCATTTTGACTAGGCAGAGTCCCGTCGCATATACGGTGAGGCATTTAGCTTGATCACCCACGCCAAGAGCAACCTGCTCACAATCGTTACTATCTATTAGGTCCCTGTTACACGTAATATATTAAATTTAGTATATGGTAGGATGAATACTGTGTTAGGACCCATGTTAGAAAAGGTACCAAGATTATTACGCCCTTATGAGTGAAGTGTGAAGTTGCCTTGCCTTGGCCGTTTGCACGCCTGCCAGCTGGCAGTGGCGAGCGAGTTAATAAATAAAGCATGCACGCACGCGCAGTTAATTCATTGCTGCCTGAAGTGAATGGTTTATTTACTCCGCACTATGTTCTTCTTCATTTGCGCACCTCTTCCCTGCTCCTCCTGCATCCTTCCACCTCTCCTTCCCGTTCATACAGAACAGAATCATGCAACTGCTTTCGAACTGCTTCATAGGACCAATAACTACACCACCAACCAACAACCAGCAAGTACAAAAAAATGTACAGATACCCAGATCTGGCACGCAGGCCCACCGATTCCAACGACCTGAAGAGCGCCGCGGAGCTTCTCCGTGGCTTCGTTCTTGAGGATGGCTCGGTGGAGCAGCGAATGGTGCCCGGCAGCAACCGGCCTCCAACATCGCTGCAGCAGGTAAGTTTCTAGTTCTATCTGTTAGGCATCTAGAGTATCTATAGCGGTGCTAATTTATAACAGGCGGCACAGCTCGCTGCCTCAAGGTCCCCATACGAAAATGTCCCAGAACACTGGAAAGCACAGATGAAATGGGATCTGGCCACCACGTCTGACTCGATCTTTGTTCTCAGCCCAGATGGCAAAACTTACCAAGAACCCCTTGCTGTCCGTGGTGTGCCGGTGGAGCGAATCGACGAGTCCTCTCCCTATTAGGAACCAGGTTGGCTCTCGCTCGACAAGCTCCTTCTTGCAGAGCAAGGCGCGCACCAGAAGAAGATGAAATATCGCGCCCAAGCGGAGGCGCTGAAGATTCCCAAAACGGACCGCAACAACAACATTCGCCGAAAGGAAAAGGTTGCGAGCGATGATTGCAGCAAGTACGGCAAGATTCGAGAAATCTTCGGCAACGGAAATGGAAACTATCACCCAAACCAGCTCGTCGCTAAAAGGTATTTACCTGCTCAGGGCCTCTGCGAAAAGGAGCTTCTTTACAAGCTTGCACTTAAAATTTCAAATCTACAAAAGCTCTATCAGAAGAAGAAGTTGGTCATGAACCCTTACGACTTCTACCGGTGGGCGATCTGCAGGAACATGAAGTCAGATCCCCACAACGCCTTGCATAACTCTCGCAATAGCATCACCGGCACGATTCGAACAATGGGAGATGACGGGGCTCACGCCGACCAGGTCTTCCGAACCATTGTTCTGTACTGGGCCTCAATAACCGGCAACGAGAACAAGTTTGGCAAGTCTAAGAACCATTCCCAACAGCGCCGACCGCGCATGATGACAGAATCGTCGCGGGACAGCGCTGGCCGTGGCGGACGAGATGTCGCTTATCGCATTTCCAGACTGGAAACAAAACGCACAAGGCGTCGCGATTTGTCGGCTCGGCCCCAGCTGTTTGGGGGAGTGAATGCTCACCGCGCTGCGATGGCAAGTCGCGACGACAACGACCAAGTGATGGGATAGCTCTCGGATGTGGCGAGTTCTGACCAAGGGGCGAATTTAGCAAAGGGGGGAAATGCCGGGAGAGGTGTTGCTATGAAATTCTGCAAGTTTGGGTAGTGTTATCGCATGGCTTGTGTTGCATTGAATATTTCGAGAGGCGCTTGCTCCTTCTTAACAAGTCTAAGGGATAACAAAAGATTCATTGACCAACTACAACAATGATTACGCCAGTGTCTCAATGAGTAGCCAAAGTGGCCATGTCAAATTCAACCTCTAATTACAACCTATCGCGGTCCAGGTTTTTCTCCGCCATCCCATCTTTCAAACACGCAAGTAGTGCAAAAAAAGCGTGCCTTTTCGCTCCCCAGGTACAAAATGCAGCCCCAAAAAGCAGCCCCTTTCCCAGCAGCATCCCCAATCCAGTCAAACAAAAAAAGCCAGCTTTGGTCTATAAGGAAAGTGGCAGCTACCTGACACCGAGATCTGTGAGCGCGAAGCAGAGGGACCTATGCGTCCAGTATCAGAATCAGCCTGCCGCAGACCATCCCGTTGAACTCCGTTTCTTGAATGAGGCCCTTTTCTGCTTCGAGCATGTGCAATATGCAAGAGTAAACGCCGCGTAAGCGCCTGTGACGCTCAGCCGTGTCTCCGCCAGTAGTTCGAAATGCATCTGCTGCCTTTTCTGGCGAAAATTGTCTTGCCAGTGAAAAAACAGGACCAGGAACTTGACAGACCATGCCATGGAAGAAAGCAGCAAACAAACAGTGCGGTCGAGGAAATAAAAAGAACTCCGCTCATTATGTGAAAAGGGTTAGGTCGTTATATCCAAAATGAAAAGAATCTAAGGGCTGGCCCAGCCACCGGCAACATCGACCCATTCGGCCATACATGAGCCCTCCTTGCCCTCAACGTCAACAATGTCGGTGTCACAGCGGCAGCGGCAGCCAACACCGTTTTCTTGCGGCTCATCGTACTTGCCCCAGTAGTCGTCTTCCTCCTGGCGCTTCTTTTCGTCCTTGGTGTTGGGGTCGAGATACGGGATGGGTGGAAGTTGTCGGGCCTCAGGGGCATTCGCAGGGCAGTGCTGAATCGTGGTGTGACGGTATCCAATATCGCGGAAGTAATGGACATCACTAGGACCCAGGAGAGCACCAGCAGCAAGAGAGTGGATAGGAGCATCGCCCCACTGGTGAGAAGGGTTAGTTTTCTCTATGTCTTGTCCATGGGAGAGACGAGGTCAACTTACACGTTCCATCCAGAAGCCGCCACTGCGGTCAAGCGTCTCAAAAAAGTCTTGGTACTCCTTACTGCGAAACCAGCTGAGGCGGGCAATTTCAAAGTTGGACCAGAAATGGCACATGTTGTAGCTGTCGCCCTCCATCGTCTCCGGGTCAATGTCGGGCAGTGCACCGCTACCAGGCTCGCTCTGGGCAATCTCTTCGGGAAGGGCGTCCTTGATGACCTCGGGCTGCTTCTTGCGGGGTTCGAGGAACATTTCCCAGAGACCCTTGGAGGTAATGTTGTTGTTTCGCATGTAGGCGGAGGCGTAGCGGAAAACATTGGGGACTGTTTCGCGGAGTTCTTTGATGGCAATGGTGAAGCCGTACGTCTTCTTGTTCTCAATCATCTTGAGGAAAGGATCGCTGATGGGGTTAGTACATAGCTGGCGTAAAAGGGCGAGAGGTAACATACTAAGTGATGTCGCAGAAATAGGTGATTTCAGGCTCAACACGCCAGTACCACTCATACTTGAGAAGGAGCGGGTGGTTGAAGAAGAATCTACATTGGTCAGCACTTGCAATAGAGACAAGGGGGCGGGATTCTTACCCAGAGTAGAAGCGGCACATGAAATGGTAGCTTTCGAGTCCACCGTACATGACGGCATTATCACCTTGCTTGGCGATACCCTCCTTGGCTACCTTGGTGTCGATCCAGTCGGGGAATCCCCACATGTCGGGGCCAACCTTGCCAAACTCGACGGTACCCGAAGTGTGGTTGCGAACAGTCTCCTTGAAGGTCTCGTTAAAGTCGCCGTCATTGAGGAAGACGTAGGGGTAGTTGAACCAGCGATTGAAATGGCGCTCGACGGACTTGATCGACTGGAGAACACCCTCGAGCTCCTTGTTTCGGGCAAGGACGACGAAGGTGGCATTTGCTCTCGGTTGCTTGTTGTCGGGGGGTTGGCAGCCAGTGAGAAAGACCTTGTCGTACTTTTCACTGATTTTTCTGGGAATTGTTAGCTGTCTCATCGAGATCGTGGAAGCCCGGTGGTAGCAAGCGGGCAGTACATACCTAATGGCTGGCGGTGCGCCAGCTGGAACGAGGATGCTGCCGTTGTTGGTGGGATGCCGGACGAACAGCACCAGAATAAGAATGACGACAATCAGAGGAAAGAGGATGACGACGCCAAGCGGCACAGAGACGGCCGAGTTTCCTCGCAGCCGCAACGGTCTCCGGAAAAAGGCGAGGCGAGCAGCCCATCCTTTTTGTCGGGCGCCTCCTCTTTTCTCGTCAAGTGTAGGCAGCTCGAGCTGAGCCGTCGGGATCATGCGCTTAGCCCTATGGAAGAGGTCCATGATGGGCGGCAGATGGAGTGAGGGCGTGAATGGCGGAGAGGATCAATAGTATCGAAAGCGACAGTCGTGCAGTTGTCTTCCGCAGGCACCGTGCTTTTCTCGCCGGGGGCACAGGCGCAAAAAGGGGACCCGATTGTCGAGTTCAGGGGGGGGAGCCCGTAGTTTCGACCGGGGGGGTTCGAGGCGGGATCAACGTCGCGGGGAGTGAAATGATATCGTAGAGTAGTCTAGATGCTGAAACTCTATCTTCAACGAGCAAGAGCGTAGCAATGTCTATTCGCGGTGGGATGGGGGAGACGCCGAACGGGAGGCACTGCTCAACGGTTCGCAAGAACGGAGGGGCGACGGTTGCGAGACCCTCACCGCGCGGTGCACAAGAAAAAGACGGGGTCTATTAGAAAAACGAAGGAATAAAAGGGAGAAAACAAAGGCACGCAGCAGTCTGCGCCGATGGGCAAGAAGATTATCCTGCAGAGAGGACAACTCTAGTTAGATACCGTCAAAATAAAAGTCGCTGAGAAAGGTGCAGGACAGCAAAGCAGAAAAAGAGATGAGGCAGAGATGGGATCAGCTACTAGACAGGATCCGCAGTGCCGTTGCTGCGCTGTGACTGGATAGAGCCTCGACGCTAGGCTATTTTGGGCGGCTCAAAGCAGGGCAACCAACCAACCAGTCAGTTGCGGCCTTTTGAAGTTTGGTTAGGCATTTCATTAGGACTGGTCAATTCCTAGCCGTATCTATCCAGGAATCCAGGAACTGTTATTTTGATTCATTTGACTTTCTTGCGACTCCCGCCGTGCCGTGCTCCTCTACCAACGAGTCTCAGAGTCTGTCACAGGCTGCCAGTGGTCGCATCCCTGTATTTTAGGGGCGGACACTGAGAACAAGCCTTGGCGGCCCTTCTCCAATCGCGCCATTGGTCATTGGTTCACCAGATAAACTCTGCGCGGCCAACTTAGGTAGCTGTGAGTTCGGGAGTAAACGGCGCGCCAATCCGGCTGCGAACACGTCCCGGACCAGCTATGTCCCATTATTCACCACTTAATGGTCGCTCAACACCAAGGATGAGGAATATTGTCTTCGTCAAGTATTAGATACAACCGCAAGTGCGCGATGCTGCCTTGGCGTCAGCGTCCCCAGTCCGATTAAGGTCCATGCAATCAATCGACTTGCCGCCGTAATCAATGGGCCGTCGGTCAGTGGTGCTTGATAAAAAGCGAGTTCGGTTCGTCATACAGACTGAGGGGAGGGTGTCGTAAGGTCAGTCCGTCGGCCTTTGCACGACCACCAAGACCCCTTGTGATACCCGAGACGGGACCCGGAAACCGATGCATCCGGATCGATGGCCGTCGGGAAAAACGCACGACATCGCAGCCATGGCGCTGCCTTTCATCGGTGTGTTGTCATAGGAAAGCTCGTCGGCGATGACGCTGCTCTTAGACCCTTGTAAAGGTAAAACTTCCGTCGTCTGGGAGTGCGTAGGTCGGTAGAAGTGTCCCAACAGGATGTGAGCCAAAAGGCTGCTGAGATCGCGAGGCCGCCGTCTCGTCCATGTTCGAAGCCATTCGAAGCTCGGCACAAGCCGCCATCAATCCTCGTCAAAACTGAGCTTGATCACCTTCGCCTTCTTCTTTAACTTCTTCGCCCCCGTCTTGTCCTTGTCATCTCCCTTGTCGCTCTTCAACCCATTGCCATTCTCCTTGCCATTCTCCTTCCCATCCTCCGCTTCCTCGCCCACAATCTTGCCGACCTTCCGCTTTCTCCCACCAATCGTCATTTTCGCATTTGCCGCCCCCCCGTCCTTGTTTCCCTTCTCCTTCTCCCCCGCATCCCCGCCATCGCCCCGCGTCGGGTCGGCGTCGTGCTGCCCGGCGGCGACCACGCCGTCCTTGTCCACCTCGAGTGCGAGTGCATTGCCGTGCTCGTCCACCACCAACGGCACATCCTCGGCCTCCTCGCTGCTAGAGCGCTTCTTGCCGGCGGGACGGCGACGAGCGGCGGCGATGGGATCCGGACCCTTGTGCCCGGCTGCCTGCGCCTGGAGCGCGGCCAGGAAGGGAGGCGGCTTGGACGCGTAGGACAGGTTCTTGGCGTTGAATTTTTCAGGCATGGTTGCCTAGACCGCGGCGGCAATTACGATTAAGCTTGCGGTAAGTCAACGAAATTTGTCGTTTTTTGTCGTGATTGAGCATGGGTCCAGACTTACGGTGGTTGGTTGTGAGCCTGACTAAGCGCTGGATTAACTCTGGCTTAACATCAGACCACTTTAGATTGGCTGTTTCCAACGGGCATCAAGTAGTGGACGGATTGGACGGTTGGAAACGTTAAAGTCTACGGAATTGAGAACTGTCTCTCCTCCTTCGCAAGGACTTTCAAAAGTGAGATACCCGGCCATATGTTAAAGGGATGATTGACAACGCGCAGGTATATGGATGGAATCTTCAATTAACCAAGGGAACAAGTTCTCTCATATTCTACAGTTCACCACTCTGCCGCGTGGGATGCTTTTCCGTGCTTTTGCCTGCACGACGCCGAAAATTCGCACAGCGCTTCCCCAGTCACTCTTCTCTATGTAGTCTCCTTGTACAGTTGCATCGACATCCTATCCCATGCACCACGAAACATCCCCCGTCAGCATTTCTAACCCGGAATTCCAAGGGGCGACCCGCTCATCGGTAGCGGTACTCGGGCTTGATGTAGTCGGCGAAGGTCTGCGGCTCGGGGTACTCGGGGCCGTGGTGGTGGCCGTGGTGGTCGTCCTCGGCGCCGACGTAGTCCATCTTGTAGACGCTGCCGCACTCGGGGCAGCGCTCGATGGGGCGGTCCTTGGAGATCTAAATTGCGGCGTTAGTTGATGGCATGCATCAGACATCCATGATTCGTGCTACTTACGCCGAGCCAGGTCACGACATGAGAGTCAGCAGGGTAGCCGGTGCAGCCGAGGTACTGCTCCTCGCCGGCGGAGCGGACCGTGATGGGATCCTCCATCGTGCCCTTGCGGCTGGCGTCGAGGGGGCGCATGTCGAAGATGTCAACGCCCTCCATCTTTCCGAGAATTTCGAGACGCTCGAGACCCGTCGACTGCTCGAGGTCGGTCGGGACAGTGCCAGCCTTGGCGCCAGGTCCGAACAGGTCGTCCTCAGTCTTAACTTCTGCAGACGGCAAAAAAATTTATCGTTAGCTCTTGATCCTCGATCAATTGTGGTGGTAGCTCGGTTGACTGATCAATTGTTGGTGTTTCGCAATCGGATGTTGTCGGGAGTCGCGATGACCCCATCGGAGAGAGGGACCGCCGAGGATCAAGATCAAAAAGAAAACGTACGGTTAAAAGTCTTGTAGGTGCCGATAGACGTGCTGCTGTCGTGAGCGAGGGCGGCGGCCTGCTCGCTAGGGGTAGAGGGACCCTTGGCGGCCTCGCCTGTCATGTAAATTTCGTTAGTTGTCACTGACGTGCAAAACAAAATATTTTGCCGAGACGGATTTGCGTACGGCGGACAAAGGAGGTGGCGAAGGAGCGGGCGACGGCGGGCTTGATAGCCGCACGGCGAGCCGCGGCGATGGCGGTGCGTTGCATGAACATGGCGGGCAGAGGCGACAGTTCGGTCGAGGTTGGTGGTAGTGAGTGAGGCGGATGGAGGAGTGGTGGCCTGTTGTCGAGGGATTTGTGAGATGAGCTGTTCCAAGTGGAAAGGTTGAAGAAGCTCCAGTTCATGCTTGAATTGACCAATCATGACGTGCACATTAGCTGCACGTGATTTTACGGCTTTGGCTACCCGTCAGCTCGCCTGGCCTCGAATACCCGCGGCACGATATAGCGACACAATAACACCATAATTACATTTTCTTTTCTCAATTCAGTTTCATTTTAATAGCCAACCTATTATAGCTGCCTAAATCTTACGCGTTGCTTTTACATCCGCAATATGAAATGGCCGACAGCCACTAAGTAGTTAGAAAGCCAAAAGACAGGAAGCTACCAAGAACACAAATCAACATGCCTGGGTAGCGGGTAAATCCTGGTGGTTGCCTCCGACACAATACTTTTGCGATCCTGTAATTTCACGTATTGAAAAGAAGTCCCTATCAATATACTCTCCTCACGCGACGAACGCGACACGAGGACGTGGAAGACTACGCTACCTGTCCTCCACCCAGGTTGAGACGGAATGGTACTAATTGACAACATTGACCTTTCTTCCCCTTATTCTCCTGGGAATCTTATTAGAAAGTAACTAAATTACTTAGAGAAGCTACTACTCTATATGTTTTAGAAGAGACTTACTTTAACGTATATACTATGTATATTCTTCGTAGATTCTAGGACCCCTTTTCGTAGGTAGTTTGTCTACCTGTCGGAAGTCATTCACCAAACCCACAACCCCTTCTTCCCCTCTACATCCTGCTCGAATCCTCTGGCACCACCATACCATCCTGGTACCCCGACGCGACGTGCCTCCCCTCCGGGCTCCAGATCCTGGACACCATCGTGCACCTCCCCGCCGCCACCCTCGGCCAGCTCGCCTCCTGCACCCACCACCCTTCATCCCGCATGACCGCCTCCTCCGCGTTGACGTGCACGTAGAACGCGTAGCTCAGGCTGGCCGCCCGCCCCCACCGGTGGCCGTAGCCTAGGTGGCACCCCAGCATCGTCAGCCCGTTGCGGTCCGCCTCGAACGCGTGGCACACGACGTGCGCGTTGCAGTCCCCCGCGGGGATCGGCCGTAGCGGGCGGTAGAGCATTAGCTCGCGGCGCTCCGGTACGGGCTTGCCCGCGTTGTGGCCGGTCATGTCCACCCGGTACATCTCGAGCACGGGGAAGGTGCCGGGGCTGGTGTGTCCGCTGCGCGCGACCTGCTCCTGCACGGAGTCGATGTGCACGATGTACGGCCGGTGCCATTCCTGCGGGCGCTTTCGGGCGAGGATCTCGGCGAAGCGCACTTGTGGCGGTTGCGTTTCCTGCACGTCGTCGGGAGAGGGCATGGACCGCTTGAACGTGGTGAGGCAGGTGAAGCAGACCCCGTCCAGCTCCTTGGTTGCGTCCACAGGGTTGAATCTTCCCGTCTCATCTATCGCTGACGGCTCCTTTGGTTGCCTCGTCTGCACTAATCTTGTCGCGAAGGACTTGCCCGTATGTATAGGCGTCACCTCGTGCACAAAGGGACGATCCGAATGACCAGCAATAGTGAAGACGCCTTGTATAGACTGGCAAGTCATGTCAGCAAACGCGTCGCCATCCGATCTGCAGAATTTATGTCATACGTACATGTATTCCCATGTAAGCCTTCTTATCATCCCGTGTCTGCTCCTTCTGCTCCTCAAACTCGATGGCTCTGGCTGCAGCTAGCGGCGCTTGCGCATAGACGACACCACCAAAGACGCCTGTTGTGGTCGACTTGTTCGTTCTAGTCTTTGTCGGCTGCTCTTCCACCCCTGGGGGCAGATCGGCACCTGGCCGCCATGCAGGATATCTCGACGTGTATTGCACCGGAGAGCCAGAGACCCTGGTCACCTCGAAGGCTTCATAGCCGAGCCGACCCAGCGTGTCAGTCATTGCATGCCCGGCAGGCGGACTAGGCAGTCAGCTGCTAAATCCGGTGGTCTGGATAAATAAATAAGAGCTGTTTCGTCTGGTAAGCAAAAGCTGATGTATGCACACTAATTAATTTGAGGTGAGTTCTTACCTTAATAAGCTATCCGGAGTCTAGGTAGGAATAACCGGGTGCCTCGGCAATTTGGAACCGGCATTCCGGGACGGAACAAGCTTGAGCGCTGCACCGCGCTAAAACCGCCTGTAGAATGATAAAGTTTCAGGAAACCACCGCTGCCAGCATAAAAATCACTGATGCACTCAAGAAAGAAATCAGCTAAGTGTGGTTTCTTGTTCGTGACGCATGGTTGAATGCTGCATGTGGCTACATGTTCTTCATCTTACCCACCGATCGATTGTTAACCATCGTGCGCATCGAAAAATGAAAAGCTTGGCATTGTGTTGGGGTATAACTAAGGTATCGTCCTCCTCAAACAAAATCAAATAAGGCTAGCCATCTTGCAGACGAACATCACCAACGGTTGTCATCCTTTTACACCAGATATCAATTTCCTCCAGGCAACAAACAAAGGGGAAAGAAAATCAATGGGTCAACCGCAGTCGGCATCGAGCCAGCTGCAACAATTACCACCCAGCTGTCCAAATCCGTGTCGTACAAAGAAAGGGTACACCGAAACGCACGATTCTAAATTCGACACAACATGACAAAGGAAAAACGACACCCGGGACTAGATATTAATGAATAGTGCCGCATCTGCGGAGAGAGTCCAATCTTGGGAGCCAGCCAGTCCCGCCATCCCACCAAACAAGAAATGACGTGCAGAGGGGTTGGGTGTCATTCTGCTCTGCGCTCGTCAAGGCGAGCAAATCGCCGACAAGTATTAAGTAAATAAAGAGGTGTGCCAGGCGGTCAAGAGTCGTTGGCAGTTCGTCAGGCTAGACGTGAACGAGTCCACGCCATTGCTATGCGTCAGGATGCCGCTCAATGAGCTTGAGAAACTCATCGCTTCGTATTAGCGAACTGCTCAGGGAAGTGCTCCTTGGCGTATTGCTCGCAAGCCTTTGCGGGCTTTCCCACTTTTTGGCCGATAACCTTCCACTTGTTGTTTTCGTAGTCCTTGATTGCATTGAGAAGCGCCTGGCTTTCGTCTTCAGCAAACTCGGCATAGTGCATGTCCTGGTAGTGTCAATGTTAGTCATGGTTGAAAAGGACAGGGTGGACCGTCAACGAACCTTGTACCAATGCTTCTTTACTGATCCCTCTGTTCTCGTGGGGAAAGTCTATTGTCGAGTTAGTATGAGCTGCTTGATGGCACAATATCGCCCTCTCCGTAGCCTGGGTCTTACCTTGGCGATTTCGGCCCAGCTGTTCCCAGCATCGCGCATTTGCTTCAAGCGCAACTCTTCCGCCGGCGTCCACGGTGTATTGGTCCGGCTCTTCTTGGCTGGAGGTTGTGAGGGCGTTGCGCTAGCATCTTCGGCCGGAGCAGCATTGGCGGGGGTCGGAGCCGACTGAGCATTGGGGGGCGTCGGGGCAGGAGGCTGGCCCGCGGCTGCCGCGGGAACGGCCGCCGGGGTGGCCGGTGAGGGCACAGTACCAGGAGCAGGTCGCTTGCGCTGACGGCCAGGCTGAGGTGTAGGAGTCGGGGTCTGCTGCTGGGAGCCTGGGCCCGAGGGTGGCTGCTGGGGCTGGGGCACGTTCATGGGAGGTTGAACGGGAGGAGGGTGCGGTTGCTGATGCGCCGTCATGCCAGCCTGGGGAGGATAGGGAAACTCGATGCGCTCACCGCGCCTAGCGGCCATATCGGTGGCTTGATAGGGATTATTGCTATTGGGCGGTTCAGGTTAGCATCGATAGAAGACGAGACGAAGAATATACGGCGTCTCCAGAAATGACGAGCGCGGTGGGATGTATATGTAGCGCCAAGGGGCGAGTGAATACTATCAGCAAGACTGATAGTACGCACCTCGTGTTCCAGTCCCAAGGGACAGGCCCCGTGTCCCAAGGGGCAGGCAAGCGATTGTTTCGACGCCGCATGTTCAAGGTGTCCCGGGAGCGATAATACGGCCAGCGTGGAGCTGTGCGTAGGACGGCAAGTGGACAGAAGAGCACGGCGCCAGCGGCATGTTTGTCGGAGGGAAACAAGCAGACCGGGCCAGTCAAGAGGAACATGCGCAGCAGACGGGGAAACAAGGAAACAAAGATTCGAGGGGGTAGGCACGACTTACTGCATGGCATTAGGCGGGTGAGTGGAGTTGGAGTAGACATACTCGGGCACGGGGCCGACCTGCCACTGTTCCATTTTGACGGCTCTAGAAGAAGAATTGTTAGCATTGGGCAATCAAAGTTAAGCGACGATGCAGTGGATGGTATGCGCAATGAATTGTGAAGCAATGCGGTGGAAAGACGCGCATGCGTCGTGATGCTTGGCGGGGTGATTGTAGCAGATAGACAAGTGATTGCACCTCAGGCAACACCAGGACCCGTGTGCACAACAGGCGCAATCATAGAAATAAATAGCTGCGGGCGAGGGGAATATTGGCCTCTGCGCTTGCTATCGTCTCTCCTTCTCGCGCTCTGTTCCTCTCCATCTCGCTCTATTTCTTGACGTTGTTGCTGCTGTGATGCGACGACCGAACCGAAGATGCGACGGGTGCACGGCGCACAAGATAACGAGCGCAAGGCTTTCGCCAGCTGTTGGCGCGACAGGATGTCGTAGTCGGATCGGGAAGAGCGATCGCAGTAGAAGCGATGCAAGCAAGGCGCATCAAATAGCCGGACAGAGTCGAGAGGGCGAGGCAACAGAGCGCAACGAATTTGTCGGCGCGCAATTGTCGCCCGACGTCGATCGGCTGTTGAAGGGCCTTTGATTGAGGACGTGGGGCGTGGGCGCGAGGAGAATACAAGCCAGGGGCTTGAGAGCGCGTAGAGAGCAGAAAACGGCGCAGGTCGCGGCGCGCCGGGGGGGGAGGGTGAAGCTGCGCAAAAACGATGATAAAAAGGAACTTACATGAAAATACCTGAGTGGTGAAAAGGAAGATGTCAAAGGTGACAACCAGGACCAGGGCCGACGAACGGACGAGGTACAGTACACAGGTATAGTACGACGAGGTACGGCGGACGGGCTGGTGTCCTGGCGAGAAAAGCGAGAAGACAGGCGGGATGACCAAGAAGTCTAGGCCAAGCGAGCAAAGGCGTGGCGATGCGCGAAGACGGGGCTGTGGTGGCTGGTGGCTGGGGCAGAAGCTCGCCTGCTCTCAGGTGAGCGTGAGGGAGGGAAGGAGGGCCTTGCTTGGGCGGCTAGTTGCAAGGAGAAGGCCGGCTGGGCTAGTGCTAGTGACGGCACGGGCGACGGGCGAAGCTGGCTGTAAAGTAGTTGGTTAGTAGCGGTCCTTCACTTCGAGACGAGTATCCATACTCTACTGGTATGTATTGTCTTTGTCGACAGTGGAGCTTTTTCGCAGACTAGGGACGGTAGTAAGCTTCGCTTGGCTCTTGGGCTCTGAGCAGGTGGATGAATGGATATGTAGGCAGGTAGCCGGATTGAAGCGGAAGGTAGGGTAGCGCGGCGCGATGAGATGAAGGTTCGATTGCGTCCAAATAGGATTGCCTTGTTCTCGTTTTTTCTTTGCTCTAACCTCTGTTGCTCGTTTGATTGGATGACGATCGGGTGCCGATTTGAGCAATGGAAAAGCACTGCAACTAGGCGTCGTCAGTCAGTGGCAGGCCAGGAGCCATACATACTCTGAGTAGGGGGGAGGTGAAGCACCGTGGCGCGAAAGGTGGCTGGGGAGTGGCCAGAGACACGACCATGACACGAACATGGCCAAGTGAGGAAGGGGAGGCAGGAGAGAGCGGGAGCAATACTCCTAGGACAGAGCGAGAAAACAGAAAGCGCGCGCTGGGACATCGGCTGACATACCTGATAGAAAAGAATAAAGCAGACTGTTCAACACAGCTCTTCTCTTTCCTTCCCTTCCGAATCACCCTCTCGCTCTGTTGCGACCCGTTTGCTGTCGCGGTGTCGCGGTACCTAGAGGACGGACTCAGTGGGACCTGAGCGCTGTGACAAGCACTGGGCGCTGGCACTGAAAAACAGAAAGCACAGTGGAAGGAGGGGGGCGGGATGGTGGAGGAAGCAAAAAGAGGTACTTGGTCCGCAAGTCACTCCAGCGAGGATTTGGGGCTATGGCCAAGCAGCCTAGCAAACCTGGTAGCTGGCAAGGTCACTGGACTTGGACAAAGGTGAGAGAAAGAGGGGAGTGAGCAGGCCAACTTGGGCGGTGCGAGGAGAGCGCAGACGACAGGAAGGAGGAAAAGAGGTAGAAGGGAGGTGACGAGGTACAAGCGACGAGGTCGGGGGACTGCCAAGGTACTCCCACCCAAGAGTGGGGCCTGGCGTCACTGGTGTCCTCCAACACTGTACAGACACACTGTACTACATCTATTAAATGTGCTGCAATCGTACAGTGCGATTGTCGCCGCGCACCTTGCTTGAGCCACCATCCGCGCTCAGACCATGTTGATCCACTCTTCTGGTACCATTCCCGTATCCGGTACCTGCTCTGTTCTGCCTGTTCCAGCGCCACCGTTCTCCAGCCACGTCCACCACCGCAGTTTGAACCAACCAGCCCTGCCATTTGCCATTTGGCGTGGGCTTCCTCTCCTCCGCCGTCCCCCCTCCTCCTCACTCATCGTTGTCGGTGTCACTCATCAGCCCAGCCGACTCGCTTTTCAGCCCACCATCGACTCGAGCAATGTCCCGTCATTGAGAAAAACGAAGCTTCTTTGTCCTGTCTACCGCCCTTTCCACCGTTCTGACTCCGTACCAAGCAAGGCAAATGCACATCTCAATCACCACGACTCACCGTTTTCGCCCAGCGCGCCATCCCATCCAGCCAGCTAGCCAGCCAGCCAGCGATGAGACATCTTCTTCGCCAACCAGCCCGTCGCAGAATTGTCCCGGTTGCTGATCCGTTGCCCACGCGTAATTTCCGTGAGGGCAGAAACGGCGCAGAAATCTCCTGCGCCGTTTCTGTCGCGACCATTGTGCTGCCACCTCATCTGCACAATACTGCTCACTCCTGCGTCGTGCAGTAGCACTAATTCAAATATCAACTGACGACGTAACAACATGTATCCCACCCTGTATCACGCAAGCCATATCTTGTCAAAGCTCTTGTGGCTAACTATGTGTAGGTACGGAGCACAACACCTGAATCCTGTGCCCCCTCTGTACATGATCCACAAATCAATCACCCGTGTTGCGGCACTTGTTTCCTCCAACCGCCTCCCCCAAACACCCTGGTACCCGATACTTTCCTTTTCTGCTCCCAACGGTGATCTCAACACACCACACAACAAGCGGAACCCCAATGGTTCGTGGCCATGGCGGTTCGAATCGTTCGTCCCCACCCTGCCTCACAAGCGTCCGCTACTTATTGCATCTGTACCTGTCATCTCTCGGGTGCTTCCGAGAGTGTAAGCCACCACGTATCAAGGCTTGCTCATGAAGTGAGTGCCCTGTCAATTCTCCATCGTCGACCATCTTTGACGAGGTCCGCCCTTGCATTAACGGATGCGTGCCATACCCATTTTTTGATGCTGCAAAAACGCTGTCCACTTCTCGGCCTCTATACTGAACCACACGACTGATGACATGCGTACCCGTCCAAGCACTGGAGCTTATTAAACATTATTCAATGGCATCGGTCTTTACATATTGGGCCGTCTTCTACCGAGCATCGCAGTGGCTAACCTAAACGGTCTCTGCTTGGTCATTGCGTTTCTCGCGATGGCATGCATCCCGACGACGTGTTGGGTAGCAGCGTTCTCGCCCGCCTCCTTAGATCCTCTACCGGGATCTGATTCGAACGTGCGACATTTGCGTCACTAAGCAAGTTGTTGAGATCATCGACAGGCCTTGGCACATCTTGACATCCACGTACGCACCGCAATGGCCAAGTCGGATATCGAGCATCGACCTTGTCTCGTCCGCCGTGCGCATTGAATGGATGACCAGCAACGCTGTAGCCCATGTGCATCTGTACCAGTACCAAGTGTTACGTCGACCAGGCGCCGACTCTCACATGCGAAACTTAAAAGTCTCTGTCGTCTTCAGGCAGCAAAGTTAGTCTCCCTGGAGTTGTCACTGAGCCTGTCGTCGCCCAATTTTGCCTATTGCCAAAGAGTCATGGCATTGGCTGCCTCACGGCTAAGCTTGGGGTTCCTCAGTTTGTTACTAAGTTAAGAAGCATTTACATCCGACAGTTGCATTAGACTGACTAGATGGATTTAGTTGCCAAGCTATTGAATTCGTGACTCTGCAAAGTTGCAGTGCCGTCAATGATGAAGTTCACATCACGAGTCCAACTCTTTCTGTTGGCCAACATGACCCCGCAACTTAGATATTGTTGGCGTTCCCTCCTTTCTTGCCTGAACTCGGCATTTTTTCAAATGTCTTCTTCCATGCTTTCACAGACGCAGCTTGCAGGATTGTTCGAATGGGGTTCTGGCGGTCACTAGAAAGACACTTATTCAACTAGTGACAGTTGGACGGACAGCCACGTTTCTTGTTACCAACACGGACATGCGGTTTGCTCCTTCCACGACGCTTAACATGCCGCGCACAAGCGTACGATGCCGCCTCTCCACACTCTCTCTCAACTACTGGCGGAGCGTCAAGCTGATATGCTATGCACGCGTCATCATCCGACCAGAATAAGGTTTCCTTTGGCAGAAGTCTACCATTACAGCGGCCGGTGCAACTTACACTTTACTCTACAGCAACCAAGCTGTCTATTTGTAGTAACGGTCATCATGCTGGAACGCAGTAAACAGGTTCGCCACCCCGAGTCTGCTTAGGCTTGGTCCATAAGGCTGTCAAGTTGCGCCAGGAACATGCCACCGTCGGCTTCCAGTAAAGGGGAGAAGGCCACTTCCAGTTTGGCGCCGAGTCTGTCTCAGACTATGACATCTACAACTCGTGAGATGAGGCCGCTCGCTCAGTAGGCCATGTCTGCGACGCCGCAACAGACTGTTAGCTAGACAGTGCCGCTGGACAATCAGTGGTAGAAATGAAGATGTCATAGGTGACGAACAGGACAAGGCCGACAGACAGGCGGGAATTTTAGAAGAAGATGCAGTCTCTTCATCTGCGATATTCCAAGTTGTCACTGTTGCCTGCTCATCTGTTCACAAAATCACTTGAACACCCTTGGTTGCTCATAATGCCATGCCAAATCTGGTCAATCGAATGACTCAGAAGAGACAAATTGCCGTTCCACAGTTTCTCGCATGACGCATGCAGATGGACATGAAAGACGTCATGTTTCTGTCAGTAGTGATGGCTGTTTATTGGAAAGGGAATTAGTGCATTGAGGGTGAGCAGAGCGTGAGCCATGCGAGCATGCAACGTGCGGGACTCTTGTGAGGTCCCTTCCAGGTCCATGATCTAGAGATGCATTACTAGTTTCTGCATGGGAATTGTCTACCTCATTTAAACATTTTTGGGATGAAGTGCTTGGATGTTCTCGAGATGGACGGCCGTCTTGGCAGTCGATTGTCCACGTGTCAGGATGGAGGACTGGGTGAATTCGGCCGTGAACCAACGACCACGTCTCTCGAAACGTCAAGGTGGCATATTGTACGCCGACAACTATACAGGTTTACAGCGCATAAGGTAGCATGTTTAGGAATTGGGGTCTTTCACCGTCGCCTCCCACCGCACCTCCAGCCGCAGAGGAGACTATGCTCTAGGGTAGCCCTTGCATCGACAAATGGCAGTGCATATCCGACCTCATCCACGAACCAACGCCAATGATTCGACGTTCATTCCCGAGAAAAGGCGCTTCGTCTCATTTAACAGTCCTAAAAGCAGTTCAGCGGTCTTTTACCGCCACCTTCACACCGCGACACGGCCCAAACGCTGCTCAAACGGCTTGAAACGCAACCCATGCCTGGCAAACCCTCTATGCCAAACGAACGCCTTCGCTCGCAGCCAACAACTTGGCTCTTTTCTTTGCATTGTACTGCCTTGTAACCAGACGTCATACTCTTTTATTTTTTCGTTCGTGTGACCTCCTCCTCCTTGGTTGATCACAAAACACCGCTGAAAAAAAAAACAGGTTCCGATGCAGAGCCTCCCTCGATCGGCACACCTCTTTCCCGTCTGCAAGTCTGCATGCAACCAACCCCTTGTTGACCTTCCAGTCGTCTGGTGTTTTTCCTTCTCGACCCCGAAATTTGCCACACACACCGCCCATCTTTGCATGGTCTGCGGCTCTGTGATGAGGCTTGCCTGCTGAAAAGCACAGCCTCGGCCGCGCGCGGCGGCGGCCGCCGCGCACTTGCGCACCTGAACATGACAGATTAAGACAATATCGTAATATAATGCGCCTTGCGCCACGCATAGGACGCGCGCGCCGAAGGGCCGGTCGGCGTGTTGTTCTGTAATATATCGCATCAGATGGCGCAATGATGCGCCGTAAACGCCTGGAGCTCGAAACGAGCCGAAATTACAAAGTAAAGCGGTTGACCTAGGTTTGCCACGAGCATCCATCGCATGCCAGCTACCTACCAGCAATGCAATGCCAGGCTTTTTTTTTTTTTTCCCTTCCTTGACGAGCGTGTTACCGGTAAACAGGTTCGTGGCAGAATTGAAACTATGGCTCTTGGTTGGGACGAGTATTTCGGATCGCGGACAAACCGAATGTAAATGTGACATGACACGGCCAAGCCGTTTGTGGTGGTCGTTTCGTCTCAACCGCAAAAATGCAACCATCTCCCCCGCGGCGAGCCAGGTACGGAACAAACTGGCGCATTTACCTTGTATGTGCCTGGCCAGCCTCGCCTCGTCCCCTCTCTGTGCTGTGCTGTGCTGTCCTCTTCTCCAGAATTGACGTCAACGGATGAAATTTATCGGACGTATCCCGAGGTCCGAGTGCGCCTGATGTGACCCGTCAGCGCGGCTCAATCTCCCTCACATTACGGATAAAGTATGCAGATTATGCATGCCGCCGCCGCCTTCTTCTTCCCTCCTCATTTGACAAGCTGGTGTGGGTTAATGCTATTACGACGGGGCGAGCCCACTGGGGTTGCATCTGTTTTTTTTTTTCTTCGAGGGCGGGATTTTAGCTGATAGCCTGATACCGAGGTGAGATGCGCTGGGCCCTGCCCTTGGTGCTGTTTCAAGATGTGATCAAAACCCCCCCTGCAACTTCCCCTCCGTGGCGCAGGGCCGTCGACGCCGTGGGTTTCGCCAGGTATCGGTTTCATGTCAAATAATGAGGGGAGGGACAAGGGAAAAAAAAAACAAAACAAAAAAGCAAATCAGAGGGAAGGGGAGTAATCAGGAACCGTCAGGCACGGCCGGCAAAGCCGGGCGATGAAGACGCCGGACATTACGTAGTAGCCTGGCCGACGGGCTTTTCATGGCATGGGAAAGCTTGAGAAAGCTTGGGAAAGCTTGGATTATTAGCTACGAACTGGTGGCTTGTTTCCAACTGGGCAAGGGAGAGTGTTTGGGTCTGAATCAGACGTTGAAATGAGCCGCACATTTTTCATGTGCTATGTGAAAGAAAAAAAGAAAAGAGGGTTGAAGAAAAGAAGCCCAGCCAAGAGCATGACAGTTTCTCTTGTCGGCTGTCATAACTCACCGGCTCGACTATATCACTGGTATAACACGGTAGGGCGCCATAAAACAGATCACCCTCAAGCGGTTTCGACAATGGCCATCATCAAATAAACAAATACAGCAAGCCCCGGTTGGGGTTGGAATCTGGTGCTACAGGCACCGTATCGACTACATGACGCCCTGCGTCGTTAGTGTCCTCCGCCACGGCAGGCCATGCAAGGCCAATGTTTGGGCTGACGTAGTTGATAGCCAGTAAGCACGTTGTAATACCACCACGCAGGTTTCTTCGCTCTCCCCTGCACAGCGTGACGCTGCTGGGATTCCCCCCTGACACTGTCCGTACTTGTGGGAAAACGTCAGAACTTGGTGGAGTATCTTATAGTTGACGCTCGGGATTTGACTCTTTTGTCGAGTGAATAGTAGGAGGGAGTAGATCAGATGCCAAGACGAGTTCCATGGGCACAACAACTTTAATAAAGCTAACTAGTGTGCTGACAAGAAACCACAGCCTAACCAACTAGTGAAGGACGCGGAGCATAGAGGCAATCTATAGGATTCGCCTGCATGCACCACTTGGCACATGCTATAAGGCAGAATATACATATATCCATCCATACAAAGCGGTGGGACGTTACTACCGCGGCGCGCGTAGGAACAGGTCCCTGTGGTTCCTCGGCCACACCTGGCCGGGCTAATCCCGAATTGTTTACAAGGCCCGGCCGGGCGGTGATGTTCAGCAGAGTAACTAACTAGTTAGTAGAGTCCAAGCGGGTATCAGCCATGGGGATAGTACAGCATCGATGTGGTAGTTATACGATAGCACGTAATACTGTGCAACGTGGAAAGCCACAAGCCACAACGGACCGTGAACCATGGACCACGGACCACGGATGACGGACCACTCGGCTCGACTCGGATTCGGGCACTCAAGTTCATACTCATGTCACTACATCGGACCAGCGGCGAAGGCGGCGGCGGTGTAGGTTTGGCGGTCTAGCAAGTTGGTTTAGTTGCCACTGTTTTGATGCTCTGCCATTGTTTGACATGTTGGTTCTCGTGAGCAACCAGGTTTCTGCTCATTCTTCTCATCTTATTTTTATTCTTTTCGCATAATCGAAACGAGACTGAGAATATGCTCATGACCTCTCAAAATCAGGGGGAGACCAGCGCGGCAGCGTCATCAGACTGTGCGGTGTGTGTGGGAGAATGTCACCATCCCCAACAGCTCAAGGGCCCCGATTATGTCTGTTCTCACCAAAGAGACCAGACAACAGAACAGATACAAAAAAGGTTTTGCTAAAATGAAGACCGGACCAGCTTTTCTCTTCTCTCACTGGATGCCTTGCTCAAACAAAGAAAAGAAAATAAATAAAATGAATAAAAATGGAATAAAATAAAATCATGCTACCGCCCCGCACGCTTGGCCAGCCTGTAACAAAGCTAGATCTCATAGTCGACCAGGGGCTCCCCTTGAATCCTCGAATCCTTGATGCAATGCAGCAGCATCCGGACAGGGTCGCGGCCCCTCCAAACATCACAACCCGCCAAGCTGTTTCTGCATGTAACCAACTATACCCAGTCGTCTATACAGCACAGCACAGCATGCAGCATGCCCAGTGGCAGTACCGGGAACTGGCATGCGTGCGTTATCGACACCACCTTGCTCGTTGGGATCCACGGCCCTCGCCGACCTGACCTGTCTGTCTGTCACTCATTATATCATCATCGTCTCTTCCCGACACTGCCTTGTTGGCCCTTTTCCCCCTTCTCTGGTCTTCATTTCCCTCCGCAACTTACATCGGTGCTGTGTGAACAACATACCACTCGTGGTCTCTTGCCAAACAGTTGTTTTTTTCCTTCCTTCTTTTTGTTTTATTGGTTGCGTATTACCAGTCCTTCCTTGACCCCCTGCTCACGAGCACAACTCTCATTTCAGAAACCAAAAACCATCGTCACTCCTTCGACCTTCGTACACTCATTTTCTTGAACGACCAACTGGCTTGGCCTTCAGACCATTCTTTACACCCTTTCAATACGCAACTTTTAAAACAGGAAAAAAACTGTTACCAAAACTAATCCCTGAACCCATCCTCTCTTTTCCGGCAACAACACGAGAACCCCTCTCCGGCGGTACCATTCGTTTCGAACCGACCGAACCGGCAACTATTACCTGAAAAGGACAACATTAATTAGCACCGACGCTTGGCCTGGCTGCCAAATAGTTTACTTTCGACCACTTGGACTTGAAAAAGGGGTGCAAAAACATGTCTCGCACTCAGACTCTCTCCCCTCACACCATTGACATCTCAGCGCACGCCCGCAACAAGAAGAACGCCATGACCGGCGGCGGCCGCGCCTGGAGAGAGGACGAGGCAAGTGAACCAACAACACACAACACACTTGCCGGTATGAAAGCTCTACTAACACGCAACCCAGGAGGCCTACCTCCTCCGCACCCGTCTCCAGAAGATGCCCTACAAGCACATCGCCGCCCACCTCAACAAGACGGAGCTCGCCTGCCGCCTGCACTACCACCAGCTGTCCCACGGCAGCAGCCGCCGCAAGCGCACCGCCTCCAGCTCCTCCGGCTCCGACCGCTCCCCCGTCATGCCCAACCTGAGCCCGAGCCCCTCCGCCGCCGCCTACGAGCGCGTCTCCCGCTCCATCTCGCCCCCGCGCCACCTCGGCGGCGGCGGCGGCCGCTTCGCCATGACCCCTCCCCCGCAGATGAGCGACGTCCAGCTGCCCGGCCTCCTGCTCTCCGGCGGCTGCTCCCCGCGCGTGCCGACCATCCTGCCCAAGCCCGCCTCCATGGGCCTCGGCACCTCGCGCGCCAGCTCCCCGCTCGGCTACCCCCCGTCGTCCTCGTCCTCGTCCATGCTTGAGCAGCAGCATCCGCAGCAGCAGCAGCATCCGCTCCCGCCCGTCTCTTTCCGTCGCGAGTCGTCCCTCCCGGCGCCGGTTCCGCACCATCACAGCCTGCCGCTGCCGTCCACGGCGATGCCCCCGGCGCACTCCCCGGCGCACGTCGACCTCAACCGCCTGCACTCGGTGTACGCGGCGCACCGCGACAAGTTCTGGGACCTGGTGGCCGCCGAGTACGGCTGCTCGATGGGGCCGGCCACGCTGGAGAAGGCCTGGAAGAGCGGCCGCTGCTGCGGAGGCGGCGGCGGCGGACCGGCGTACGGTCCGCTGGCCAGCCCCAAGGAGGACAGCAAGACGGGGGCGTCGCGCGACAAGACGAGGATATCCTCCCTCATCTCCGCGGACTAGGCGATTCACCATTCTTACCTGGGTTTTCTTGTGTTTTCTTTTGGTGGTCGTAATCGGAAAGGGTTGCGGTTGTCCCGAGGCGTGAAAGGGTTATTGGGTTAACTTGGGTTTTTTGTGCAAGGCGCCTGGGACGTTTTATGTATTTTGATGATTTTAGCTGATGATTTGACTGGGCAGAGTGCGGAGGAGGAGCTCGCGTCTTGATGGAAAAATTGACTTGCAATTACGAATACCACGTACAACCATAAATTCTGTGACCATTGTGTCTACCGTATTATTACTCGGTGCCAGATCCTGCCAGGCTACTCTTGGTTGTACAAGTTGGCGGCGATTGTCTGAAACTCTTGCCGGCACGCCCACGGGATGCCCTGAAGGACTCGGGCTGAGCTGCAAGATGACCTGGAACCGTTTCGTGGGCCGGAAACGCGCTTTCGGTGTGCTTTGAGTTGGGTGGTGCTGATCTGGCGGCGGGCTGGGCCGTTCTGGGGTCTGGGCCGGCAAGGCAACGGTGACGCACAGAGCTTCCATCGGCTCACGGGAGCTTTGAAGGACGTCCGTGCGGTTGATGAAGCAGGGAGGGAGGGGGAGGGGTGGCTCGTGCTAGAGGGCATCGCAAACAGGGATAACGCGCGCTGATCTCGTGCGGGTTGAAGCTGAGTTTGTTCGCCTTGCTCTTCATGGCGTGGAACTGCTTGCTGGTGAGAGGGAAGGACTCCGGGGTTGCTCATAGCACTTGGCAACTGCTTGGCGAAGTAACAAACACCTGCAACCCGTTATGCATAATTTATTAAAAAGGGCAAAACCTGTCGCTACAGCGCATCTATAGACAGCCTATCTACCTACACCAACCGAGGTCGCCAAAGTCCCGCTACTAACGGATGGACAAACCAGAGCGGGCATATGATCCCCCCCTCGGCCTTCACCAGGCGGCTAATGGTTCCTGGTGTGCTCCAGGTGCTTCGACGTGTCACTGTCGTCGACCACCGCCCCCGTCGTCCTGCTCAGGTGGCGCATCAGCCCCTCCTTGCCCGACTCGAACTCGGCATGCCCCTTGTGAATCCGCAGCAGGCTGTCCCTCATCAAGAACTCGTAGTACCCCGTCGCCACGAGCGTCGCCGGGATGCTGACCAGGATGCTGATCGGCGCGTACGTCATGTACGTGAACGCCTCCCTGCCGAAGAAGATGGCCGCCACGATACGCGTGCCCAGGTCGCGAGCCATGTTGGTGCTGATGGTGATGTCCGCGAAGCCCCAGACCATGAGCGCGTAGGCGATGCCGATGACGAACGGGGCGCTCGCGGGCGAGATGAACGGGTTGGTCGGGTCGATGCACGCCCAGATGACTAGCGCCAGGAAGGCGTCGACGAAGAACTCGGTCATGAACAGGAAGCCGTGGTTCGTCTGGGTCGGGTTCGGGAACGAGCACAGGATGCTCGCCGGCGCGCCGTTGGCCACCAGCGGCTTGCCCGCCGCTAGCAACTCCGCCTTCATCGCGGAAATCTCGGGCCAGTACATGCCCATCACCACCAAGCCGGCGATGAAGGCGCCGAATATCTGGCTGAGGATGTACTGCGGCACTTTGCGAAGCGGGAAGCCCTGCCAGAACCAGAACGCGATGGTGATGCAGGGGTTGAAGTGGCCGCCGGAGGTGGACGCGCAGCAGATGATGGCGAAGGCGATGCCCATGCCGAACGCCCAGCCGATCTGGAAGAGGCTGCCAAAGGCGGCGACGCCGACGGGGCTGGACAGGTTCAGGGTGAAGGCGGCAACGGCGGCGATGCCGGGGAAGACGTAGAAGAAGACGCCGGTGGCCTCGGCGAGGCACTCGCGCACCCAGCGCGGGCGGGCGCGCTCAAAGTCGAGGCGCCGCTGGGAGACGGGCTTCGGGGGGACGACGTGGCGCGAGACGTGCCTCTCGATGGCCTCGGTGACGCCTAGCTCTACTGCAGGAAGGATGGAGTGTTAGCATATTGCTCCTGCTGCTCGGGCTCCATCATGGATGTTGACACATACAATCATGGGTTTGCAGACGAGAAAGGTCGGGGGAAGACATTGTTGCTGGTCAGCTCTGTGGGAGGCTCGAACTGAGATGCAGAGGATGGACCGGAAAGGTGCAGCTTTCTACTCTACATTCAAGGTCACATCGTCGGACGGGGGCCGCTACATATATGTCGTTTTCTGGGGCGGGCTATTCCGCTCCCGGAGAGTTGCTATAGCCGGCACCGGATCGACTGGAGCGAGGACCGGGCGAAGAGAAAGAAAAAGAGGGCAAAATAGTGGCAAGCAAATAGCGGCAAAAAATTGCCGGTTCGAGGCCTCTGGTCCATTGATGGGCGGTGCGGAGGAGGCTAGAATCCACCGTTGGCAAACAGTAGTGTAGATGGATGGATGGATGGATGAATGGATGGATGGATGGGCGGCTCTGTAGAAGTTGGGGGCTCTTCTTTGACAACTTGAGACTTGGGGGAACGTTATGGGCTAATTAGCGGGCGCAAGAACATGGGGAGGTTTGATAGCCTCAAAGAAAGAACGGCAGCCAGCGGGCGTGGGGTGTGGAGGAGGGGAGGAGTAGCGGAGGAGAGCTGGAGAAGGTTAAAATCAGGCTCAGGATGAGCGGGGAGAGAGAATGAAGCAGAACCCGGGGATTTCCTGGGGTAAAGCAAGGGAGGCTATGCTGACTATGCTGTGATTGGCATGTTCGTCTCATGATGTGGAGGACGAATGCATGTTAGATGTTCGTGGTCAGGGAGGAAGACCGGGCCTGTAGACCAATAGAGTCGCGAATCGAGCTGCTCTCGGCCGAGGTTCCTCTCCATTGCTTCTTGGCCCCCCCGTCGTCGGAGATGCATTGATCCCATCTTTGCGAGCAAGCGTGTATTCTAAAATGAACCTAACCTGTTCCAAGTGGTTACCCCAAAACGTGGCTTGCGCACCAGCCGAGGCTGCAATGGGAGTATTCGTATTGGTTGGTTGGGCAAGCCATGGGCAGGACATTTGAACAAGGTGGCGGGCTATAGTTTGTTTGACAAGTTGCCGGTATGTCCGGGTAGTGAGTTCGGGAATTGGCTATTGTCTGACGGGATCCCGGCAACAGCACCACGGACTAGGGATCATGAATGAATGATGAATGAATGATGGATGATGGATGACGAGGGCGCGGAGGCGAATGCGGGGGATTTCGAACGTCCCCCACAGTTCAACTCAACTAACCCAAATAACTGGTTTTGCTAAATTGCGACTACGAATAGACTCCGGGACCTGCGGATCTGGAGGACTACTAGTTCTCAGCAGTTGCTGGGTTTGGTGAATTGCGACTCTGGGGCAGTGGAGTGTTGGGGCCTCCATAATTGACGTTAGTCAATGGAAACTCTAATATGTATGCATCTTACGTGCATCCCTCCCTCCCTTGTTGCGGTTTCAATGTCGCTGGTCTTGTCACCTTTCAATAAATATGCGACCATGCATACTACGGTTAGGAAATCATGACATGAAGTCTGAAATCACATCGATCCTTCTTGGCATTTCCAGCCTCACTGATCCCCTCTCATTCCCGTGCCAAGAGACTTGGGTTGGAAAAGTCCGGACGCCACCCGAGAAGCGAGAAGCGGCCGAGACAAGGAAATGATTTCCTCGGCACTGCGAAGAGGAAAAGAGGCGTTTTGCCAAGACGGGCGCCTTCCTGTGGGAGTTGTAGGTGTTAATGAGCTGCAGTAGTCACACGCAAGAAATGCCGTGAGACAATGAAGGCCCCTGCAGGAGGATGCCTAAATGGCCTGTATATTGTATTGTATTTTTGTGCTGGCATCACTCAACGTGCTAAAGTAGTTATGAATATTGTGTATGTGCAAATTATCGGTGCAGCTAATACATTGCAAGTAATTTTGCCTGCATCTCTACTCCCACCACCACCAACATTAGTCATTACCAGAGGAAGCGACATTTTCGCCTGCAGTTGACACACCAATATTACTACTCAAATTGCATACTCAGTTCGGAAGGAGGAACTAAGCGTCCGGGCTCCTACTTATGCCTCACTCTGGTGTCCTCATGATCTGCGCTAGTCTGGATAGTCCAACGCTGCCCAGTTGACCTTAGTTATAGTGCAACCCTGATGAAGAAATGGTGTCTCGCGTGATGGAAGTCCATGTCTTTGACCTTGTACCATTTCAGGAAGTCTACCCCTGATTAGCATGCTTAGCCTGATCAGCAGCAGGAACTGCCCCCAAAGGAGTAGAGGGTGAGATGGTTCGGATATGAAGACGCGCCGCAAAAGCGCGACGCGTGCAAGTTTAATTAGGCCGAGATTTGCAAATGAATTAGGCAGGTTACTCTACATTTATTGACTCTTCCCCTTTACACCACAGTCCAGAGAAGTACTCTGCATCCTACGCATCTGTACTGATACATCTCGGCAATCTGCCCGTACAGCTTGTGGTGTCTTATCTGCCTTGAACCCAGCGTGACCACGTCCTCATTCCGCGTGATGGCTTGGTGATACATTCCTCATCGTGAAGGTAACATTCACTCGTCGCGTGCGAGCCATCATGATCGACCACAGGATTCGCGGTGCGACCTTGCTAATCTGCCAGCGGCGATGTGACAGTCTGGCTCTGTCTAGGGGTAGTCTGGTAGTAGAACTTGGAGGGAGTATTTGGAGATGACCATTACGTATCGCAACCTGTGCTTGGTAGCATTGCAGCGGCGCAATGTCACGTTCCTTTCGTTCCTTTCGATCCTTGACATTCTCACATTTAAATCAGCCCATCCCCAGCTGTCTCTCCGTCATATCTTGTATACTCTGTCTGTATCCCTCCCTTCCTAGGCGACCGACAGACAGCAAGCCCTTGATGAAAGTCATGACGCCTTCACCTGCTCTCAAGCTCCTCGCGCTGTCCCTCCTCCCAGCCCTCGCCCGGACAGCGGCCACGATATCCTACGACAATGTTGACAAGACTCACTACGACCCCCTCGACTACGTCGACCAGCTGATCGGCTCCAGCAACGGGGGCAATGTCTTCCCCGGCGCCACCGTGCCCTATGGCATGGCCAAGGCCGTCGCCGACACCACCAGCGGCAGCAACCAGGGCGGCTTCACCCTCGACGGCTCGCCCGTCTCCGGCTTCAGCGTCCTGCACGACTCCGGCACCGGCGGCTCGCCCTCCCTCGGCAACTTCCCGCTCTTCGCCTACGCCACCTGCCCCGACGACGACGTCAACCGCTGCGACTTTCCCAAGAAGACGCGCGCCCAGCACGGCACCTTCAAGAACGACACCGTCGTCGCCAAGCCGGGCTACTTTGGCATCGCCCTCGACGCCGGGCCCAAGGTCGAGATGACCGCGACGCACCACGCGGCGCTCTTCAAGTTCACCTTCCCGGGGGCCAAGGCGGGCGACAAGCCGCTGATCCTGCAGGACCTGTCGGACCTGTCCAACTCGCGCCAGGACAACGGCACCGTCTCCGTGGACCCTTCCACGGGGCGCATCCGCGGCGGCGCCGTCTTCGTGTCCAGCTTCTCCCAGGGCACCTACACGGCCTACTTCTGCACCGACTTCAAAGGGCCGCCGGTCGCCGACGCGGGCGTCTTCGTGGACAGCCGCGCCAGCACCGCCGTGCACAACCTGACCATCTCGCGCTCCATCAACGGCTACCCGCTGCCCGGCGGCGCCTTTGTGCGCTTCGCCGACGGCCGGACCCCCGTGTACGCGCGCGTCGGCGTCAGCTTCATCAGCGAATCGCAAGCCTGCGCCAGCGCGGAGCGGGAAATCCCGAGCTTTGACTTTGACAGGCACGCGCGCGAGGCCCGGGACGCGTGGAAGGCCAAGCTCATCAACATCAAGGTCGACACCACCGGCGTCGACCCGTCCTACGTCAAGAACTTCTACTCGGGCGTGTACCGCACCATGGTCAACCCGCAAAACTTTACCGGCGAGAACCCGCTGTGGAGTGACGGGGAGCCGTACTTTGACTCGTTCTACTGCATCTGGGACCTGTTCCGGTCGCAGCTGCCGTTCCTGACCATCCTGGACCCGGCGGCGGTCGCGCAGATGGTGCGCTCGCTCATCGCCACGTACGAGCACGACGGCTGGCTGCCGGACTGCCGGATGAGCCTGAGCCGCGGGTACACGCAGGGCGGCTCCAACGCGGACAACGTGCTGGCCGACGCGTACCTCAAGGGCGTGACGGACGGCGTGGACTGGGACAAGGGCTACGCGGCGGTCAAGAAGGACGCCGAGGTCGAGCCGTTTGACTGGTGCTGCCACGGCCGCGGCGGCATCGACTCTTGGGATGCTCTCGGCTACATCCCGGTGCAGGATTTCGATTACAAGGGGTTCGGGACGTTGACGAGGAGTCTGAGTCGCACGCTGGAGTACGCGTACAATGACTTTGCGATTGCGCAGATGGCGGGGGGCATGGGGAAGGAGCAGGAGAGGCAGCGGTTCTTGAGGGCGAGCGGGAATTGGGAGAGCTTGTGGCGAGCGGATCAGGGGTCCAAGTACGCCAACGGGACAGACACGGGCTTCACGGGGTTCTTCCAGCCAAAGTATGCGAACGGCACCTGGGGATACCAGGATCCGCTCAAGTGCAGCAACCTGGACGACAAGAGCGTGTGCTCGCTGCAGAACAGCGGACCGGAGACGTTTGAGAGCAGTATCTGGGAGTACGGGTTGTAAGTTGTCCCCCTGCGGCCAACCAAGCAAGATATTGGCGTTGGAGGATGGATGAGTCTTGAGCAACTGCTAACCACCTTGACCCCCCCCTCCCCCCAGCTTCGTCCCCCACGACCAGGCCACCCTCATCACCCTCCTCGGCGGCCCCGACGCCTTCCGCCGCCGCCTCGACTACCTGCACGACGCCGGCATCACCTACATCGGCAACGAGCCGGCCTTCCTCACCGTCTTCCAGTACCACTACGCCGGCCGGCCGGCCCTCTCCGCCGAGCGCGCCCACTTCTACATCCCGCGCTTCTTCCAGCCCACGCCGCCCGGCCTCCCCGGCAACGACGACAGCGGCGCCATGGGCTCCTTCCTCGCCTTTAGCATGATGGGCCTGTTCCCCAACCCGGGCCAGGACGTGTACCTCATCACCCCGCCGTTCTTCTCGTCCGTGTCGATAAAGCACCCGCTGACGGGGAAGACGGCGCGGGTGAGAAACGTCAACTTTGACGCGACGTATGCGAGTATCTACATACAGAGCGCGACGCTGGATGGGGAGCCGTATACGAAGAATTGGATTGATCACTCGTTTTTCACGGAGGGAAAGGAGCTGGTGCTGACGCTGGGGAGGAACGAGAGTAGCTGGGGGACGAAGGTGGCTGACTTGCCGCCGAGTCTGGGGAGCTATGCGGGATACAACCAGACGTACTCGAAGAGATGGGCGGTTCCGAGCGGTGCGCTGCAGATGTACTAGCATTCCATGTAAATACGTCATCTAGCGGGTGTATAACCATCTTTTTCAGTTTCTCATCATTCTTCATTACAGTTGGTAATAACTACTCTCTTCCTGGTTCTTCGCTCTTTTCAAGTCCCTTCCTCCACCACCACTCTCACCACCCTCACCGCCATCACTTTTACATCCCCTCACAGTAGTGCCTTGCAGCTCCTTTTCTCCCCTCCTCAATCTTCCCCCGCCGCCGTCTCAAACGGCTCCTTAGTCGCCTCGCGGTCCACGCAGTTCCCCGTCGCGTTCCACCCTCTCGGCATCACCACCGTCGACCGCTCGCACACCTCCGGCCGCGCCTCCTCCCACGGCCTGATCGTCCCGTTGCCCGCCACGAACCTCGCCTGCAACTCCTCCAGCAGGTCCCCGCGCGAGAGCAAGCCCCCGATCACGTCCGGCAGCTCCGTCTCCGCGCACGCCCTGCTGTCCACCCCGCGCCTCTCCTTCTCGCCCCCGCCCCTACTACCGTTTCCAACCTTGAACGGCTCCCCGAACCCCCAGACGATGCCCTCCCCGCGCACGCTGCAGCCGTCCTGGCTGCGCCCCGCGCGCAGCTGGCAAAGCTCCTTCTCCTTGCACTCCCCCTCGCACTTGTCCCTGATCCACCCCCTCGTCTTGCGCAGCACGAACTCGTCGAACAGCGTCGCGTTGCGCTCAAACGCCTCGGTTAGGTTGTGCCAGAACGCCGGCGTCAGCCCGTCCTCCTCGCCGAGCGGCGGCGAGGCCGCCCAGCCGTACGCCTCTTTGGCCGAGTAGTACCGCGTCCACCTGGGGCCCTCCTCGCGCTGGAACGCCGGGTCCTCCATGTCGGCAATGTACGTGACAAAGTCGCGCACCGCGAACGTGTCCGGGTCCACGTCGTACACGCGGAACGCCGGCATCCCCGTGTCCGGCGACAGCGACGGGCCAATGTACGAGACGGCCGCGGCGTGGTCGGCGTCGCGCCGGGCCGGGTCCGAGTAGCTCACCGCAAACTCGTCCAGGTGCGTGTGGCCGAAGAACATGCCGCGGATCGTCGAGGCGTACCGCCTTACGATCTGGTCAAAGTAGTTGGACTGATCCGGCAGCGCGTCCGGGTGGCCAAAGTGCATGTGGCCGATGATGTACACGGGCTGGCCGGCCTTCTCCGCCCTGTCCAGCTCCTGCGCGAGCCAGTACAGCTGGCCGTCCGGGTCGCGCGCGCCGTTGAGCAGGTACAGCGCCCAGTTGAGCCGGCTGTACAGGTTGGTGTTGAGGGAGATGATGCGCAGGTTGAGCCCCCGGACCCGGGTCGAGTAGGCGCCGTGCTTGAGCATCTGCCGCTTCACGTCCCAGCCGAGGTACTGCGCCAGCCCCGTTCCGGTGACGTTGTACAGCCACCGCGTCGACCATCCCATCTGCGTCGGCTCGAAGATATTGACGCTGTGCGCGTCGTGGTTGCCGAGGGTGCCGAAGATCCAGTAGTACGGCTCGGACAGCCACTTCATCCTCGGGCCATAGAATCGGTCGGCTGACGCGGTGGGTTAGCGGCGGTGCTTTTCAGATACGGTGCTTCTTCGTGTCGTCAGAAGAAGGGATAGGGGGGCATGGCTTACTATAATTTGTGGCGATGCTCCCACTGATATCGGAAATCAGTTGATGAGAAATGTCGCCGGTGAAGAGGATCATCGGGCCCCTCCCGTCCCAACCCTGTTTCCTGTAATGGCGTCTATCCAAGACCTCCTTGATCTTGTTATACATGCTCAGCTCCAGCCCCTGCGGCGTGCCGCAGTTGTGTTCGCCATTCCAGCCGGCAGGAGACTGTATATTCTCGGGCCATGGTCTCGGTGGCGGGTTCCAAGAATCTTCAAAGGGTGCCCAGGGGGCCAGTCTAGTTTTTGGTTCCGGGCATCATTAGCCAAGAAATTAAACGCCAGGCAAGAAATACACGACATGAATCAAGAGAGTCGTCACATACCGGCAGCACCTTGGGTAGTCACACGTGGTGCTGGTACCAGGCCAATATTCCTTGTCATAGTGAATGTCGGTGAAGTGAACGATCCTGAGCGGGCGCTTCTGCTTCTTGGGTTTCTTGGGCTTCTTGGGTATGATGGCCTTGGGTTCATCCTTCTCGTCGCAGAACGGCAGGCTCGGGAAGGGAAACCTCCATTCCCGCACCTCAGGGGGGTCGCAGACGCCAAAGAGCGAAAAGCAAAACTGCTTTGCCGTGGGCGAGTAGGGGTCCACGCCCCTCGCAATGTACATGAGCTCGGGAACATGCTTCTGGCCAACGCGCTCGCAGTACCGTTCATTGAAATGCTACGTCGCATAAGATAGTTAGAATCAGCGCAGATGTAGACAGTTGGGGGGGACTCACGGTGGTAGATATGCATAGCTTCTTCATAAGGGCCTCAACCGGGTTCTCATTGTGCTCACTGAGAGCTTCCAGAACGCTGAGTAAATTCTGCTGCAGGTTAGAGAAGCAAACACAAACCCGGAGGTTCGTCACGGGGCGGGGCGAGATGTGCGACCAACCATGCAAGCATCACAAGTGTTGAGTGAGTCGAGCTCGAAGACTTCCTTGGTCTGCTTCGCCCACGTTCCCGCTTGCAGAGACCCTTGGAGGATCGCGTGCTTTGCAGCCTGCGTGGCCTGCGCCGAGGGTAGTGCAGAGGGGGAGGCGAGGAGGGCAGACAGACCCCAGAAGCGATGGGGGCGCATTCTTTTTTTGCGTCAAGTTGGTTGGTCGTTCTTTCTTTGACAGATAGTAGAGGGCAACGAAAGAGACGACAGACAACTCGAGCTGCGAGCTCGTCGACTGTAAATGGCCCGATGTTGAAAGATCAACTCTACATCATGTACGACAAGCAGGTTACTCCAATACAAGACTACGACGCGCTCAGAAGAGAAAAAGCTCTCGTTCTGCCGTCTTGTTTGTTGTTGGCCACGGGACCGCAGCGATCGTGTCCCAACCGGGCTCAACTCTAATCAAGGCGAAGCGGAACCAACAGCGAAACTACCTGGTGAACAAGTTGGTGCCTGGCTCAACTCTAGCAAGAAGCCAAAGATGCTGTAGCGGCCTCGACTTGGCCACGTGCGAGAAAAAAAAAAGTTAAAATAAACACTATATATCAGAAAGGGAACCGTGATACTAGATCATACATTGTCGTACTAGCCATACATTTTGCTCGTTGCCAGGGCGCGTTCCAAAGAAACAAAGCTGAAAGATCGTACCAAGCCATGGAAAAAGAGCGCGTTTACTTTAGATGACGAGAGCGGCAATGGCGAGGGCGAGGGCACCAACGGGAGCCATGAGGTTTCCGTTGTTGGTGGTCGGAGGCGCGTTGCCGTTGCCGCCCGAACCCGAGCCGCCATTGCCATTTCCTCCGTTTCCATTTCCATTGCCTCCGTTACCATTTCCATTGCCTCCATTACCGTTTCCGTTTCCTCCATTACCGTTGCCATTGCCGTTTCCTCCGTTGCCATTTCCATTGCCACCTCCGTTGCCGTTGCCGCCGCCGGGGCAAGTCTTGCAGCCACTGCCACCGGTCGGAGTGGGAGTGGGAGTCGTGCAGATGGTCGTGACGGTGACACCGCCGCCGGGAGCACTCGTGGTGGTGCTGTTGTTCCAGCGAGAGCTGGTAATGATGCTCGTGGTGGAAGTGCAAGGGGTGGTGATGCCGGTGCCGGTGCTAGTGGTGACGGTAGTTCCTGAAGACGTGGTACCAGTGGAGGAAGTACCAGTTGAAGAAGTTCCAGTCGAAGAGGTACCAGTTGAAGAAGTTCCAGTCGATGTTGTGCCGGTTGATGTGGTACCAGTCGTGGTTCCAGTCCCAGTAGAGGAAGTAGTTCCGGTTGAGGAGGTGACGCCACCAGACGAAGTCGTACTGGTTGATGAAGTACTGGACGTCGCCGTGGAAGTAGACGTCGGAGGATTCTTATCCTTGCAGTCCTTGAAGAGCGCCACCGCCTTCGCCAGCTGCTCCGTGATCAGACCGCTCACCGCGCCCGCCGCCGGCCTGTCCGCCGGGTTCACGCGCTTCGTGATGTCGTCAATCAGCCCGTTGGACGCGCTCGCAATGTCCGCCGTCTGCTTCTGGACCGTGGCACACAAATTGCCCTCCTCCACCGTCGGCTTCATCGCCGTCAGGGTGGCCACCAGCGTCTTCGAGTCGGTGTAGAGGGCGCTCACAAAGGTGCTCAGGTTGAGGACGTCGTCGGTGACCAGGTCAGCGCCGGGCGTGGCGTTGATCTGCTGCTGGCTCTTGACGACGTTGGCCACGAGGGTGTTGGCAGCAGCGACTACAGGCTGGATGTCGCCGGTGAAGGCGACGAAGGCGGCGTTGAGGGCGACGGTGTCCTTGTCCGACTGCTGGATGGCGGCGACGATGGTGTCGTAGAGGGAGGCGGCGGCTGAGCCGCCTGTGAGGAGGCTCAGCACGGCGAGGGTGTTGGAGAGCTTCATGATGTTTAAAAGAAGAACGAGAGACGAGTCAGTGTTAGAACGAGTGAATACTCCAAGTTGGTTGCAGAACAGAGGCAAGTCCCAGCAGAGTTGGGAGGGCGGACAAGACCATCGTTTTAAAGCGGCTTTCTTATTACCACCACCCGTCTTTGCTGAATCCTTCCTCACAAGCTACCGAGGCGACTGCGAGCCTCGAGGCCCTCGTCGCTGTGGCTGGCAGCAACCAGGCTGCAGGTTGGGAAATGAAGTATTGGGCTTCCCTTATACGAGAACCCTCTGGCTGCATGACCAGGAAATTGGCAGCCACCACCAACGGGCCAGAAAACGAAGCAAGCCACATTTTCTGCAGAAAAGGGTGCTGTCAAAACGGGATTCCCTCCAATGAGGCTTCCGCCAGGGGACGGCGATGCCAGCCTATTTTGGCAATGACCGGCATGGCTTCCCACCCGTTTCCATCAACTTTCCACTGATCGATGAGTAGAGAGGACAATGGAAATGTGCGGGGTAAAAGGCTGGGTCCGGGGTTGAACTGTGACAGCTCCAATAGATGCGCTCCGCCGCCCCCGATCAAGACTCTGCCCGAGACAGACAGGTTCGTCCACAGCTGGGGGGCTCCCTTGTCCAACCTTGGAACTAATAAGTGTCAATATTCCTGCGAGAATTATTAATGCGAGCCGTTATCTGCAGCAGCATGTTTTCCCCATCCCATTTAACCTGCATCAACACATCATCCAAGGGCTCATCTTCAACTTGATTCAATCAATGCACGCTGTAATTTTAGGCCCTTGCCAAGATAAGATAGCTTCCAACGCGACACTAGCTATACGGAGCAACCCATACATGCAGAAATAGGGCGAGCTTTCCGTCTTCTAGTCACCGCCCTTTGGGAATTACTGCACACCCTCATCGTCAACATCGGTCAAGAGTTGGCCCGTCCTTGTTCTCCCGCACTTCATCCCAGGCGCTTCTGTGCCCTGACAGCCTCTATTATAGCCTCAGGTGCTACCGTATAGGCCCCCCATGTGGCGTTCACTATTGACTCCAAACCTGCTTAATGACACCACCAATCCTGCAGGCCAGCTGGATTTGGCTGACGGCCGGACCTACCACGGCAACAGGGCTAGCCCTGTTCGCGTTGGATGCCTTGGATTCGAGCCCAGGTGCAGGGTCTTGATGACTATGGTGATGATGGTGATGATTTCTGGGGTGGTTTGGTAGCCAACTAGTCAGCTGTCTGTGTCTGAGCAGCCTTGCACTGGCGTAACCTTGCTGTCCCCCGGTGAACATGGGCCAGGTAATAAATGCATCGTGAGGTTCAGGCCTAGCTTTCGTACAAACCTGCTCAACTTTTTCTCCTTTTAGTGTTTTTCTTTTTTTTTTTTTTCAGTTTCGCAGCATCTTGCCTTTCCAAGAGTGCGGGGCAAATTTCGTCTTTGCATAACTATGTAGGCGTTATTTGCCCACAACCGTAGTGAATACAGCGAGCAGAAAAGAAAAAAGATCTAAAGAAGCGGTAAGAATATAAGTGACGCGGGAAAAAAAATAGTACAATTTTAAAAAGAAAAGCCACTCGTTTGTTGCGACGCGATCATCTCACCCGGCAGCGACGCGTCTTCTGCTCTCCTCTCCGACCACCAATAGTGCGGGAGAGTCACCGCCAAAATAATATACACGTAAATATATAAACTTGTGTCTATCAAGTCCTTTTTCCATACACTTTAAGATTTGCCCCTAGACCACGCCCCAACCTGGCTAGCCTTTCCAATGCAGTGATAACTCGCCTTACTAGCTCCTAGCCGTAGTATAGTTATGAACCAACACGTATGGTGATGCCAACAGCCCTGGACTTCTAGCCAAAGTATTTTTTTTTTGGTTCCCAAGGCGATTGAGGGGCGAGAACCTGACGGGCTGAACCTTGTACAGGAGTATTGTTTTTCTTTTCACTAGATATAAAACTCTTCAGGTCTCCCTCTACTATCCTCTTTTGGTCTTCGATCCTTTACCCACGACTTGCCTCTCTTTCCTCCCACCAACAACTTTCCTTTCACCAACAGATTCCTTCCTTCACCAGCAACCTTTCTTCAGCAACAACCCTCGACAAGGCCTCTCCGTTCTCCCCCATCTCAATATGAAGTTCCTCAACCTCGTCGCCGCCGCCGCCGCCGGCCTCCTCTCCGCCCCCGCGGTCGCCCAGATTCACACCAACGGCCCCGTCTTCCGACTTGCCTTCAAGCAGGTCGAAGCCGCCAGCGAGAGCCTGCACCACGCCATCCTCGCCTTCCGCAGCAACGACACCATGCCCCCTCTCGCCATCGCCACCGCCGAGCTCGTCCACGTCGTCAAGGAGGCGCACGTCAACATCTCGCGCGAGGACAACCTCGGCCTCTCGCAGACCATCCAGGTCATGCTGCCCGTCTTCCGCCGCTTCAAGCCCCGGATGCGGAACATGGTGGAGGACTTCAAGGGCCGCCGCGACATCGTCATCCTGACGCACAACTGCGAGGTGGTGCGGATGAGCATCGGGGTGCTGCACGACGCGGTCAACATGTTCATGTCGCTGGTGCGCAGGAAGATTGCCAACGCTGCGTGGAAGACGGCCGAGAAGGAGGAGAATAAGATTCACAACTTGATGATTGGCCTCAAGTACCACTACCACAAGGAGCACTGTCAGGATTAAGTTTGGGCTTGAAGTGTACGGCCCCGTCGCGTCACAGTCCTCTCTCTAGGAGAAGATGGAGTGCCTCTTCAAGAGCAGGTTTTGGCCTGAAGAACAAGTTTTGGTCTTTTCTGCGTTGATTTTTCTGTTGCCAAGTTTTGCGTTCGTTTTTCTGCTGTCAAGTCCCCTTTCAATAGCAGTTTAATAATACCCTTTGTCCACCAGCTGCAGGCCTCCAGGGCCATATAATAACTTGCTAGCCAATGACAGCGGCACCTGCGTCAAGATGGGAATTTTGTGAGTGGATGTCACATGCATGGATTCTGCTCATTATCGTTTAACCTTCCGCTCACTTGTAGAATGTCATTTCAGTAAAGTCAGTGTCTGTACATTACCATCTATGGCCCTAGATACATAAGAAACCCTTTTAAGATAATAAAAAGCAACGCTTTCAGTCTGGATGCAGTACACGCATAAAATCAAATCAACCAGCATTCCTTATCATCGTCGCTGATTCATAGGGTACGACTCATGGTACTCGTTGTACGAGTTGCCGCGGGTGTGGTCGTAGCCGCGACCATTCTGGCGGCCGTAGCCATTGTTGTTGTAGCCGTTTCGGCCATTGTGACGGCCGGGACCGAACTGGTTCAGCGCTTCACGCGCAAGACCTGCCGGGCCGCGGGACTGGCCACCGCCGTAGCTGTGGTCCTGGCGGTACTGCGTCGGGGGCTGCTGGTAGCCCGGGCCGGTCGCGTACACCTTGCCGCCGCCGCTGTCGTTGCGGTCGAACTTGGCCGATGCGTAGTCGCGCGCGCCGACGGCAAACGCCGCAAAGGTGGCCTTGATCACGTCAAACGGGTTGAGCATGCTGATGAAGGCGTAGATACCCAGGATACCGCCCTGGTACGACGTGGGCGCCCAATTCTGCGCCTCGCCGCGCTCCGCGCCGCGGGCCACCAGGTGCTCCAGCTTGTACGGCCCGACCGGGTACGCCCAGAAGACGACAAACGAAATGGGCACCATCTCGAGGCAGCTGAGCAGGGAGGGGATGCCGTAGTGCAGGTCGGCGTAGGTGAGGGTGTCGGTCTCCTTGAGGACGTGGGTGCTCTGGAGGATCCAGAAGAGGATCTGCTGGAGGAAGGCGAGGCCGACGACGAGCTTGATGGCGATGAGCTTGGTCATGGGCTTGAGGTTGGGCATGTGCGTCTTGAGCTGGACGGCGACGAGCAGCACGGCGGCGATGGCCATGCCCGAGGAGAGCGTGGTGGCGATGCTGAGCCACAGCTTGGCGAAGTTGGTCTGGCTCTCGTACTGGCAGTAGACGCCGGCGACCTGGGTGATGATGGTGGCGATGGCGACGCCGAGCGCGATGACGGGGTACTGGAAGATCATGACGCAGCGTTGCTGGGAGGGATGGTTAGAGTTGGGGGGCTGGTTGGTCAATGGAAGAGGTGGGCAACTCACGGCGAACCACTTGACACCATCTTGAACAACACCACCCTCGGCCTTCTTGTCCTTGATCTCAATCTGCGAGAAGAAGCCGTCGCGGCCCTCGTTGTGGGGAGAAATGTACTCGCAGAGGAGCATAAAGTAGGAGGCGAGACATAGCGCCTGGATGAGCTCGAGGATCGGGTCGAGGTAGACTTGGGCCTGAGGGAAGCAGATGCAGAGGAAGTTGACGATGGCGTAGAGGGGCACGAGGGAGATGACTCTCATGACCCTAGAGACAAGGAGAATGTCAGGTTAGCGATCATCATTCAGCCTTTATGTTGTTGGAGCGCAGGGAGGCTGCTTACTTGACTTGCTGACGCGGGACAGATAGGTGAGTGGCATGGCGCCACATGTGGACGAAGCTGACGAGACAGGCCAGCGCTGTGCAGGCACCGGCGAGGATGCGGTTGAATTCTTGAAAAGTGAGGCCGGCGATGAAGGTCTTTTTGGCGCCTGTTTGAGGAAAGAAAACTGTTCAGCCATTGCGAGTCTTTTTTCCACCAAGTTGTCCATGTTGTAGCCTTACGGGCAGTGAGGTTGTGCGTGGGGCACTGATCGCCATCGTCGTCGTCGCCGATACCGAACATGTTGAGGGTTGGTTGGTTGCGAGGAGGTCGAGGAGAGTGATGTAAATTCGACGATGTAGAAGAGAACTCGGACTCTTCGATTCTATGTTGGTAAGAGGAATACAACTTGAAACAGAAATACACAGCTCAAGAGTCAGTGAGCTCGAGGCGACGGCTGTCTCTTATATCTCTGCTTACACCGTACGGTGAACCTGTCCCAATCGGGTAACCAAGATGTCGCGACAGGGCATTTTACTGGTCTGAATAGTCGACTAGTTACTACCTAGTTAGTCGTTGCAGGAAGACAAAGCTGACTGTGAGCCTGGTTCCACCTGTGAGATTGGAACTGGGCACCCGCTTCTCGCCCAATGGAACCCAACTAGGATAAGCACGCTCTGGCAGCCAGTTGACTACTTTGTAGATCTTGGTTGGGCTTGTATTCCATGTGTCGCTGTCCTATCATCTATTTTCTGATTCGCCCTCCTGTGTTGTGATTTAAGTGGAGCCCTTAGCAGTCAATTAGCCATTAGCCTATAATCAGCTGGATAGTAGAAAGTATAGGTAGTATATAGATTAATAAGTTAACTTTTAAAGAAAATAATCTTAATTATTAATAGAATTAGAAAAGAAAAAGAAAAATTAAAAGTATTTAATTATATTAACTTTCTAAGCTAAAAAATAGTATAAAAAAGGAAATACCTTTTATTATTTATAAAATAATAATAATAATATATATACATATATAAATAAGTCTTAATAGATTTTATTCTTTTACTTTTTTATATAAAATTACTATTAAGGACTGGCGCTACGGCTACTGCGAGTAGGCGTCGATATGAGGTTGAATTGAATCTCTTACGGAGGGAAGAGACAGGGAGGGTGTTACGAAGTGGCTACTATACATAAGGGGGAGCTCCCC